TAGAGGGCTTGTACGAGTTGATGGTTGAACGTCAAGGAATTGGATGTAGTTAGCGTGCCAAGGCCCTTTAGGCTTCGCGCCTCCGGGCGAAATAAATTCCATCCATCCATCCATACAACGGACAACACCACGAAAAGATTCAACATAGGTTGATGATACTGCTCTTTCTTGGTCGAGACCTCACTTTCTGGTTCTCCTCTTACGTTTCAACAAAGTAGTCTGCATTGCTTCCGCACTACGCCAAAGCTTTACACTATTTCAAGTGCCCAGCAGGACTGGACCCGGTCATGGTGTCTGGAGCGTTCCGTCGTGAATGTGGTTTGTTTGATGATGTGTTGCGAATACAAAATGGAAGCCTGCTTCTATTGAGGAGTTTAGAGAAATAGGAATCAGCCACATTATGTGTGCTTAATATCCGGGCTCATTCTTCATTCCTCTGTCTGACCAACAATGTTGTTGTCCAACGCTCTTCTGGATATGCCTCAATTCGATACCGAAAAGGGACGCCGATCAAGATACCCTCAAATAAACGAGTTGCTGATAAAAAACAAGATCAACACCAAAAGCGATATAATCTTGAACCACAAGTTCGCCCCCTTGACGGTCCACCATCAGTGATTATACTAGGGCGGGAGGCTCGGACTCTCAGCACGATCGGGGCTGGAAGGCTGTGCTTGAAAGCGTAAATGGGAGCAACAGGCAGGCACGCCCCAGCATTTTGGAATGCGAAAATTGATTATGAATGGGGCAGAGGACGTGACTTAGACTCCAGATCAGGTTGTCATCTTTGCTTCTTGTGGATGAAGTAGGAGCAGCATCCCTAAAACACCCCAAAACTCCATTCGGCTGCCTATGAGGAGCCGTTCTCCGCCTGCCAACTAGAGCCGGGAAAGATTCGACTGGTTTTGTTGCTGGAGGGGCGTCTCATCACCAAAGTTCCGCCCGACATGCCGCGACGAATTTACCGAACCTCATGAGCATGACCGGTTGACGACGCCCATGGACTCACTACAACGACGGCAAAGCAACACACCCACAAGGAGCCAGAAGCGACCCTCGATTAACGTAGCACGCAGCATCACTGATCCAGCCATTATCGCAAGTTCAACAGAAACGCAACGAACAGCACATCGAGCAGAGCGCTGCTGTCGCCAGCCTTCCCCTCACGCCCGAGAAGCAAGCAAATCTGGACAGGGCGATGCGGTGGGTGGAGAAGGGGATGGCGTACGCGGACGAGCACGGCACTCGCCCGGCGACAATTTCGCTGGTGCTCATGACAAATTCGCTCGCGTTGTTGGCCTGGTAGGGTTCCAGTTTGCTGTTGGTGACCAACCTACTGTGAGGAATGGCTAATAAGGGTCTAAGGATGGGTGAAAAGTTCATCTAGTGGACTGACAAGCCGTATCCCATTCCGCTTAACATCATCCTGACCATGACATCCTTCTACTGGTTCACCGACTCGTACGAGCGGGCTATGTGGGCGTACAGACAGCTCATGTGTGTCGTGGACGGCGACTTCCCGGTTCTTGCCGGTTCTGTCGCAAACCGTTTGGCTACTCTTCATTCCCCGTTGAGCTTGGGCTCTCCCGCGGGCATGGGCCGAGCATCTGTTTCCGAATCTGGTGTTTTACAAGACCCATGACAAAGTCAGTCCAGGTGGAAGCAGCCGACGTGAGGTGGATGATAGGATGAACCGCCGACTCTCCCGAGGGAGGACACTTCGCGGCGTTGGAACAACAGGAGCTGTTCTTGCAGGATCACGAAGAATTCTTGACGCTAGTTGCGCCAAATGTTACCAAGCCTCACCGAAAGTGACCCTTTGCCCTGATGAGAGAAGAATGCGGAGAGTTTCCTGAAGGGTGGCATATCGTGGTCGGGCAGCAAAATGACAAGCTGACGACAGCATCGACAAGGGCAGCAGAAGTAAAAAGAGAGGATCGGTATGAATGCGCCGCGAAGCTGCTTCGAACCGCGCAGAATGCCTGGACGAGAGAATCTCAAGAAAAGGCGGTTGCTTCCTTTCCAACTCGTCATTGGTATTCTCCTCATTTTAGGACCAACAAGCATTGTCGACTCCTTTCTGCCCCTGCAGGACGGCGGCACTGGCAACTGCGCCATGTGACTGCTGGAATCGACCTGTCTTCAATTCGGTCGGTGTTCCTTCAGTCCATCGGCTCTGCTCAGAAAGAGTGCGCAGGTTGGCCTTGGAAAACCCGCAGAGAGGTCAGGCACTCCGTGTTGGATCCTCGGCACAATGGCACAGAGTCCGCGGATGAAGCATTAGAACCAAGATCGATCTGCGCAAGCGAGCGAGAGGGCTTCCAAGACCACACTGATCAGGCGGTATGGAGTACAGCTTCCATAAGTCTATCATTTTGACGTCGGCCAGCCCACATCCCGAAGGCATTGCTGCATCAGTTTCGGAACCTCGCAGAAATGCTTCTTGGGTGATCTCCGTCGGCAGACATGAAGCTGATAACTATTCATGTCTTGGCAGCGGGAGCTCGGGTCTCATAAGCACGCAGCTGGGGATGGCTAAGGTACCCAAGGGAAGCTCACATGAAACACCACCGCGGCCCCTCCAATCTTGCAAAATATAGTGCGCACGTATGACGCGCATATGGAAATGCACAAGCAGCAAAATGGAAACGGCGGTCACAAGGAGTTTCGTCCCACTGATGCCCAAGGGACGATGCTGCTGGGGTTCAGGGAGACCACTCTGAAGAGCACCACGCTGCCGAGCCAACTCATTAAATCACATCAGGCAGACACGATCATATCTGAAGCGTAGCATCTGCTGCAACTTTCTGATGTTTGCCTTGGAAACGCGGCTAAAATGGACACTTCATGTCTTCGTTGTGCGGCCCAGCCATGTTTCCATGCTGTGCCAGCACGGCGCGGGGCCCAAGGGTGGCAGATGGCACACTGCGCAAGCGGCTGAAAGGTGATGTGCCGAACTCAACCAAGCGCTGGCAGTCTTGACGGCCGAGTCCCCCACGGCCTAACATGGGCTGGCGAAGTAAAAGCTAGTGTCCTCGTCGGCCTGGTTGTCTAGGCGAACCGATGGGTTGTCGTTGAAACCCTGGCCACTCCGCTTGTTCTTGGCATCGACGCGACCCAGGATACTGACCGCATCATGCGGCGAGGGCCAACGAATCTTGCGGGCCTTGCTCAACGCGTCACGCCTTCAAGCGGCGGCCATGGCCAACTACCACGACCCTCGTCGCCGCCGCCGCGACGTTGAACAGGGATAAATGACTGGTTCGGTCGCCTTCGACATGAAAACAAATGAGCTTGTCCTCGGCCGGCCGCCTCCCCAGACAGCAGTCCCCGCGTGGGTATGGCTGTTCAAGATGGCCGCAGTCCAATAATTTCATTTATCCTGACTGCCTCTCGGACAGACGGTCAGCAAAATAGACAAATCTATCCGGGACGGCACAGCTGCCGAGTTTGATGATAATAAGGACCTGATAACCCTTCTGCATCTCATACTTGAAGGATGATTAACCTGGGCCAACTCCCACCCGTCCTGCAGCGTTGACCTCGGCAAGACGGTTCGCTCCTTGGTGCCCCTGAAGTGGTCAAACCATCACTGCGACGATCTAACACAGTCCCGGTCCGTTGAACGCCTGCCTCCCGCATAACCGGGCCTACGATATAATTACGGACGGCTCGAAGAACTAAAGGGCAGTCAAAGAAGCACAGGTTCCCTCCGAACGGGAACGAAGCAGCACAACACCATGTGGGACAGACTCAAGATGGTGCCCCATCACCACACCTCTAGGCGACAAGTCAATCACCCACTTGACGACGACAGGGTCCGAGTTGGTCTGGGTCTTAGCTCCGGCGGCCTGAATGCGGCAAAGGGCTACAGTTACTCCATCAGAGGCGGCCCGGCTCCCCAGCGGCCACCGCGAGAGTTTCTCGAGTCTCGATAGTGAGTGGCAAGCCCCTTGCATCTGAACCTGGAAACCTGGAAGGACATAGCATTCCAAATTGAGAATCTGTGGATGGAGGCTTTTGCTGTGTTTAGCGGCCGGTAGCACTGCAGTGCTTGCTGCGCCAGGGGTTCGCCGAGGCACTAACGGCCAGGGTTCCGGGCTGTGCCTCACGAGCGCCTCACGGGCAGGCAGTGGCCTGCAGCTTGCCTGTTTGGGCATCGCTTGAAACAGCAGCGCAGTGCGCTTTCAGATGACGGCCCCTCTATCCAAGCTCTCCCAATAAAGTCATCGAGGTTCCCAGAACCAGACCCTGTGACATTCCAGACACGCGTGGTCGATGTGTTTTCGTTCTACACATGTCTCCCCGCTGACGATGAAACCTATGACAACATTGGTTGTACGACGTGGACAGCATCATTATAATCGTCTCGAGCAGCCTTGCTGACATTGCCGCCATTCCAGCGAAACTGCACCCCGCGTCAAGCAACCGCCTCCCCGCAACCCACGCCGCATCACCGTCCGCACTTCGAATCTGCGGCCTACATCCTCCTTCTACTCGGAAGACCTCCCGCATCTAGACTCACAATATTCAGCAAACGTGGCGACCAAGTACAGCTATCGGTACGGCGGGGCCGATGACATCTCGCCGCCCAGCTCTCCGGAGCCCGACGCATGGGCTGCCGACCGCTTCCTGCCGGGCGATGTCTCCCCGATAGACGAAGATGACGCGCCGTCGTACTTGCGCCATGCAGGGATTCCAAACACCGATAGGTCGAGAAATGGCGGGCCAGGTCGAGCCTTTGCCCCGGAACCTCGCCAGGAGAGCCCACCACAACACCGAGGCCCGACGAGCATTCCCACGATGCGCCGCGAACGCCGCCGGCAATCCGATGCGGCGACACGAGACGGGAACCAGAACCAGCGAGGACCCCAGCCGCAACAATCTCAGAACGCGCCCAGCTGTGAAGCCCCCAGGTGGGATCCGCTCACGGGAGAGCAGACCACTAGCGCACATGGCCGACCGCCCCAAGTGAAGCCTGCTGAATTTGCACAGGGGTTGGGTATTACATCGCAGTCTTGGGCATCGCCCCAAAACAGTCCCACGGCGGCACCTACGTCCTTTGGAGACCGCGTGCGGAGGATAGCAAAGAAGGCTGCAGCTGCAAGGGACGGTACGACGCACCCCGCCGCCCGCGCATTCACGGCATCGCGTCCCGGCTGGCGTGGCGCAAGCGGGCGGACCGCCATCGTGGAACCCGTACATGATACACGCGAGGTGCCACCGCTGAGGATTCCAGAAAAGAGCAGCAGGAGGAACATTCCGCCTGCAGCTGCGTCCAAGTCCAATAGTACCCCGGATGGCCCGGTACGCCGCGGCCAGACCCCCCCAATCAGCCCACCGCCATCTGAAACACCTACCAGGTCTGCCCCTCTAGAGGGTATTAGGAGGATCTTACCTTTGGCTCAGCCCCCAGCTGCCACACAGACGCCGTCCCAGGCGGGCCAGAGATATCCCAGCCCACCTTTGTCTGGAAAGTCAGTAGCGGCGGATGCGCCAGCTGTCGCCGCCGCTAGGGAGCTTGTGCGGGACGGACAATATGTTGCTTCCGTTTATTCCAGTCCAGGCATCTACACCCACTCGCCTGACTTGGGCAACCAAATCCGCCGGAAACCGCCACCAGTGCACACAAACCACCCTCAACACCAACACCAAGTGTCCGTCTCGTCGGTCTACTCCCAACAGTCAGAGGCACTACAGCCGTCGCCCCTGCAGATTTCAAACACGGCGCGGCCGGCAGTCCCCCCCGAGGAGCCTTACGTCCAACCCCCCTCCCGCTTCAGCGTCACCACCTACGCTACGAGCAACACGGGCACAACCCACGACGATCTCGACGACCACCAGGACGACGACCAACCGCCCGTCCCGTCCCTCCCCGCCAACCTGCAACAACAACAATACGGCCGCCCGTCCTCGGACCACAGCCCCGTCACGTCCCCAATCGACCAGTTCATGTCTTCCCCTTTCACGCCACCCCTCAACACCACCTCCCGCACCCCGTCCACGGATCCCGAACACCACCAAACCCAACAATCACCCCCCTCCATCACCGCCATGCCCACCAACCCCGCCCTAGCACGCACCCAAGTCCTCGCCGTCGACCGCCCCTCCTCCCGCGCAAGCACGTCCGACATGAACAAATCCCTGCCGCCCGCGCCGCCAGAACAGTCAGCCGACCAGGCGCACGACCGCGTGGGCCTGCTCAACGCGCAGCTGCGGGCGCTTGCGAACCGGCGTATCAACATCCACCGGTCGATTGCGCAAATGACGGAGCTGATGCCGACCGACAAGCTGATGAACTCGGTCGAGGTGGTGCGCAAGCGCGAGGCCGAAAAAAGGAAAGTTGAAGCGCTGCAGCAGGAGCTGGCCGACGTCAGGAGGGAGGAGTATGAATTGGGACTGAAGCTGCACCGCGCGTACAAGAGGCTGGATCGGGAGGCGGAGTGGGAGCCGACTACGCTTTGGGTTAGGAGGGTTACGGGGTAGGTTAAGATTTTTATTGGTTTGGACGGCGTCGTTGGTTGGGAGGTAGCGACGGGATTTAGTGAACTGGGTTGGAAGCGAGAAGGAAACAAGGACTGTCTAGGTTCACAGGGAGGAAGTGGGACTGTTTTGTCATGTCTGATGGAAGAAGATGTTGGGCTTATGTTTGTTGTCTGGGTTATTGTTTTCGCGGTCTAAGCGTTGGAGCTGGTTTGGCATTGGTATTCAATTTCTCGTTTAAGCAGGGCGTAGGAAAGGCCATGATTTGCTTTTGTCTTCCGACTTTTGATCGTGACTGCAACTTCGTCATCGTACCAAGCTGGTGTGGATGGAGGATGGTAGAGCATGATACAATATTGTATATACGATGTGCGGACAGACAGAATGTTTGCTTCTGATTCCTCAATCTCTGATAGCGGATACCTAAGTGGATGTTCGTACAGGTCCTGACTGTCGCACGTTCGATGTTGCGTGTTTTTGTTGTAGGAGAGAGAAAGGGGCGGTTTGGCGATGTGCTGCGAACATCCACTTGCTAGGGGCGACGGAGCAAGAGATTAGGTCTGCCCATTGGTGCCAATGTATGTCAATCTGGAATACTCCGCAGTCAATTTCCATGTAGTTCCATACGAGACCGCGACTTCGGTTCACCGCATAATGTGTATCGAAGTGGTGATTAAGTTTCGATTGTTCGGATGCCTCGAGAACATACCCAACCCACTCTACCACTGCCCCTTTTAAAACGTAGCTTCCGAACCGTAAAAGCCAAAGGCTCCACGAGAAGCAAAACAAAGCTGAAATATTTGTCAAGGCACCGGGAAAGATAACCTGATGATGCCGAGGGAATCTAAACTACCCTAGGGTATATAAAACCTACCACGCATCGGAAAAAAGTAGAGGCTTTCGAGAAGGGCGGCATGATTGCCGAGGCTGCCAAGAGGGAGGCTCGCATGATTATACAGCAGATACAGAGATGAAGGGGTATCGTATCAACCAACTTTCCAGCGACCTCCCAGCGAGTAAAGGTGTGAAATCCGTCGAACAACGCCAGCTGAAGAGTGCTCTCCCCCCTAACTAGTCTGCAAAAGCGATGAGGTGTTACCCGACGCAAGGCTCTTTCGGACGTGGGCAGGCAGTGTCGAAGGAATATCTTCATCGTCGGAGGAGGACGAGTCGTCGTCAATGACCAGCGGCTTCTCGGACGATCTGCGGGGCTCGGCGGTTGCATGTTGGTTATGGCCATTAGCGCTCGGGGTCGCAGAGCCGGACCGCGCGCCGGCCGTGGCGGGGCTCTCCACTGGCCTGGCTGGCTCGTGGATCTCGACCCGCGCGCCGGACTGTTCGTAAACCTTTGTCGGCAGTGACGGAGGCGGGAGGGTCGGGTCGTGCATTGCGGCCGTTGCGGCGGCACCTGAAAGGCCACTGCCAATCTCGGACACCGACAGAGGCTTGCGGGTTGGCGTCTCATCTGCCACCGTCTTGTACGGCGTATGATAGCCGCCGCTGCCGTCTGTCCGCCGGCGCTTTGCATCATGCTCGTCCCAGCTAGCCTGTGGAGTGTTGGCCGTGGTCCATCCACTGCCGCCCGCTGGGCGGGAATTCGCATTCAACCCCTGTGACGAAGCAGCGGCCGCCGCCCTAGCAGCCCTCTCTTTCTCAGCTTTTTGGAGGCCCATGCGCTCTCGCTCCGCCATGATTTCGGCCTTGGTGCGTCTCTCGCGCAATCGGACGCCGTATTTCTTGCGGATCATAGACTGCTTGGTGCCAAAGCTGTTGCGGATCCCTTCCAACTTAGCCTTGCGTGCGTTCTCGTCTGGGATTGCGTTCGCCTCGGCGAACCGAGGCGCATACTTCTCCTCTGCCTCCCGCAATTCCGCATTCATTTGCTGTATTTGCTCCTCGCTCAGATGCCCGTAAGGGTCGGCCGCGATGCCAGAACCCGTTGAGCCCGGTGTACCTGCTGCCCTGGTCGTGCTATGCCCCGGGGTTGACTGCGGCTGTCTTCTCGGAACACCATTAGCTGTCGGCGTCTGAGAAGCGGAAGGGATGGTAGTCGTTGAGCTGGGTTGGATAGCAGGCGCTGGCCTCGAGAGCCGGTTGGCAGTCAGGGAGACAGTGACAGGCGGGCCGAAGTTCCCGCAAACCTTGTTGTTGAGGTGCTAGATGACAAGTTAGCTAGCCATCCGTCTCATAGGTCGGCCGGACGCGTTAGAAACGTACATCTTGTAGTTCGTTTACATGGGCGAAACCCTGACCACAGTGGGAGCACGAATGCTGGAAGCCGTTGGCGGTTGGGGGTACTTGTCTGCAGACGTCGTATACGGCATGCTGAACAGAGTCAGCACTGCAACCCAATCGGATGAGAGGCGCCACCCACATAGTCGCATGCCGAAGTATGCGTGAAGGTCCGGAAGCACTTCATGCACTGAAGGGGAGGCCGGCTTGGCTGAGATTGCGCAGGGCCGCTCTGAAAGCCATTTGCAGCCACGGCTGCGCCCGGGTAGGCCTCTTTCGGGATGACGCTCTCGTTCTGGCCGCCCTGAATCATGTCTCCTGCCTCATAACCGAGACGCTCGGCCTTTGCCAAGGCGTTGATGAGTGGTTGCGCCTCAATCGTCAAAAGGCGCTTCTCGAGGCATCTGTCAAGAAAAGCGTCGCTCGCCTTGCTGATGATAAGATCGGCAACTTGGTCGAGCGCCTCGGTGGTAAAATGCGCCATGAGTTCATGTTTTGACTCTGAGACCATCTTGCTGCCGAAATCTCTAACCGCGCGTTGGGTGATGTTCGGAAGAGCGTGGTGGATGGAGGCATTAAGCTGCGGCCGCGTCAGAAGGAAGTTCAGAAGAAAGGTGGAAAGTGCGGCGATACACGCGTGTTGGTGAGATCCGACGGACAGTGAGACGTCCGAAATATGAGACGGGATGGGGAAATATAGGTCGGAGAAATATGATTCGGTGATAAATGAACGAGAGTTCACACCGAATCTAATCGTCGGATGACTGAGGATTCTCACAAGATAAGAAGTGAAAAGGAAATGACGGCGGGTGTGGAGAAAGCATAGCAGCAGATGGGACAACTTACAACAAAAGCCTGGTGAAACTCGGAGCCCAGCAGGCACTTTTCCCAGTGGTCGCGGACAACGCGCCGGACGGCCTCGGGCAAGCTCTGTTGAATGGCATAGTTCATGCGCGTGCAGTCGTCCACAAACTTGGAGTTAATGGTCGCGTGGTCTTGGGTGGGCGAGGGGAAACCGACGGCGCCGCGTTGATGCTGTTGCGCCTGACCCGACTTCCGAGAACTGGGCGGGTCCATGATGATGGGCTTGGAGAGCGATGCGCGAAGATGCGCCTGGGGCACTTGCGACAGAAGCACGGACTGGGGTTGGGGTTGAGGGTGAGAATGGAACTGAGGGACGTGTGGCTGTTGCAAAGACGGCAGCGGTGTCGCGTGCGTCACGGGCGTCACATGCGCAACTTCGGGGGGCGGTTGATGGTGATGGTGATGCTGCGAAGCCGGCGGCGGATGGTGATGGTGGTATTGATGTTGATGGTGTTGTTGTTGTTGACTTGGATACTGCGGAGGAATTTGTGCGTGTGTTTGGGGATGTGGGGCCAATTGCTGGGGGTGCGACGTGTGTTGCGGTTGTTGCTGCAGAGGCGCCGGCGGCGGATGGGGAAGTGGATGCTGCGGATACTGATGTGATCGCGGAACGGGCTGCGGTTGCGGCTGCACCGGTTGGGGATGCGCAAGGCCGTGATGTGGATGGGCGGCCGGAGCTGGAGGCGCGGGTGCGGATGCGGACTCGGGCGCCGGCGCCCCGTTGGAGTATGGCACCGCCGGCGAATGTTGAGGTGGGAGAGGCTGTGGCGGGGGCTGCGTGCCTTGAACCTGCAAGGATCCTAGGGTCTGTTGTGTGGACAGCGGCGGCGGTTGTGGGGATGCGACAGTTGCAGTTTTAGAAGGAGGCATCGAATTTGCCGGATGGGCCTGGGATGGAGCTTTGTCGTCCCCCGGTTGACTCGTGCCGGCCGGTGACAAGTCCGGGCCTGGAATTGACGGTGCAAGCTTGTTCGCATCTTCAGCGGTCTGGACATGGGACGACAGACTTGAGGCCTCGGTGACACTGGGCTGGCCGGTGCCAATGTTTGCTGGCCGCGGTTCCGCTGTTGTCTCAACGCCATCCATGGGGGAATTGACCGCTGGAGTCGCATGTGCTGGCGATGCCAGAGGTTGCGGCATGGCTGCTACCGCGGCACGTGTGCCATCTGATGAATTCGGCTGTTGGGCGGTGGAGGGCGGAGGTGCTGTTGTGGTTGTGGCAGCTGTTTGCTCCCTTGACTCGCCTTGCCCCGCTGCTTTCATCATGGCAGTGTCTTCCATCCGTACTCGTGATCCGATGCCACAGTTCGAGACGCCAGTTTTTGGTTATTTCCCTTTCCTCTGATACGACAAGTCGCGGCTTGTGTTTCTCCTCTCAGCTTGCTTCTGGATTCGGGCACAATTCAGGCCAAGGGTTGTTCGTCTTACGATCCTGGCAACGCACCGGAAATGGTACCCGATGACGGTTGAGCAAGAGAAGGTTGCGCAACGTGCAAATGCAGAAGGAGGAATGTATGAACCTTACTAGTAGGAGCGAGGAACGGGGATAATGAGAAACTGTGCACTAGAATTGCAGGCCAGCGTCCGAGATACGGTTGGCGCTTGGGTTGTCAGTTGCGGAGAGGTTAAAGTGTAAGTTCGGGTAGCGTTGCTACTAACATCTGTTTTTATAAAAACTTTTCTCGCGGTTAAATCAGTGCGCTTTCTTTTTCTTTAATAACACTTAGAAAACTTAATTAAACTCCCTTGCATCTACCACGCTAGCTTTCCGAGATATAAATATTTTTAACGGATACTCTTCGTTAGCTCGGCCAAGTGCTACACCCATACCGTTCCACGACGATCCACTTTCCGCATTTACGCTTACGCTAACGATAACCAGCCTGAATCAGCGCTCATCTTGCTGCAAGAATGGGCAGCTCATCAATCACTTGGACTTCTGAGGAGTTTCGCTTTTTTCGTGCCTTGTCTTGGGGAATCAATGGCAGTCAGTCATCATAAATCACGGGCGCAGCGTCCCTGGTTACCAAGAGTACCTCGTGCAGTGGCGGATGAAACACCCGCGTAATAAAATATAAGTTATATCCGTAAAGTAGCTGCGGCAGATCATGTAGGAGCCTGAGGCGAGCGCCCAACAAGCAGTCTAGTATCACAGGCTAAGCTAAGCTACATAGCGTACTTAGCTGCCTCGACGGCAGCTTAGTTTTACTTTACTATCGCACATCCTCCACTCTCTTGTCGCCATGTTCGAGCGTACGGAGGGACACAACGGCACCGCCAGGATGTGAAATGTGAGGGATCCGTGGCGAGAAAATGCCGTTACGGCGAGCTGTTTGCTCTGGCACCGCGCAGTATGCTCAATGGCCAGAAGAAAATGCGTAAGTCATGACCATCCACGATACGCGAAGACTTAGCAAAGACCCTGGCAATCCAGCCGGTCCCAGATGGCCACCGCCCGACTTGGCCCTAACTTGTGCCAACGGCTGGTGCAGCCCAGCCAGAAAGAAGAAAAACATCGCCTTTGACCCTGTAGCCCGTCTAGAAACGCTACCCGATACATGCGAGCATCAACCGTTCGTAGTCCCCACTGGTTTCCCCCTTAATCCTGCTCGCCAGATTCCGATGGTACCGTTTCTCGTATGCGCCGCGGACGTTAGCCATATGGTTGCGGTCCCAGTCTAATCAGTGTTGTCAGCAGCATTTTTTGGAGGCGTGGAGAGGAGAAGTCATACGGTATCGGACGACGCGGCTAACCAACAGGTAGTCCTTGGTGCCGGCTCCGGCCATTGCATCCTCCAGCAGTGTTGCCTGGTGCATATACTTGTCGACGGCGTTGCGGAGCTGGAAGAGCAGCGCGTCCTCCATGTGACCCGAGAATTCCTGCCACAGCCTGCGTTAGAACGATTCAATTCCGCCTGGGCCTCGGGCGAAAGGCCGCACTCACCCTGCGAATGACATCCTCCAGGTTCCGGGCAAACTTCTGCTGGTACTCGTACGCGATGGCACGGATTTGGCTATCGTTCCTCGTGCTCAGGATGCTGCACACCTTCATCTCGTCCGTGCCGATCTTGCCCTCGGTCGCGCGGTACAGGTCGTTGGCGTCGCGGTCGACGTCAGCCTTGACGACCGGCGCCGATTCCTCGGCGCGCTGGGCCCCGAGCACGATCATAAAATGCCTCTCGGTCTTCATGCTCAGGTCGCCCCGCACGTCGTCCTCCAGTCGCCGGTGGAAGACCCGGTGATACTCGCTCTTGATGGCGTTCATGTCGGCGTTGGTCCGCCCCAGCAGGACGTCGTTAAGGGCTTTTTCTTTGGTTCCAATGCCGGACATGGCCTCGCGGAGCAGGTACACGTCGTTGAGGAGTGGGCCGCGGGCGAGCGCGACGAGCCCGGTCTCGAACCAGCCGCTTGTCTCGCTCTTAATGTCGGCGACGAGATCGCGGCGGTAAAGCCGCGAGTATGCGTCGCGGATTGTGTTGATCTGCAAGGGGTCCTTGGTCGACAAAATCCGTATGAGTGCCTTCTCATCCGTTCCGAAGCCCTTCATGGCCGACCTCAGCCCGTGGGCGTCCGCGTCTCCATTGTATGCGATGATCTGCGGCGGCCCGTATCCGAGAGACGGAGGTGTCGGCGGGAAATGTTGGGCATACGGTGGGTATTGTTGCGGCGGGGGCTGTCCGTAGGTCTGCTGGCCGTATGGCTGTGGGGGTGGCGGCTGTGCATAGCCGTGCGCAGCACCATATGGATGTGCGGGCGGCGGCGGAGGTGCGCCGTAGGCTCCTGGTTGGGGAGGGGGATAATATTGGCCGGGCGGAGGTGCGGCGCCGTAGGGTTGAGCAGGCGGGGGGGCTCCGTATGGTTGAGGAGATGGGGCGCCGTACGGCTGTGGCGGGGGAGGAGGCTGTTGCCCGTAGGCGTGAGGAGGCTGCTGGTAGTATTGACCCTGAGCCGGCGGAGGCGAGCCGTACGGCTGAGCGGGAGGTGGCGGCTGCTGGTAGTAGCCCCCTTGCGGCGGAGGGGGCTCTGGTTCGGTCAGCCACGATAGTTTGGATCAGCTTGCGGAAATCTGCTACTAACGCCCATATGGTGGATACCCGGGGTAGGACATGTCGCAAGAAGACGATGCCAACAGCGCAACTGTCGGTAATCGATGGGAGGTCGGAACTGTCTTTGTGCTGGTGGTCGGGCGACCAGTCGCTCAATGATTACAACGGACCGGGAATGCGGGGGAGGGGTAAAAGTCAGGTGGTGTCAGCGAAGGATGGGAACGAATTCCTGGCATTGGTGTACCCACGAGTGGGTAGAAGCGGGCTATATACGTGATGCCGATGGGGCTGTGGTCTCCCAACTGGATCATTTACGTCGCACTCACGTCAACACTGAAGAGTGGTGGCACTAAGAAGGCAGTGCTCTCATGATGTGGCTCAGCAGGCGCACTTGGACGGGACAAAACGCCAAGCTCTCGTCATCCCGTCCAATCTGTCCTGGAACCGCACCTCTCGAACGACGGACTCTTCGGATCGACAGGAGCATCCATGTAAGTCAGATCTGGAGGAAGGATGATTTCTCAGCGGTATGAACTATTGACGACTATCGGCGACATGAGAGACTCCTGATGTTTGTTAGCTTTTGAAGAAAAGGACTGCGAGTGGAGAACTTGGGGAAGGTTGCGACGGGAGCTCCAGCTTCAAAAGCTCTCCAAGAAACCTGAGTGGGGCAGAATTCGATTGTTAGCGAGGGGCACATGCGAAGGCCCCACAGAGCCTCGGAAGCGAAACCATTTCTGGACGAAGAGCTGCGAATGAACTTCCTTGGGGACAATCGCAAAGTCGTCGAGGTGGTAAGGAAAGCGTCCCAGAACAAACGAATACTCGCACAGAGTCGCTTGCGGCGCGTCTTGATGTGAAGTTTCCTCTGAGATACCGCTGCAGGTTGAACAAGGTTGGCCAGAACAGGTGGTTGGGCTTATGTGCCAGGAAACATCCCCAACTTCAACCACCTGAATTTTTGGCGACTCCATGGATGGATCGGTTACCATCATACCACCAAGTTGGAGAGGAACACCCACGGAAAGCCAGCCATCTCATTTTCAAAACTTGCTAGGACTTAATAGGTACCCGTGCTGATGATCACTTCGATGTTTGTGTCATGTCTCTCTCCACCCATATTCTCCTTGGGCATCGTACCTGTCGCGTTGCAGGTTTGGGCTTTGCGGCATCGGGCACTTGGGCCGGAGAGACAAGATGCATTTCGGCCGGACGACTTCCCTGGTTTGTGCTTTCCATCTCTTCATTACTCCTTACTGGTGCCTGCCGGTTGATGAGCACCACCTCTCACATTCCCAAGGCCTGTCGCCAAGAGCAACATACTCAGTGGTCCCGATCGATGGGGGTCCGGGTCCGGAAGACGGCTCCAGTGGGTCCGGCACAGGCGCCGGCTCCGGAAGTTCGCCGGTCAAGACGGTGACGGTCACCGTGGTGGAGGCGCCACCTCCGAAAACGTCGTTCCACACCGTTTACATCACGCAGGCCCCAGTCACATACCGTACCACAGACAGCCTCATGGTCACAAAAACGATTCAAATTGTGAGCATGGGACCGCCGCGCTCAGCAAGCTCTGCCTTCGTCTCTTCCGCTTCCACCGGCGAGCCTGCGTCAACGTCATCGGCAACAACATCGCCGCCATCAAGACTGGCATCTACCAGTCCGACCTCACTCAGATCCTTCTTGAGCACCTCAACCACAATCCCACTGTCAAGCGCACCATCATCCACCACCGCCCCCCTGCAAACGGGGCTCACCACCAGCACCAGGACACATGATAACAGCCAGTGGCACACGTCGTACCCGTCATGGAACGGGACCCTGTTGCACAGAGAATCTCGCGGTTGGCGCAAGCCACGGCGAGTTGTTTGACGGGCTTAAAGAGCTGAAACAGCGACACCGAGACCGTTGCCGAGTGTGGGGAGCTTCTTTACATACTTTATATGGAGAAGAACATGTACTATAACGTCAAGAGTTGGGGCACAACGTTGATCAAGAGCCGGAAAGCGTTTGGTAGTCGGGCAGGTGAGGCAAGCTACCTACTTTAGCACAAGGCTTGTTTGGCTGGGTGGTGTAACGGCCTGTATACATTCTCTCTTTTTTACGAAGACTCGTCATCCTGGATGGGTGATGATAGACACTGTGATAAAGTCGGGATCAATAACTGGAGTTGTTGGCGGTATCGTCCATGGAAAAAGACAAGTCAAACACGCTAAAAAGGGCAATTGCCGAAAGCAACAGTACAACAAGACAACATACCGCAGGGACAAAGACAAGGGCAGTGGGAGTTAGATTCATGCATACGGACTCGAGTTTTTGACTGTAAGGTAGCCAAGGATGTATATACAGAAATAGTCATCTTGAAAGCTACCGAAGTCTGGATGTGTCCGAGAGATGTCCCTAGCAGGTGAACTGCAACCCCTTGTTAGCACCACCCGTATTCCGAGTTTCAATCGAGGTGAAGGAAAAACTGACCACTCTGGGACCTGGGACGACGTAGTTGTTGAGATTGCCATTGTAGATCTTCGCGTTCAGTCAGCAGTCGTATCATGAGCGAGACTTGACAGAGGGAACGCACATTGACGGTGTATCCGGGGTCGGTGCTCTTAACGAACCCGGGAATCTGGGCAGTCGGAGAAGGCGTCGTGCTGCCGCCGTTGGTGACCTTGACCTGCGCACAGCTGATGTAGAACTATTTTACAGTGGCCCGTTTGTTAGTATCGATGTCTGAGGGTGTAGATAGGGGAGAGGGCCTACCTGTGGCGGCGCGCCGGGGTTGTGGAGGCCGAGTTGCTGGATGCGCAGCAGATACTCGCCGTCCGGGATGCACCGCGGGATGTTGTATGTGTACGAATCTGATCAACTCATCAATGACCAGCAACCTTCAAAAGCATGATACTACCCAGTTGGAAACTTACTTCGCATAGGCCAGCTCGACCCTGAAGGGCCCCAGTCAAAGATCTTGAACCACGGCCCGCTCCCGTCGTAATCCGCCACCGCGCCAGGGGCCTTGCTCATGTAGAGCGAGACGGGCCCGGCATGGTAGACGGCCGTGTCCAGGGTAAAGGTGAACTGGTCGCCGGCCTTCATGGTGATGGTCTCGGTGCCGTTGCTGACAGTGCCGCCGACATTGCACCGCAGGTCCACGGACGACAGGTCCGTGACGGGCCCGTTCTGCAGCCAGGCCGGGTTGCTGTTGCGCCGGATGTACTTCCAGACGGGATACTGGGTCCCGCCGGCGGAGAACTGCTGGAAGATATAGTGGCCGGCCACACTGTTTACTGCAAAGGCCGCGGCAGCGGCGAGGTGGAGGAGGGACTTCATGGTTGGAGAGTAAGCAAGGTAGAGCTGGTGGATGTCGAGAGTAGAAAGCAGGAACCAGGTTGGGTAAACGGGACGGCACGGTAGTGCTCCTGTTCCTTTATGCAGAGTTTGGGAGTCCAGGTGGCTCAGGGGCCGGGATAGAGCCTAGAGGCTTGAATTTAAGCACGCACCACATACGTTGCGAAGGCCATAAGCTATGCCTCGTCGAGAGATGTCAATCCATTCCCTGCTGTGCCACCTCCCGGGTCACCACTCCTGATTCCGCATCGTTGGGTTTGTGGGGTAGACAATGTGCAGCATTGATTTGTTGGTTTGTGTATGATTGAGCTGGCTCACGGAGCCGTAGTTCCGAGAGGGCCACAAATAAAGTAATGCGTGTTGATTACCCGGCAGTTGATCGCCAAATCTGGACGCGGAAACTTGGATTAAGTTACGATGACAGCAAGGCTAGGTTGAAATGGAGAGGCTCCCGGTTGGCCGGCTCTTCTACCAAGACTCATGAGGTGTTGGCTGTGGTAGCACCCGGGTTGGTGTATCCGATGACGTGCTTGGCGAAGAAGCTCATGGCCAGCAGACTGATTCCGCTGTCACGTAAGTTGAGGTACATACGTTACGTTGACTGCCTTGAGAAACGGGATCCATGCCCAACCGGAGTCATGACTGGTTGACTAGGTCCCTTTGGGTTACGGAACCAGCAGTCAGCTTTGTAGTATGCGTTGACCGGGCAGGTACTAGCCGTACGGTCAAACGCTTCCTTGCTGCCGTGGGAAAGGGCCAAGTAAGGTAGGTAGAGATAACACCGTTGATAGGGTATTTTGTCGGTGGGCTTCTAGCGTACAGCTGTTCATTTTGTTTGGGTAGTTCGGAGTCCAGATTGAGATAACGAAATCCACTCTGTCTTGCCTCGTCTGAATCTTTTGAATCTCTGTGGTTCTTGGTCACTTCGATCACATCTTTGCCTTTCCTTCCCACTATGCGAAGGGTTTCTTACGAGTTTGTTTGCGAGACTGCCCCCATAGCGCCGCCGAAGGCCCGGTCACCTTTCCGCTTGGCTGTTTCTCAAAGTTCGTTTCTGGCTCTGGGTTCAAAGCCCATCATCTCATCGTCCACCTCTTTCGTCTTTCTCAACCGCCAATTGAGCAGCGAGATAAGATCGTCGGCATGGAATATAATATTCTTTGTATCTCCTGCCATTGCCATTGCCATTGCCATTGCCCGCTGTTCGCCTTCATCATCTCCCTTCCTGACACAAAAGGGTCGCCCCAAGCGTAGCTCCCAACCGGTAGTGTATGCCTCCTCGCAATGGAGGGGGAAAGAGCAATCGGATCGCGGCCGTTAACCCAATTCTTTACCTTGCCAGTTTTGACAACAAGTCAACAATGATGTCCCGGGCCGACCAAGAATCAAGGTCGAGACCAATGCCCCCCAACACGATAGCCACATTTGCCTGATGCATTTGCAGCAGTTCCAGGGTATCCAGCGGCTTCAAGGGCTCGAAGTCGACGTAGGTAGCAAAGCGGCTCCGGAGCCCGCGGTTCCACCCATCAGCTTCTCCATGTCCTCCTCGTAGCCGGCCAGCACTACGACAAGCTTGCCGAAGCTGGGACGGTGGCGCGCGATAGGGAATATTCCCTCGGCCACGCGGACCGCTGTGTCCGAGGCGACGAGGCTGTGCTTGCGCAGCTTGAGGTGAAGTATCTGGGTGAGCTTCCGGTCACTGTACGGCTCGAAGCGGATGGTCTGGGCCAGCCGGAACCGACGCGTGAGGCCCGGGTTGGTCTTCTCGAAGGCTTCGGTCATGAACTCAGAATGACCGACCAGGATGACTGCTTCCTTACGCGTGCTGTTTGGGTCAACGTTGGCCACCATTGTGTCGATGACTGCAGCACGGAACACGTCCGTCCGGTCAGTGTTGTGCATGTTGTCAGGCAGGAGGAGGTGGAAGTCGTCGATGATCAGCACACCGCCTCGGGCTTCATCGGTGGCCTTTCTTTGTGGCTTTCTCATCCCAGCCGACGTAGCATCCGATGAGATCTGAGGCGCGCTTTTTCAGGATGATGTCATTTTCCAGCAGGCCGAGCTCGCTGAGAATACGTCCGTACAGGTTGGCAGCGGTGGTCTTACCAGTGTCGGGAGGCCCCAGAAAGCAGCAGCGGTTGGACAAAGGGGCCACAGCTGGCTTCCGCTCCAGCTCGGCCCGCTGGCTGAGCGCACGATCTGGCTGAGAAGCTGGCGAACCGACTCTTTGACCTGCTCCATGCCGATCATCTCCCGCAGCTCCGTCCAGGCCGTGCTTTTGTACCCCAACTCGACCGCGTTGGGGCCGAGCAGGTCGGATTTGGAGAATCATGTGTTCTCGTGCTCTTTCAGCAACATCATCCGCTCCTCGGCCTCGGTTCTCTTCGCCCGTCGCTGCTTCAGCCCTTCCACCGATGCTTGAACGTTACCGCGGGATTTCAAGCCTCTGTTGCGAGTTAAGCGCTGGACATATGCCGCCATAGAGGCTCCATCCCAGCCTCCTTGAATCTCCTTGTCTCCAAATTCCTCCTTGATTGTTGCCGTGAGCAATGCGAGCACGTCGTCTTCCGTGTAACGCAGCGGGACTGTACAAATCGCAGGCACTTTTGCGGTTGGCTGGAGAAGGTATTCCACAGCCTTCTCAACAGAATGATGCAAGACGATTACCGGTGGCTTGGGAGGCGTTGATTTCTCCAAGAGACGTGACAGCTGGCTGCCCAGTGGCGCGATGCCTGAGTATTTAAGATCGTCGACGAAGAGAATCTAGGACCGAGGATCAGCAGGTGTCGGAACAGCAGCTTGACTTTGCTCAACATGTACATACCCCACGCGCCCCATCGTCTGTGGGGAGTGCTTCTTTCCAGGCGTCATGCAGGTATCGATGTGGTGTTGTCCGGGCGAAGACGTCTGCCGAAACCAGGCCTAAGGACTGCAATAATATGATGTACAGTTTTGCTACCTCGCTTCCGTCTGAGATGGATCAGCTTCGAGTTCGATACGCAAGTGTATTAATTCCAATACACCAGAGGAAGATGTCACCTACAGCGGTCGATGTTGTGATCAACGAAGCGTGCGTTCAAGTTTCCAACCTCCAGGAGATCGCCGCCGCCCTTGATTATCTCCCGCGCTTCGTCATACACGCGTAGGAGATGGGCCGTCACATCCTCGAGCCCGTGATAAAGCATGCCTTTGTCGAGGGCTTCGTTATCTTGCTGGTCTCGCTCCTTCTGGAGGATCCACTGCTGCCGAGATAAGGACTTGTCGGCCATGTAGCGTAGGCGGACTGTGCTGGCCGAGTCCTGGCATGAGGTTGCTGGCGTGTTGTCTACCTGTATGGATTCCGGGCACGTTGTGGGGAACTCTGATCCGTCTTGAGCGGCCTCAGTCTTGTGGCCGTCCTCAACGAGCGTTCAGTTTTCTTTAAAGCACTGTCCCTGATGGCGTTCACCGGTTGATTAGGGGGTTCCTTGCCGGTCGGGTAACTCTTCAGGGCAGCTCATTGTGAGGTGTTTGGCTTACACTGAGGAACTTGAACAGTTATGTACTCGAAGACACTTGAAAGCGAAGAATATAACATTAATGCTTGCGCAACGGAATGATGGCTGCCTTTGGCATAGGCCCTGAGATTGGGATCACGGCGTGGTGACTCCAAAATGCCACTGTGCCGCATGCAACAAGCAATGAGACGTGCTCAGCTAGCGCTTGAAGAGCCCAAATGTGTTGGCTCCCTTTGTGTTATCACTTCGGCGAACGAAATCTTCAACAACAAGCAGAGGCCGAGTGTCAGGCAGTAGCGAAGCTGTTCTGGGATTGGATGCAAGCAAGGCATGAAATTGCATATGGTTGAATCAGTTGGATGGTTCGGAGAGCCAGGTAGACACGCGGTACCTCAGTCTACTAGTACCCTGAAGTAGGTCTCTTTCAAGTAATCAGTTCCTTATGCAGGCCGGGTGTGTGAGGTTTCATCAGTCAACAACGGGCAAAATACTAGGTATCTCCAGTGCGCTGGCTTCACAGTTGAATTCGCACTAATGCAGCGGCCGCCATTAGGTATAGTAGGTGGCTGTAGACTCTCGTACTTCGGTGAGTTGGCTCACTAATAGGATCGGGGACGGACAGGAGGCAAGTGTCGAGTTTGAAGCTGATTCCTACCTGACCTAACATTCTCAGAATAGCTTTTTTTGTTGCCGCCTGAAGATCTATGCTGCTGAATTCCGGTGATGCTTGAAAGAGTGGCAGATGATTGCATATTGACAACGGTAAGGTGGGGGCATCTAGGCGATGCTTGAAAGATACCTATAAACAAGGTCGGTATTCATGATGTGTCCCAGCCTCCGCCGCTCTCATTCTCTACTTAGTAACCCATTTCCCTACTCATCCATCCACACTGAGCACTTGCCACTTTCTACCAGTCCGCTTCGTGCCCAAGCTCTCATACTTTGGTTCTTCGGTCGTTTCCTCCTTCCTATCCGTATCTTGGCTGTCCTCAGACCTCTGGGTGCGCCCCTTGCCCTCATCCTCCTTATACCATGAAAGACCTCTCCTCCACGCCGGATGGTCATATCTCCAAAGCGCATACAGTTACAGGCACCCATCTGGCTCCTTCTCTGCTTTATCACGCAATTCGTCCGGTAAGCACATGGAGAGCTACCACCCCGCGGCGTTTGCCTCGATTTCCCTAATCAACCACTGTCAGCTCGACGAATAGTAGGCGATGAGGGTTACGATGAGAAACGTTAACGAAAGGAAGCGCAGCACACGTGTCGCTAGCGAGATCAGAAAAGTACTCACCAGCGGTCGTATGGAGATTCTTTCCATCGAGGTTCGACCAAACCCAAGCCGTGCGCAAATTCGCTTAACGTCGTCGATGTAGGCCTCAAATCTTCTGCCTCCTGCGGGTACTAGTCGCAGTAAAACTCTGGAAAGTCTTCTGGGCACAGCCCGAGGTACTTGCCACTCGCAACGCGCCGCTTGATGTCCTCGCGGTAATGCGTATTCGGGCTCTTCAGCGCCTGCTGCTAGAGGCGCACCGTGGGCTTTGGTTTGATCTCGTCGTAGATCTACGGGTAGTCAGCCGCAATGCTTGCTAGGGCGACGGACTGCCGTATGTCTGGATTGTTGGGCCGACGGCGGATCAGTTCTATGAGCGTTTCCAGACGCGGAAAGAGCGGATGCTAGAACAGGTGCGGGAACTAGGACTAGCAATCACCTCCGTGGTCGTTGTGGTCCTCGGTGATGTTTGAGAGGTCGTTAACCATGATGCGGCGAGCTAGGGAGGCCTCGCCGATGGGGCAGTGCCAGTGAGCGGGTTCGGCCAGCTCGAAATCGTGCTTGCCCCAGTACATAGCGAAGCTGATGCTTTGGTAGATGCCCCTGATGACCGCCTCCTGCCCCATTCTGATCAAATAGGGCGCCGCAGGCGGTGGTGGCGATCGACGTTGCCCGTAGGCGGCCATTAAGATGAGGTCGTCCTTGAGAGTTGTTGGAAGGTCCGGCGGCAGAGGAGTGTGGAGGAGGTTGTTAATTTGCGTGGCAGGTGGGTAGCTTGTGCCCGTGACGGATCCCACGGGCGGTCCTTTTTGCGTGGCCGGTCGGACCACTCTTCCGTGATGTCGAGATAGCTGGGTCAGACTCAATGCTGGTCTCCATCACCGTTGCGCTTATCGGGAGGTGGGCTAAAGGTCATGTCGCCGTTTAGACCGGCGCCTGCACGGGGTTGACGGTGCGCCTGTAGTCGTCCATAACTGCGTGCCGCGTCGGCTGGCTCATGGTGTGCTCAAAGATGGCGGTCGAGCCGTCGTTTCCAGACTCCCGGGCCTTCTCGGCAATGGATACTTCGGGGAGGGTCAAGCTCAAAGTACAGCGCCGTGTAGCCAGCCACAGCACATGCACGTCCGACCTGGTAAGGGAGGGCCGGGAACCGGCGAGCGAGCTCGCGGTAAGTGTCCTCAGTGGCGAGGCCGGGATACCAGACGCAGTAAGGCATCTCGTCTGGGCTGTTCCGTCGAAAATCGCATTGCTAGTCATCAGCCGGGCGTTGGCCCTGCGCGTCAAGCGCGTCAAGCGCAGCTGCTTCTCTGTCGCTCGGCTTCGGCTTCACGCGCCTTGCTCTGCAACCTCAGCTCGCCTAAGGTTCCCGTCGAAGAGTCGGAGTATTAGGAGGAATGACTCCTGTAGTAGACTGCTCCTCGTATCGGCATTCTTGTTGATTATGTTTGGGGTTTCAAAGATTGTGTGAGATTGCCCAGTACAGACTCTCCGCCGCTCCGGAACATCTATCCCCGAATCTGCCGGGGACGCTCGGTCGTGCCGTGCAAACTGCCGACGAGGTCAACCCCGGCGTTATCCCCGGCCCCGGAAAATTTACCCCGGACGCCCGCTGCTCCAATGGAGACGCTATTCCAGGCCGATCCAATGCAGTGGAGCCTTAAGGATGGCCATTTTCTTTTGAAGGCATGTTTTTAAACATTACTCCTCCTTTCAACACTTCTCGCATCGCAATGGGCATATCCCAGAACTGCCTGTCCCTGTCCAGCCATCTACGTTGAGTGATCATGTCGAGCGATGGTCCTGAGACTGCTCCTCAACATGGTGACGAGAAGAGTACCACAGGCGGGGTGGATCAGCGGCCGAGGTCGGAGGACCCGGAGGTAAGCGATGCCGCCGAGGTTGCGGGAGAGAACGCCCAGAACCTGACACCGGGGCTTCCTTTTTCGAAAGCGCGGTGCGTTGCCCTCGTGGCCACCTTGACGGGAGCAAGCTTCCTCGGGGTAAGTCGACTCCTATTTTGGCACACAGTTTTGAAACCTCAAGTGCTCACTAGAGCGAGCAGAGCTTGTCAGCACAAGCCGTCGTGATCATTCTCCCAACTATTGGCGAAGATCTCAACATACCAGAAGCAAGACTTCAGTGGATTATCTCCGCGTATTCGCTCACGTTCGGATGCTTCTTGCTCTTTTGGGGCAGAGTGGCCGACATCTATGGGAAGCGCAAGATCTTCATCTGGGGCTCGGCATGGTTCGCCGTGACGACGCTCGTCAACCCTTTTATACCGAATGAGATTGCATTTGACTTGTTCCGGGCACTGCAGGGCCTGGTAAGCATAGATTCTCTCTGTCCATCTATTGCTGGGGAAACTGGAGGCGACAACTGACGGTCTGAGCAGGGTGCCGCAGCCAACGTCCCAACTGCGATTGGGATTCTAGGAACCACTTTTCCTCCAAGCAAAGCCAAGAACTATGCCTTCAGCTGCTACGGTATGCGATTGCTGTCCGTCTCCGATATTTAGTTTGAGCACAGCTGACACAGCCCCTTGGTCAGCCGCTGGTGCTCCGTTGGGCGCCGTAATTGGAAACTTGGTCGGCGGCATCGTCGCCCAGTATGCCTCTTGGAAATGGGTGTTTGTGGTGATTGCCCTCGCAGCATTTGCCATCAGCGCAGCTGCAATATTCGTCATCCCGCCTCCCAGAGACCCTCTCCGGGAAGATGGCACACCCAGGCCATCGATCGACTGGCTAGGGGCTGTTTTGGTCACGGTCGGGCTCCTTGCGCTCCTCTTCGCCTTGACCGAGGGTAACGTTGTTGGATGGAACACGCCGTGGGTGGGCGTGCTCATTGTTGTCTCCCTCATCCTCATCGCGCTCTTCGTTTTCTGGCAGAGCCACCTCGAAAAGACGGGAAAGCTGGCCCCGATCATGAAGGTGTCGAATTTCCGGAACCCGCAGTTCAGCGCTGCCATGGCCATCATGGCCGTTTTCTTCAGCGCTTTCAACGGATTTCTGGTGTTTGCGACCTACTTCTACCAGGATTATCAGGGGCACGACCCCTTGCAGACAACGCTCCGGTTCATGCCCATGGGCATCACCGGCTTCATCACCGCCGCCATTGTGTCGCAGCTACTGGCCAGGGTCCCCACGTACATGCTGCTGGTGGTTGGCAACGCCTGCGTCTCTGTCGCGGCCTTGCTCTTTGCTGTTCCGATCCCGCCCGACACAATATACTGGGCGTGGTCTTTCCCGGCAATGGTCCTGTCGGTATTCGGTGCCGATACCACATGGCCGTCCCTGATCCTCTTCACCAGCCACTCGCTGCCGCAGGCTGATCAAGCTCTCGGAGGTGCGCTGATCAATGCGATGGGGCAAATTGGACGTGCGATCGGGTTGGCCTTGGCCACAGCGGTTCAAACAGCGGTGATGGCGAAAGAAAGAGGCGTCGATGTTCAGGAGGCCGGCTCTGTCGAGGTGGGAGACATGGCTTCGCTTCTTGGGCTTAGGGCTGCCGAATGGCTGAATTTCGGTCTTGGAATTGTCGCGCTGCTCCTGGTGCTTGCTGCATTCCGAGGGACTGGCATTATCGGGAAGGCAGGATCAGAAGGGGCGCGAAGAAAGGGAAGCGCAGCCGGCCCGGTGCCGAAATGAGGAGAATGGGAAAGCCTAAACCTATCAATTGATCGAGTAGGAGCCAGAAAAATCATCGGATACTTATTTGGCTGCCTACCTCAAGAATACACATCGCTTGACCAGTTGATGACTTTGCGGCCAGTGTGTACTTCCTATTAACAAAGGAACAAAGGTATAAAGGCTTGCAAAAAGGGAAACTCAATGCTAGTTGGGTGAACCAGCGCGCCTCGAGTTCCCTGCCACGACCTTAGGTTTGGAGGAAAGTGCGACATTAGAAACTTTAACTATCCCCGGGCCCAAGGCAGGTCTTGCACGCCCTGAACCCCTGGTAGACATATGTATGAGTGACGGTAGCAGAATTCAATATGGGCACGCCCCCTACTTTCGAGGTCGACTATCAACTTGAACTCGTTAATAAGAAGCTTCGGAGGGACCTTCAGTTGGTGACATGACAATGTCAGTACTGCTGACTTGTTGGACTTTCGCAGCCACTAACTTCTAAGCACTTGGCTTTACCTTAAGTATTATTTTCCGAGTTCAAAAACTCTTTCAGTCTTTCTTCGCTTTGGATGACTCAAACTCAGAATGGGGCTGACTCCGATTTCCTCCCGCAAAAGGTAAAACTCATCACACGTCTGTTTAAGCACATGCATGGTTTCCGGGTGGCTGCTGCTTGTGTCAACTTGCAGGCAGCCATTATGCATCAATCGCATCGGCAACCACACGGTGCTGCCAAAGTTCATTCACAACACTGTATTTGAAACAGTAACTCTTCTCCGGCACAATACAACAATAACATGCCCGACATCGAAGACATCAACACCATCATCAAGCGCTCCGTCTGCAACGGTCGTGAATTTGTCACGCGCTCAGATGGCACCTCCTGGACACGAAAGCTTGATCGCGCCACCAACCAACTGGTTAGCGACTGGACACCGGTCGAACAACCCCCGGCTGATACAGAACCATCACAATCTGAGCAGCGACAACAGCAGCAACGCCTGGCCGCGCGATACCTATCTATCGTAGCCGAGCACCAGGCCCCAAACGAGCCCAAGCACTGGTCCCTCTTTACTCACATCCTGCCCGCCAACTCCACCACCGACACCGCGCGCGGCCAAGTCTGGCAGGTCAAGGGCGACGCAGAGCTGATGCATCACGATTACGCCGCAGACGTCGACCAGCTCAACTCGCCCGACTTTGCGTGGCATCAGGTCCTGAGGGACGACCTGAGCGAGGAAGAGTTTCGGAGGGTGGACGAGATTGCACGGGCCGAGAGCCCGCCGCGGGCGGTCAATCGTGCTGCCGTGAGGGAGCATTGCCAGGGGTGGGTTGTGAGGGTTGTGAAGCAGTTGGTAAAGGAAGGGATTGTCAAAGAAGGGATTGTGGCCGGGTTGGAAGCCGTAATGGATCCTATTGTTAGGTAATGCAACAATGAACGGAAGAGGAGGGAAGGGAGACGGAAGTGCGTGGATGGATAGTTCATTCTGTTTGACTTTGTTTCTTGTTTGTCTCTAAGCGAGGGTCCATTAAAAGAGCATGGTGTTGAATAATAACCTTTAATTGAGTAAGGTTGACTTGTTGAAGGTTATACAAGTTTTATGAATGCTTCACCCACAGCCCTGAGCCCTCGAGTCGTCTTGTCAGGATTGGGGCATTTCAAGCGGGGGAATCCTCTGGTGTGAGCCAAGCTGCCCGACAAGTCTAAACTGTAACTAACGATTCTCTCCTGACTTCCATTGACAAAAGAGCGCTTGTACATAGTTACCTATAGTTTTGACTCTGAGACAGCGAACCTGTGTTCAGCGAGACGATTGCTCTGTTCTCGTCAACCCTTTGGATGCCGTCATTTAGCATCATGCCTGTCATAATGCATCGGAAAAACTCCTGACGGAGTTGCCGAATACATATACCAAGCTGAGCAGGTTCGCCAACTCAGTCCTTCGCTGCGATGGGTACCCTAGTCAGTGCTAGGAGAAAGACTCAGTGTTCCACTCATGTGGATTCAAAGAAAGGGCCTATAACAAGTTGATAATTATGTGCTTTTTTCCTATAGTGATCCACTACCTCTACAAGGACCACAATGTTTCTCATCACTCCTTTTCCCAAGGCACAAGGACCGTGTGATACTGACTTCTGCAACAAGGAGTGGTGTTGTTGATATATACAAGAACACTGGCAAAAGTGGAGAGCAACAATGTCGATAGTCCATGGGAACATCTTTGTCCCAGTGCCAACACTGCTGTGGATATATTGGTTGAGTCGCTCCCGCTCTGACTTCAATCTGGACTGTATTTCTGGCTGGAGAACCGAGTCTTTCGGCTACAAATCTTTTCTCTCTCTTCAGATCCAGTACTGCTGTCCTTGGTTTCGCCAGCACTGGGATGGCCTCCCCCGCCTCAACTCCCGAAACCCTTGGTTCGTCAAGCCCCTATTTTCCCATATCGTCGCCTAGGTGGGAAACTCCAGGAACAACACCTTTGGGCAGCTTGCAGCCGCGACAAGACACTGCCCATGGCGATATCTGGCGGGCTCATATAGAAAAGCAACGGCTTGCTGCCATATCACGTCTGGGACTGGACAGGACGCCGTCCAAGCTCGCAAGAGAGACAGTGCCTTCTGCCGTCCGGAGTCGGGACCATGCTCGCTCCGGAATGGAAACAGACTCGCAGTTGTGGCCAGTTTTGTCCGGCCGATGGCCGTCAATTCTGCAGAACAGTGACAACACTGCGCCGGCGACCAAACCGGTTCTCCAGGACCGGTTTCCTACTGACAGTCCTTCCAGTTTTGCCCTACCTCCCACACCAATTTTGACTGAACCTGCCTCTGCTGCGAATTGGACACCTCAACCGCTTATCCCGCTCTCCTCATTTTCTTCGCCGATTCCTCGCCAATTTCCACTTCAAAAATCGCCGTCCTCACTTTGGACGACTCCCGGACTTTCGACCGATAGCGTCAATGCACCCTCCTCGCCCAGCCACTCCAGGATGCGGGTTGATAACCGATTCGACGAGTTCAACCTCGTCGGCCATCCGGACCAGGAAGGGCCAAACGACTTTAACATCGAGCTTCACCAAGGCGGCGTCAAGCAGACATCCATCAACATGCATGGTCAACAACCCATCGCTTCAGCACTGCCTGCTGTTAGTCTTGCATATCCTCCTCGCCAGAATTCGTTGGAAGCCGTCCCTCTGCAGGGCCGAGCCTTCTCATCCCCAACTGGACCATTCTCGGTTGTCGAGAACCAATCGTCCGCTCATTCCTCTTGGTTCCAGCCGACTTCCATGAACCAGCAGGTTTCCGCGCCGACGTCTGCCGATTTCCCTGTCGCGACCCAGGCTGGCCTTCAACAGCGCTTCAACAGCGTGACCAACACCATGACCATGAACACCATGACAAACAACCCGGCGGCCGATCACTCGACCTTCTACCAGCCCATGCACTGCCGCAGCGCCGATCGGCCTCCCACCCAGTACGAAGCGCACGCGCTCCTGCTGAAGGGGTTCTCGCCCAACTACCGCGGCGATCCGGACCTTGCCCGAAACCAATCGGCCGCGATCCCCGCCGAGGCCAACTGCAGCCTCTTCATCGTCGGCCTTGCTCCCGACCTCACTCCTCACGAACTCTTATCCGGCATCCGGAACATCGGCCGCGTGTACGCGACACACATTAACCCGCCCGTTCCAGATCGAGGCCACGTCTTCAGCGCAGCGAAATTGGTGTTTTTTGAGAGGGCTGGCGCCGGTGAGTATTTCATCTTTCTCTCCACCTCTTTCCTTTTGCATGGGTTCGTCCGCTAACAGTTTGCCCTCCTCCACCCCACCACAGAGGCATTCTACAATGCATACTCGACAACCGGCTACGCCACCCCGCGACACCCGCACCTGCGCGCCCGCGTGACGTGGAATCGGGTGCGCTCGGCCGAGGTGGACAAGGGCGGCCGGCGGTCGCGCGTGCTGCTCATCAGCGGCCCCCCCGCCATCGTCAACCAGCAGTACCTGTGCGCGTACCTCAACACCAAGATGGTCTACCACGTCGACGAGCTAATCCACCGCGGCGTGAGCGACGACGGCAGCCGGGTGCTGCTGGAGTTTCGCTTCGGCAGTTTCCGGTGCCAGGCTGAGGCGGCGCGCATGGCGCTGATGAGGGAGTTTCGGGATGTTGGGCTGGTTTGTGAATATGGTTAGTTTTGCTTCCTCTGCTCTTCTTGATGCAAGTCGATTCAGCCTAGCTGACGCCCTTGTAGGACGGGACCCGTGTGATCGTGTTCCGGAGCAAATCTGAAATCCTTTTCCCATGTGGCGAGAGGTCCTCCCAAATTGGAATTAAGCCAAGTGAGTCAGGGAAGGCGTGGTATGGAACGAGGTCAGCAAATGGTTGTCGTCTGAGCGATGGCGACCGCCCGATCACGAATATGGCTCAACGTCGACCACGGATATTTTTGTTTTGCTTTCCATCGGTAGAGAACTCGTATCATTCTTCACAGAACTCACACCGGAATATCCATTAAGGCATATAAAAAGGTGCGAGTATTCTGAGGGTATGACTTAGGCACCTACTGGTCTGAACGCATGCTCTCGTCCAGCGGGATGGGCATGTTGTAACTTTGTAACATTTTAGTTGGGTGTCCTGACTGCGCCGGCTGCGCCTGCGAACGTGGCAAGAGCCATACCTTCGATCAATTTATCCGTAAGGTATCACAAAAATAAGGGGAAAATGCATCATATTCAACACCTTCAGTCGTGACTATGAAAATTGGCAGTGTGGTGAAGTGATAATAAGGTTGCTCATTACTCGTACCCTGACCCACTTACACGACCAAAGCTCCATGACGTCATAGTCAAGAAGCGCCGCCGGGACACCAATCCAAGCCATCATGATGACATGCAGCGACACGTAGCGAAGTATGATGTATGCCTGTGATCCGGAAAGGATGGAAATTCTGCAGCAGTGAGTGATCCCGGTTTGACGCTGAGAGCTCCTCCTCAGGCAGCCTTTATACCAAGCAGACATGCATTACGTCACTGTGACCGGAACTCCCTGTCCAAAGCTTCCACCACCTGTTTGTTCGGAGGTTTGGGACGCTGAAACATACTGCTGGTTCTTTCAGAAGTGACAGGAGTGGCTCTGTCAGCTCCAGACCGTTTGGCCAAACCGGGAATCGGTGACGTCCTTGACCCGCCACGCTCAACGTGCAGTGCCTTCCGACCCTGATTGCAGCTGCACTCAACTCACAAAAGCAGAACTTCCTCCCTCAACCATTCTCTTCTGGCAGATTTGATGCCCCAGAGCTGCAACCCAAAACAAACACCGAAAATTCGACACCCTCATCACACCAAATTTTGATTGAGAAAACAAACCACCGCTGCCATGAGGTTCGCGAAAACGTTCCTCACGCTGGCCCTCGCGGTCAACGGCGCTGTTGCCAGCTCTTGGTTCTCCAAGGCAGGTAAGTTTAGTACAACCTCCTGCATGTCGATGGTCTACTGACATCACAACAGCATACAACAAGTGGCATGAGACTGAGCTTGAGCGCTGGCTGTCCGACAACGATATCCCCTACCCGACCCCGGCCGACCGCAAAGAGCTAGAGAATCTCGTGCAAAAGAACTGGGAATCAAGTGTCGTCGAGCCTTATCGGAATTGGGACAAGGAGAAGCTCACCAGCTACCTGAAGCAAAAGGGTGTTGAGAGCACGGGGGCCGCCGAGGATACTCGGGAGTCTCTGCTTGCCCGCGTCAAGAATAGCTGGTATGAGACGGAGGACAATGCGCAGAATGCCTGGCTCAATACCAAGGACTGGATTCTGGACACTTGGACCGACAGCCAGCTCAAGGCTTTTTGTGATCGCCACGGCATTCCGGTTCCCCAGCCTCGCAAGCGTGACACTCTCCTCCAGAAGATCCGTGAGAACTACGAGACCATCGCCAAGAAGGCCGGAGACGCCGCGGCTTACCCTGGAAATTGGCTGTATGAGACTTGGTCTGGTAAGTATTCCCCGGAGTATGGTTGATGAAACAATTCGAGCTGAATGTGATGTGATTGCAGAGTCTGACTTGAAGGAGTGGCTCGACTCTCACGGCTTCCCGGCGCCCCAACCGACCACTGTATGTCGTCTCAGATCGCGCTCTATCTTGCTGTTGCTGACTCCATTGCTAGCGCGACAAGCTCATCGCCTCCGTTCGCCGCAACTCTCGTCTTGCGTACCTGCGGATGCAGGAGCAGCAGGAGAGCTCCAAGAAGAGCGCTCAGCAAGCCTATGCTGCCCTGACCGACAAGCTCATTGACTCATGGAGCGAGTCCCAACTGAAGGAATTTTGCGACAAGAACGGCATCCCAGGTACGAACAGCACTGTTAGTGCTTGTTAGTCCCGCCGCTAACAAGAAAATAGTTCCCCAAGGCACTAAGCTTAACCACCTGCGCTCCCTTGTCCGCAAGCACCGCGCCGAGATCTTGGGCGACACTGTGTCTGGTACTGCCGCCTCAGCCTTTGGTGCTGCTACTTCCAGCGTCGGTTCCGCTGCCACAAAGGCCACCGATACCGTGTCTCAGGCTGCGCGAGACGCTTTCGACAAGGCCATCAACACCTGGTCTGACAGCCGTTTGAAGGCTTACCTTGATGCTCGCGGAGTGGTATGTCCCCTCTTCCAAGCCGTCCCATTCTATGTCGCTAACAACAGATATCTACCAGCCTGTTCCCCAAGGCACTAAGACCAACGATCTCCGTGCCCTGGTGCGCAAGCATTCCCACCTGGCTGCCTCGGCCTGGACCGCCTGGACCTGGGAGGATGTGAGCGTCGAGAACCTTCGCAACTACCTCGCAAGCAGCGGCAACGCCGCGGCTAAGAAGGTGTCGGAAAAGTCGGGTGCGACTCGCGATGAGCTGGTGGCGGCCGCCCAGTCGGCCTACGCCTCGGCTTCTTCCGCCGGCGGCGGCTCGTGGGCCTCGGCCACGTCGTATCTCGCCAAGGCTACCGACTCGGCCAAGGCCAACGTGTTTGAAACGTGGAGCGAGAGCGAGCTCAAGGCCTACCTCGACAGCTACGGCGTCCCCGTGCCGCAAGGGTCGACGCTCAACGAGCTGCGCGCCATGGCCCGCCGCCAGCACAACTACTTCAAGTACGGCACCACCACGCCGACCGAGACCATCTTCGCTAAGGTCAAGGAGAATGTGCTGGGCGGATGGGAGTGGGTCACGAGTCAGCTGCGCATTGGGTCTGATGCCGCCAAGAAGAAGACTCAGGAGGCGAGTGACATCGCCGGTGAGAACATCAAAGGAGCGGGTGAGAAGGTCAAGGGGGCCGGTGAGAAGGTTAAGCATAATGAGCTTTGATCCTGCCCATCCCTGCCTTGGCCTGTTCCCGTCGCCTGGTGACATCAAACTGGTCATCGGCTGCGGACACATGGGTGGAGCGATTGCGTCCGGGAGGAGGTATGATTGTGATTGTAAGATAATAAGTCCCTTGATGGAATGATGGTGTGGAGGTCCGAGGGTGATGGATGGGTTTGGCCTTTCGCTGGAGGATGAGATCGGGCTGAGGACATCGGAAGGATGATGTACCCGACTGGCTGCGTTTCCGCGACCAGAGGGAGTAGTGCTGGACCGAGATCGCTGGAGTTAGGCTAATTAGTCGTTGATTTATCAAAATCTCGTCTCGGTTGTTTGTACAATCGGCAAGTGTGCGGATTATTTCCTAACACTCGCACTGCCTGATTTGCGCTACAGAAAGGCAGTGAGAGTACCCTAAGGGATGTGGGAGTAGGCTATGAGGCTGCCGGCCATGTCACTTGGATGAGGAGGATAAAGTGGAAACGTAGATATTATCAGAGTGGTCCATATCAGTGAGTGGGCCACTCTAATATACGTGTATATTCGTCAAACTAACAAAGAACTGTTAGGCGACTTAACAATTTTCTTGCTATAGTTCTGCGATAGGTTCACTAATATTTGTTAGAGTGGCCCACTCACTGATATGGACCACTCACTGATATAAACCGTTGATCAAAATACGTAATAACTAGTTATAGTTATAACTAAATGGTGACTAATGTTATGCTGTTGAAACAGTATTTGTTCGATCTCCATGCGCTACAAATACTACAACACACTGACAGATGAAACACCTTGTCCCACGACGTCCGACCTGCGTCATTTCGTGCATAGAGTTCGCGCTCGACTCGTGCCAGACGGCGAAATGTTGTTCTCAAATATAATCGTTAACGTACCGAATTATGCCCAGGCTATTGCCAGCCTTGTAGGATGAAAGGCAGACCACAAGCTACCAGATTGGGTTGTGATGAATCATTTGCAAAGTGGCAAGAATGTGGTCAGCCAGGCCAGTAAGGCATTCCGAAATATGCCCATCCATTCTCCCAGTGTCACGGGATTCCCCGTTCCTGTTCTCATGGTTATGTCATATGCTTGCGGTTATGCATACGTCATGAGGTCTGATCATACGTCTATGGTCATGCTTACGCATAGGCCTCTGCTCCAGTACACAAGGTCTGGTTGCACGCCCATTCCTATCATCTAGCTCTTGCTCTCGTTGTAGCAATATCGATCTTGTATGTGAGAGCTGACCAGACCTTGGGTGGTGCCCGTCACACCCAGTATATACCTGCCAGCGAAGTGTACAAGTCCAAACCTCCGGGATGAAGACTCATGTTGGAGCAGCAGGGAGGGCATGGATCCTAGATGGATGTGAATGTCGCGTACATCTCGCTTAACATTATCAGTGGGTGGGCCACTTTCTACTACCCTACAAACGCCATCCTTAATTACAAACCAACAACACTAGGAACCAACTATAATTACATCAGAAACAGCTGAATCAGATGCTTCTACGGCCTCATGGCAAGTGCGGGCATTATGGCCAGGCTTACCGCACACACCACAGCACCGAACCCTCGCACGACCGCCCCCTGTATCACTACTTCCCAACTGCGTTTCTTGCACTCCCTCTCCACCAACATCCCCTTGACCTAGTATCCCCTGTGCTCCCTGTACAGTGAGTGATCCACCAAACTGTACACGTGTCTTTTTGGCTCTCCGGCGCTTGCTTAGTGCCTCGTTGGCCTTGCGGAGAGAAGCGACCTCTGACTCGAGGAGAGCCACTCGATGCATTATAGCTGTTGTGCCCTTGGCAAGCTGGTCTGCGGCAGTCAACATTGAAGTTGGAGAGCTGTTTTGATGGTTGATAATGTGAGTCTTGATGAGCGTTGACTGTGCATTAGCTTCTTGGGGGTTGTGGGGTGTCTGGAAGACCCAAGGTTGTGGTGTGCTAGGCCGTGAGGTCGTGGGTGTTCCATACGAGAGTAAACCACTCGCCAATGACCTTTGGATCCTCGCACTTAGCCTCTGGTAGTCGTATCTACGCGTATAACGCGTTCGGAGTTCTGGCTGGCGTTTGGCAAATCAATGCGCCCAGAGTTGACCGACAGGGGGCGCGTCGCGTTCGTGTAGCAGGTGGTTGGCCATTTCTTCCACACCACTAAGTCTTGGTGGAAAACATCGTGTAGATAGCTCAATGATGTATTGAACAATGGCCTCCTCTTCTAATTGAGTGAGCTTCTTTACCCCAGGCGTTGTATCGTGTCGTGCAGTCTTGCGATCGCGTCGGCGTGTAAGAGTACTACGGCTGACGCTGTAGATCTTTGCTGCATCTCGTAGGCTTAGACTTTTGTCACTTTGAAGAGCCTCAAGGGCTAAGAGTACTCTGGCTTCTTTTAAAGTAGGAGGCATACTAGCTGATGGATGAAGTTGATGTAATGTGTAGATGTAGCGCGTCGCGTGGAAAAATGGCGCACTCACTGATATGGCCCACTCACTGATAATGTACGTTACTATTGATGCGTTCTACTTCGAATCCAGGGCTATCATGCACTTACAGAGCCTGGGTTAGCTCCGGCTTATGTCAATGGGAGAACGATGTAAGGTCTTCGTCAAGTTTTCGTTGGAGAAATGGCACGCTGGGGGCGCGTACGGCGCTTGTTTTGGTGAGTGGCCGAGGTGCAAAAAACGAAAGACAAATAGGCAAGTTACTAAACTGCAAGTAACTCAGAAGGACCCTGAGACGGTTGTGACCCGGGAAGTCAGGGTGGTACGAGTGGCTTCTCGGGCGCAGTAAAGAAAGGCCTATGAAGAAGCTGAGGGGTGTCAGTATGGAAAGTTTTGGAACAGGGTTTGTCGAGATTAGGTCTGAATGTCTCAAACTCCGAGAAAATGGGCAAGATATAGGGCGTATGTCATGGCAGTGACCTACATGGTGCATGGCGACGCTGACATGCTGAGGAATCCACAGGGGCCGGAATCGGGACCGACAGTATGGATCTCGGACAGGGTGCGTCGATTGGCATGAGATCGGCGTCTGTTGCAACCACTGCAAATAAGCGTCGTAGATCCTCGAACTCAATCCCCTCCGCAACTTGCGGGTGGTGCTGCCGGTGTCTTGCATGCGCCCGCGTCAAGCCCCATCATGCATATGCAAGGTGAGTGGCAGTTGAGATTGGATTTTGATGTTCCGACTCCCGAGAATCTGGATAGGACGAACCATGTTGCAAATCTAACATTCGGATGTTGTTCCACGAGACTGGCGATTGTAAGGGGAATTGGCAGCATCGAACCGGGCTAACTAATTGATTACATGAAACTATGTCCGAAACGTTAGGTATCTATGAAGATTCATAACTACATTCCCATCGCATTGGATGCTGATTATCGGATATCTTTGTATGAATAAGCTGCTAATGCGCTCGTAGAACGGGAGTAGAGATTGAAAACGGATCGTGGTTTGGCGAGTTCTGACTGCTTCTAAGTCGAGCATCTCGAAAGGTTCGAGGCTGCAGCAGTCTGCTATGTAGATGGTGAATCAGTCACTTGTAAGAGACTTGAGGAAAGAAATCGAACAGATGGACGGGAAGCCAAGGCGCCAACTATGCAGTTGGTTGTGAGCTTTCTTGCGACCGAAATTGGAAACTGAGTCAACCGAAATCATGAGGACGAGGTGGTATTCTGCCTGCTCTGCCTAGCGCACCTTCCAGATTTGCATCAATATTTTTGGTGACGATGTCACTATCTGGCACAAGAGTGGATCGCAAACAGGCAGGGCAGACCCCACAGGCTTCCGGACAATCTTCCCGAACTCCACTGAGATTTCCAGTTCAAAGACTGGAAAACTCTCCTTGAACACATCAACTTTTTCCAAATAAACAGCCTTGTCAAGATTGGGGTGTTGTGGCCCCTCAGGACGCCGCAAAATCCAAGGTCGTCATTGCCGCAAGCGTGGTACTACTCGATTAACTTCACACGTCCGTTCTGCCTGTGCCTCTTGCAAGCTGTGTCCTTCCGGGTCTTGAAATTCCGTCCGGCTCTATACGGTCCCGACCGAGAGCGCTCCTTGCCGGTCTTCATTGCAACGATCGACCGAGGGTGGAGCCGCGATGCCTTCCTGGAGATGAGGAGCCCGCCAAACACACAAACGAAATCAATTGTTCGTTTGGGCTCGAAGCGCGGTCACGTCATTCCCTTGAGCTTTTCTTTGCTTTCCTTAACCTTTTCTGCTACGGCTTTGCCAGTACTGTGTCCTGTGCAGGCGAGTTGCCTGAGAAGGCTGCAGGGAACTTGTGACCCCATCACACCAATGGCTTATTCGATGTCCAAACAAAAGCTGCGACGGAAAGGTTCCACACGTTTTCTTGGACGTAACAGCGTCTATCCCGCTTAAGGGGCAGGGGCCACGAATGCTCACCCCACCAATCCCCGTCACGGATGAGGCTCCCCGGCGGGCTAACCGTCGAGTCATTCTTGCCTCAACCCAATCTGGCCTCAGGCTCCATGGCATTGGCACGTTCATCGTCCTTGGGGTCCCCAGCTGCCTAGCCTCCGTCGCCATGAACATAAGGCAGCGAACCCGAGACCACGCCTGATGTGGCCGTGCCTTGCCCATCATCACCAGCCACGATGAGATATAAGCCCAGCATGCCACCCCCTTTCACTCCGTCAGCCTCGCTACAACAAGCGGCAGCACGGCTCCGACACAGGATATGGATTTTCATGTGATACACTACAGTTCACCCATGGATAACACATTCGACGACTCATACCTGCCCGCCATGGACGAATACTACGACTACGGCCAGTCCTCGCAACAGCCAGATTCCGTACCCATGTACAGACCATCCAAGCCCGAAGACTGGGAGCCCCACCGCGAGACCATCGCCCACCTGTACAACACCATGAACATGAAGCTGAAGGACGTCATGAGCGAGATGCAGGTGACGTACAACTTCAAGGCAACGTAAGTCTCACATTTCGTACACCCTACCAACACAAAATGGGTTTACTAACTTCACTTCGTTGCAAAGCGAGAAGCAGTACAAGACACAACTGAAGAGGTGGAACCTCGACACCAAGTATATCAAAGGGTCTGAGTACATGTTCATGATTAAGACCATGCGAGAGCGCCAGTCCGAGAACCCTCCTAAGGAGACGCGGTTCATCCTGCGAGGGAGGGTGGTGGACCCCAAGGACATCGCCCGGTTCGAGAAACGGGCTCAGAAGAAGGGAATTATAAAGGAAGGGAACCCAATCGAGTGTGACGGTGAGCTATGCCAAGTCGAAAACCCCTGATGAGAGTGTTTGAGTGCTGACCATCTTTTCTTCACTTTCAGACTCCGTCGAAGACTTAGTGTACGGCACACCGCCCCCTGAGGAAGCCTCCTATAACCAGGCAGCCTATGCCGAAGCCTATGCCTCCTACCATTGTGTGTACAGCCCGCAGGCCTTCCATCCTCTGGCGTTCTCTGTTACTGACCATGTTCTGCCCCATCAGACGACCCCGGCAATGATTATTCCTATTCCTACTGATCTACTACGTATATTCATGATTCATTATGAGCTTGGCCGGTCGGCCATAGGTCCTCAACTATCAGGATCAACAAAGACTTGGCGACGTAGGAGAACGAAGTCTGGTGGATTTGCTTTCACGGTTCTCATGATTTGAATTTCAATAAGTGACAACAGTCACGGCAGGGGAACGGCGTTACATGACGAACAGGGAATCACGGGGCAAGCCCTGGGAAGCCGAATCAAGAGGGAGTTAGGGACGCATTTGGGAAATTCCACACTTAACGTTAGATCTCTTTTCTTCTTTCCACTTTGCTTCTCATCGCTTAGAAGCCGTCTTTGTTCTTACCTGGCACATCGCTAGAACACATCTCCAAATACCCGTCGTCTGATCGATTTGGCACCATTTGCTTTTGACCGCAAGATTTCACTTAGACGTTTCTCTTATGGGATACCATCCAAGATCACGTCCCTCACATCGTTCAAAAATCACCCGTGCCAGGTGATCGGGTCCCCTGCCACCCAATTCCAAATGTCAACGTCTACAGTACTAACCCAGCCTCCTTGGTTATCGTCGTAATCCAAAGGGATTTGGGGTTTACGTTGCATTACCGACATTGTTTGGGCTGATAATAGTGACACGGGATGACTCTACCCAGAAGGCAGCTTGGGGGTGTGAATGACTCGAGTCGGCGAGATTGCATCCTACAGTACCTTGGGCAAAATTGCGGCACAGAGGGCATGTACCGCGCTTCCCTCGTCTAAGCCATCCTTCACAGTACATTCAACAGAGGACCTGATGACTCGTCCCGCTGCCGCCGATCACTCCAATCACGACCGTTGAAGAGTGGTCATGATCCGAGTCTAGTACTCTTTGAGGACCTCAATGCCACATGCGAAGTCCCTGTGTGAGAACTGAGCATGCGACAGGATTGATGTCTGAAACCCTTCCAAAGAAGGAGTACTCGCCATGGTTGCATCCGGCGACTTGGCCACAAATCAGGTCTCGAGAATTTGGGGAACGACTGCGTTAACTACTTGATCTAGAAACCGCTTGGTACTCCAGGAGTCGTCGACTCCACGTCCCGTCCTCTTGTCACATTTCGAGGCATCCATTCCGTTGATTCAAGAGGCACAGCACCTACATGCATGGAAAGAAAGCCGAGTTTACAGCCCAGCACAGTCCCGGCCCAGACACTCTATGGCGGATGAACTCGCACAGTCCGTAAAGTGCCCAATCAGCGAACGTCACAGTAGTACCCAGCGATTGATGGTTCCCTTCAGGAAAACTTTGCCTCCGTCCAATAGACTGCTTGCCTACCTGTATCGAGTTTGCCTCTTGATTAATTAGTTACATGTGGTCATGAACTACGAAGTCAAGTACTCGAGGATCTTTTTTCCTACTATTACCTTGCGAATGAAGGATAATAAGACCGCGACTCCGCGGCATAACTGGTTAGGCAAGTATTAAATCACAGTAATAGCAACATCCAGGAGAGGATGGTGAGGCACGCAACCCAGATAACTGGGACCACAGTATCGACTGAAGTGATGTCATGGTCGTATCAATTCAACACAAGCCTGAGGTTGTCCCTACCAGAGCGGTCCGGACCGCAGATCCTGATCGTCATTGACCAGGAAGACCTGCATTGTTTTTCATAGGCGACGCTGGCGCCATATACGAAGGCGCACCTAATCGAGCGGTATCAAGCTTGATTGACTGCAGTAGCGCGTGTCCCGGGTTGTTGATAGTGAACAATCTCAAGATGGACACGCCAACCGCCAACGAACCTCGTATTCGGCCATAATCAGGAGTCGATGCTGGTGAGTACTCCTTTGCCTTAATTCAAAAGTACCACGGACTCTCGGGTTTTTCATCACGGCCATGTCTGTCAATTATGCAGGGACTCAAGATGTAAAAGAGGTGACGCAAGCTGGGGTTGTAGCCTGTGGCTGTGTTTGAGTGCTGGCCGGCCATACGAGGACACCAAGTTGGTGCCGAAGACGGCATAGATGGAGACCCTTGTGACTACGCACCCATTCTGCACTAAGACGATGTCTTTAGAAAGCTTGGCCGAGATTTTTGGATCTGAATCTGCGCAAAGCATGGACTGGTTACTGATAATGGTAAGCCGGGGATGTGAAGGGTCATCACAGCAACACGAGAGCAACCAATTCGATACAGTAGGAGTACGGAACGAAGGCAATCGTTAATGACCCGTGTCATTACACAAATGGCGAGCTCTATGAACTTGGCATGCCAGTCTCTAGAAACCACTTTGAATGTCCCAATGCCGTACTCGGTTGTGATCGTGCGGGCGTCATGATGCTTAAGCATAGAAGTTGACCGTCTGGGCAGATAGTCAGTACCATTAAGTCAAGCGGTTTGGAACTAAAAGAACAACTCACATCCTTCTTCTTGGCCTGTACTTCGGCAATGGCGTCCACGTAGTGTTCGTGCCCGATCTTGTTTTTGCCCATGCGCAGCGCGATCATGCCGGCCTCGACGCACACGGCCTTGAGCATGGCACCGCCAAACTCGTCGGTGCTGCGCGCCAACTCACCCCAGTTGACCGAAGGATCGACCTTCATCTTCCGGGAGTGGATCTTGAGAATCTGGGCGCGGGCCTCCTCATTGGGAAGTGGAAACTCGATCTTGCGATCGAGACGGCCAGATCGGAGCAGTGCAGGATCCAGCACGTCTACTCGGTTGGTGGCAGCGATGACCTTGATGCGGTCATCCGAGGCAAAGCCGTCCAGTTGGTTGAGCAACTCCAGCATGGTCCGCTGCACTTCGCGGTCACCGCTCTTCTCGCTGTCGAACCGCTTAGTGCCGACGGCATCCAGCTCGTCGATGAAGATGATGGCGGGAGCCTTCTCCTTGGCGAGCGCGAAACAATCGCGGACCAGTTTGGCACCGTCTCCGATGAACATCTGCACCAGCTGTGGCCCGGCAAGCTTGAGGAAGGTAGCATCGGTTTGGGCAGCACACGCCCTGGCGAGCAGCGTCTTGCCTGTACCGGGAGGTCCATACATCAAGGCGCCTGAAAAATGGATTAGCTTGACCATGGTCAACAGCACCTGTTTTGTTGGGGACACACCCTTGGGAGCCTTGATACCGATCTTCTTGAAGCGTTCCGCCTCTTTCATCGGCCACACAATAGCTTCGAGAAGCTCAGCGATCTGCTTGCTGAGACCACCAACGTCGCTATACTTCTCTGTCGGCTTCTCATCTACTTCCATGGCCTTGACTCTGCTGTCGTACTCGGCCGGTAGTGTGTCGAGGATGAGATACGAATCCTTGTTCACGCCGATGAGATCGCCAGGCTTGAGCTTGTTGGGGTCGACGAGGCCGATCAGTGGCAAGAAGATGGTTTGCCGAGTAGATGTCTTGATGACGGCCGACTTGCCGACCCGGGTGGCGTCCAAGTCAATGTTGGCGCCCTCCTCGGATGACTCGGCGGTTGGATCTAGATCTAGAAGTTCGACGACGTTCCCGACAAGATATGGCAGTTGACTAAACCATCAGCATCACCAGGAGCACAGCAGACGAGTTTGAAGGGGGCAGAAGGCATACCGATTGTTCGCAATTTTCTCCATGTTTTCCTTGATCTTCTCAGCCATGGTGGCCTTTTCGTGTGATAACCGCTGAAACTCGCTCTTCATTATTCTGGCATCGTTCTCGAGCAAGCGCCGGCGAGTCTTGATGTCCTCGGTGCTCAAGCTCAAGATCTCTGGATCCAGCACATCGTCCTCTTCTTGCTCCGCATCCTTCATCTCGGCGTCGCCATCTCCGCTGCCTTGCTTCTCCTTGCCATCGCCCTTCTTGTCCTTCTTGTCCTTATCATCACGCTCCCGGCGGTCGAGATCGTCGAGCTCTTCGAGTGTGGACATGGTGATGAGCGGCGCTTGTGGTCGGCTTCCGAAGGCTGGGAGAGGTGGGTTCGAGGGAGGAGATGGAAACTGTCACAATTGTTTTCAAATCGCTTGTTTCCTTGACACAGTGGTACTGTAAGACTGCAGGAAGGGTGCGGCGAGATGTGATGAGCTTGTGAGATTTGTCGGAGGTTGTTGCAAGACAAGAGCTCGATCGTCAATCGGCTGGCAGCTGGGCGCTGCTGCAGCCCAGGCAAAAGCGCGACGTAACCAGGCGGTGGGACCCATTGCCAACCAACCATTGCTGTGGAGCTAATACCCCAGCCATTGGATGCTGACTAACAGCCCGATATGGTAGGGGTGGATGTCTGAGGCAGACTTTCTCGGGCACAAGGTAGAGGTTGGGAATAAGGTAATTGGACCGAGAGACACGATAATCTGAAGTTGCTACAGGTTCAGGCTGATGCATTACCCGAGGTTGAGGTCCAGATATCATTTTTACTTGAAATGAAGTTGAGTCTTTTGCTCGCGCCATGATCAGATAACGCTGCACAATGCTCTCAACGGCAGACGACCAAAGACAGGCATACAGTAAGTGACGAGCATATAAAACATTGAAGGTAGGGCACAACTATAGCGGCGCGAATCAAAGTAGCCGCTCCTAGCATGCTCCTCTCCAAGTAAACGCGCTTCCTTCGCATCATCGTCACTCGTCGTCCAAAATCCTGCTTGCTATGCGCCCAACGATCGGCACCTCGTACCTAAGACACAGAATCAGCAAACCTGGGACAACAGCAGGGTGCAGCTTGAGCATATCAAGCACGAGCACCAACCTGTCTAATGTATCCGCATCTCGATACGCATTCAGCACCAACCACGCTATCAACACCAACTCTCCCAGGAACAACACCCAACTCAGAAACGTCGACCACGAGAAAAGCAGATGGACCACAAATAGCGCCGTAAACAGCAAACTCGACTGCCAGGCATGAAACCTGTCCATCCACAGTCAGCACTCCTAACCCGTTTCTCCAAAATAAAAAAAAGCGTCCCCTGATCCACCCAAGCAGTATAGAAAGGGGGACGGGAAAACATTACCTCACATAATCACTCTTCCTCTCCAGAATGAGCAACAAGATACCCCCCAGGGGCGGCACCGCCAAGTACGCCAGACACGCCTCGTAGTCGAGCCGCAGTCCGAGGCTGGTATCGAACTCGCTCACGATGCCCTCGCGCGTGCCCAGCGCGCTGAAGTAGTCCCCCATTCCCCCTCCTATTCCTCCGCCTGTCCATCCCGCACCGGCCCTACTATCACCATGACTTGCTGTTATCCCATTCCCTACACCAGCGACAACAGCAGGGTGTGTCAGCGGGCTCTGCTGGTACCGCCCTACGCCTTCGCCGGACCAGGCGCGCTGCGGCTGCGGGTGCTGGAGCGGGGGCGGGGAGAATTGGGATTGGCGGTGTTGGTAGTGGAGGCCTGTGGTGGGGGAATAGGCGCCGCCGCCGCCGCGGCGGTTGTTGTCGAGCGAGGTGCGCGGGGAGGCGCTGGTGCTGTGCGTTGGCGAGCGGGTGTGCTCTGGTGGGGAGGACTGGTACGGCGCAAAGTCCATTTCGAGTTCTCAACTCACTTCTGGTTTGTCTATCTTGGGCCTCGCGATGCGATTCTGGTATGATGGGTACGACCTGGCCTGGGCCGGTGGTCTGGTATCCTGGCGCTGTTCTGGAGGGAGGAAGCTACCCCGGAGACACCGAGCTTCTCGGCTGCGATACTTCGGTTCAAGTGTTGGAGGTGACCTCGGTGTCACGATGGTACGGGGTAGTCAACTCTTAATCCGCCAGCGTCGACCACGGATTGTCCTGGGTTGTTCTCATCGCTCTGCTGTGCTGGTGACTGCGCCGCGATGCAGTTGCGATGGGGTTGAAGATGACGCGAGACAACCCGTCCCGTTTTGACCGCTGACCGGGGTAGCTGCAGCCTGCCGGGGACCTGAGTGGTTAGCGGGGTAAATACCCGGCGGTCAGAGACAGGCAGCCCCTAATTTCCGCCTCACTTTCATTCAGCTACTGTACCTGTTGACTACCTGAGAAACAATATTCATCGTCCAACAATTGACCGTGGTAGCATCACCACCTGATTGAGACGATTATGACAGTTCCAACGAAATGGGCTTACCCCGCCACGTCCTGGCCTTTGCATTAAACCCTAAATACGAAATCTGACCATCAACTAGTAGCTGACTCCCTCTCCTCCACCTCATCATCATCACCACCCATCCTTCTCACCTCCTTAAGATTCAATCCGCGATCCAACCCATTCCAAATTCAAGACAGCCACTAGAATGAAGATCCTCACCCACCTCAACAACCTTCTAGTCACCTTCCACCTCCGCCGCTCCAAGATCTGGGAACCCCGGACCCTCCTCGACTGGTTCCTGTCTTCACCCCTGCAATATCTCGCCTCGCTCGTATACCGACACATCCTCCTCCCGGCTCGCGGTACACCCTTCTATCCCGCGCGCGGCAAGCGGCCGATACGGGTGGTCTGCATCTCGGATACGCATAACCAGACGCTGAGCGCGGAGAACATCCCGGAGGGGGATGTCCTCATCCACTGTGGCGATCTAACCGTCGATGGGACAGTGGCGGAGATTGAGAGACAGGTTGGGTGGTTGAGGGGGCAGTCTCATCGGTGTGAGTTTTTTTTTGCTGTAATCTGCGTTGAAGGAACACGGCTGACGTTCGGTGGCAGACAAGATCGTTGTGGGCGGGAATCATGACTCATGGCTGGATGAGAGCGACGAGGTCAGGGGCAGGATGAAGGAGAAAGGGATCGAAACTGGGGAGAGGGAGGTGGACTGGAGTGGGGTGGAGTATCTCTGTGACCGCGCCCTAGAGCTGGAGTTTGAGGGCGGGCGGAAGCTGAACGTGTACGGCTGGGGCGCGGTACCGTGGTGTGGGAAGGGTTTCGCGTGAGTTGGCTACCTTGCCTTGTTTGATCGTGGGATGTGGTGTGCTGATGGAATTTATCCACAGGCTGCAGTATCCGCGGGAGAAGCACCCGTGGAAAGGGAGGATACCGGATGAGACGGATATCCTGATTACGCATACGCCGCCGGTACGTTGTCTACTATCTTGCGCAGCGGGTAAAGAAAATGACCTGACGTTGACAGCACCACCACCTCGATCTTGGGATAGGCTGCGCAGGTCTCCTCGAGGAGGTCTGGCGGGTCAAGCCGAAGCTGCACGTCTTTGGCCACGTGCATTTCGGCCACGGAAAGGAGGCCGTCTACTACGACCACTGCCAGCAAGCGTATGAGTCGCTCATGTCGCGGCCCGGGAAGGGGCCCCTGTACGACTTGATCCCAAGCGCCCGGTGGGTGGATGCGCTCAACATGGTCTGGTACGGTCTTGGGAGCATCCTCTGGAAGTGGCTCATGCTTGGACCGGGGACCAATAACGGCGCTTTGATGGCCAACGCGGCACTCATGTACGGAGACAGCGGGAAGCTGCTCAATCCGGTGACGGTTGTGGATTTGTAACAGTGGGTGTCGCGGACATCCCGCAAGACATAGAGCCCACGTGCTAAAAAAATTCCCCGGGAAAAACTTGTATTAACTAGTTATATATTATTGTTCCTACACCGCTATGCCTAAGGCGTTTGGCGTGCCGGTCCGTCTGATAATCATTGTACAGGAAAACAGTATTGGTTGCCCAACCGGTTGAAAAACCCATACCACACTCTCAGGTCGGCGCTTGGGATTTCCACATACTACGGGTGAAAGGAGGCAGCCCCAGGCTACACTCCCTGCATTCCCACATCCAGGTCGCCAGCCGAAGCCAGCGCCACAGTGGCCGTAGCTCCCGGCGCTGTAACCTCGGGAGCTGCAGGCTGCACCGTTCTATCCCTCACCGCGAAGGTCAGCTTTCCCTGCGTCAGACTCCTGGCAGCTTGCTCCTGCGCAACGGTAAAGGCAAGGGGTCGCTTGTATTATATACGCCCACAATCAAACCTCTAATACCATCAGTCATTCCGACCTTACTCTTACATGATACATGTACAGGCAGGAACAAACAAAGCCCTTATACCATGATCCTCCTGAGCCCCTCGGTCCCGCCTAGAACCCGCCTCCCCGTGACCGCACACCTCCCCTCGCCGCTCTCCCACTTGCCGGCCCTCTGAGCCATAAACTTCTCTTGCCTCGGGTGTGTTCCAGTAAGCCACTTGTGAATGCAAGTGTAGCAGTAGATGACGCCCGTTTGGCAGGCGGTAGGCGTGGGGATGTCTCCCTCGCAGATGGGACACTGGTCGGACTCCTCTGGTGCGGGAACCGTGTAGATGGGCAACAGAGACGACGCCGCAATGGGTGCCCTCTTCATTGCCCGCTTTTCCTTCTCCTCATCGTCAAGCTCTTCTTCATCTTCCGCAGCCTTCTCTTTTGCCGGCGCCTTCTTCCCCTCAGGCAGCCCCGTCACCACGGGTGGCGGCAAGCCCAAGCTTTCAGCGGCTTTCCTCGACAGCTGCTTCGCAAAGTCCGACGCATACCACCACTCCAAAAACTTGAGCGCAAAGATACTTGCCGGCAAGACCAGCGACAGCCTGCCCAACACCCGCGCCCCAATCGTCCTCCGCGCCCCTCTTTTCGCCACCTTCTCCTCAAGCGCCTCAATAGCCTTATAATCCGCCGCGTTCATCCGCCTGACCCTCGTCCCAATCAGCCACAGAAACGGGCTGTGATACTTGGAGTTGTCAAATAGATACGCCAGGTTAAACGCCAACAGCGCCAGGTAATACGCCGCGTTGACGCCAGGGTACACACGCCTCAGGAACCACCGCCACCAATACACGACCCGCTCCCTCCAGGGCGCGCCCGCGGCCGGCGGCCGGTTATACGCGGCCCCGAGCATGGCGCGCGGCGCATCCACCTCGAACGCCTCATCCAGCTTGCGCTTGAGATACGGCACGCCGACAATCACGGCCAAATTCCGCCACACATCGGCGCGCGTCAGCCTCAGCGCGTCGCGTACCGCGCCCGGCGCGGCGGCGCTCGCGCGCGGGATCTCGGCGGCCAGCGCCTTCTCGCGCTTGAGCCCGTAGAAGTGCTCGGTGAAGGAGCCGCCGCGGGTGCGCAGGTAGTGGCGCTCGACGACGAGGGCGGCCAGGGCGTAGAGCTCGTCGAAGGAATTGAGCACGCGCAGGAGGTGGCGCGGGTAGCGGTGGGTGAGGACGGTCAGGAGGTAGCGGAGGGTCGGCGGGAGGAGCGAGGAGAGCTGCTGTTCGGATAGCAGCTCGAACAGGGACGGTTTTTGGTCGTCGAAGGGACGGTGGGCGGCGAACTCCATTGTGACGCCCTTGTTTTTTTGTTTGTTGTGTTTGTTACTGGGAGAGAAAGGGGGGTAGTTAGCTTAGGTTATCCGTGCAATGGGATTGATGGTTGTTTGGATTGTGTACCTTACGAGTAGTGAGACGGAAGATCGGATAGACTGCATGGAGGCGCGACGGGTAATCGATACAAATGGAGACAGGGGTCGAGATGCCAATGCCGAGGCATGTGTTCCCCGGAATCTGCAGCGGCAGGGGTTTGGCGGTTGCGGAGGCCGCTGGCCCCACAGCGGCTCCTAATATAGGTAAACGGACTGCGATTTCTGGATGTGAAAGACGAGGTTCGTCAGATCAACCTTCGGGGTAACGCATGCCTCTGGGACCAGTTAAGCTTATGAGTAAGATCCCCAGCCTCATGTAGAGCTCTCCAGTCAGCGGCAAAGGTCTCCCTGCGAGTGGTCGGGTCAAGCCTTGCCCACAGGCATCTTCCCGTTCAAGAAGTTGGAATCAGGCTGACTTTCCTTCAGGACATTGGATCAACAGTAGCCGGCAAACCGACTCGGTCTTTCCCCCAACACGCAACATAAAACATCTGAATCATGTCATCACCTGACAGCGAACAACAGCGAAAAGATGTCGAAAAGTTCCACAAATTCTCGGGCGAAGAACGCGTCCACGAAATGATGAGCCACTTTGCCGAGCATTGCAAGAAACCAGACGCTACGGCATGTCACTTTTGCATTTGTTACAGACCTGACGTACAGGCTACCACCACCTATCACTGTCTTCAGATGCGCAATAGGCTGGACTTGGAAACAACTAATGCCTTTTACTTTCCTACAGGAATGGTCCAGGCACCTCTTCCCCTACCTGGCCGTGCACTCGGTCTCGTCCCCGGATGCACCGCACCCCTCGGTAACCTTCAGCTTTCAAGTGCAGCCGCAGCATTGCAACGCCATGAACAATCTCCGTGCGTATCCGTACTCCTAAGAAGCCCTTCCTACCCGTCCCACGTATCCGATTACGCCCCATGTCCCTCCAATAGCCAGCTACACCCCAGGCTACAATTCTTCTACCCACGAATCCCCTAACTGACCCCAACCCCCTTACCATCCTCCCCACACAGACGGCGGCTGCACAGCAACCCTCTTCGACTTCTGCACCTCGACCTGCGTGGCCCTCGTCTCTCGCCCAGGCTTCTGGCAGTACCTGGGCGTGAGCCGGACCCTCTCCACATCCTACCTGCGCCCGGCGCCCGCAGGGATACGGGTCTTCATCGAGTGCGACGTCGCGCAGATCGGGAAGCGGCTCGCGCTCATCCGGGGCACGATGCGCCGGGCCGACGGCGAGGGGGCGGCTGCGGTGCTGGCTACGTGCGAGCATCACAAGGTCAACACGGACCCCGAGGTTGGGGCCAAGATTTAGATGGCCTTTGTCAGGTTTAGTTTTGGTTGGGAATTGGTTGGAGCGTGGAGCTGGTTAAAGAGAGCAAGCGTATGTGATGTGGGGCTTTTATGATATTTGGTCGGTTGGAACTGTTTTACATCTTCCAGGGTTCATAAATATCATGTCTTCCTCCCGGACAGCAGAAACGATACACATTAAGCGGACAATCTGAGGAGCAGGAATGACCTAAAGCTCCATGTATCGCAGCATCTAACCAAGGTTTAAGTCCGCATCCGACCCCGGTCCCGCATCATCATCATCCTCCTACTCCTCGTCATCCTCGCCCGGCCCCCCCAGGTGCGCCTCCAAATCATGCTCGCCAAAGGCATCCTCACCCGGCCCCCCAAGATGCGCCTCCAGATCATCCGCGTCAAAGACATCCTCGTCATCGAAATAGTACAGCCCATCCAGTTCGTCGTCAAGCTCGTATTCAGTCCAGTCCGGGCCGAACGGATCCAACCCCTGGAGGACGAACTCGTCCCCAGACTCCTCACCCTCGTCGTCCAGTTCCTCATCCATATCATCTGCGACTACACACCTCCACGTTAGTCCCAATAACCCAGTAGCGAGCAGAGGCACCAACAGTGTCTGTACTTACTCAGCGGGAAAAGATCCTCCAGCAGTACCTGCGGCCCGTCGGCGAGTTTCGACTCGCGGTCCGATATCTTCCAGAACGCTGTCGGCCCGCAGGGGCCCTCGGGATTGAAATCCCTACATCCATCACACCAGCATTAGCAAACGTCATCACTCCATAACGTCCACGACAACGGGACAGAACGTACTTGTCAAACCAGGTCCCCACCACGCCCCTCGCCGACCTGATCCCTCCCACCTGCACACCCTCGCTCTTCCACCGCTCCTCACCGTTGTACACCGAGTACGACGTCCAATGGACCTCTCCCTCGGGGGTGACGCGCACGGTACCACGGATGGTCGCGTCGGCGTTGTCGTCCCACGACCCGTCGAGCGCGCGCGAGAAGCCCTCAAAGTGCGTGACTGGGTAGTCCGGGTGGTCGCCGGTGCCGGCGGGCTCGACCTTTCTGACGCGCATGCGCATCAGGATCAGCCGCGTGGCCTGGCTGAAATTGAGCGGCGGGCGGGGGACATCGCGCGGGAGCCCGTCGACGGAGGGGAAGTTGAAATGGAAAAAATCGTGGTAGTCGACAAACGACACCACCCTCAACCAACAGCCTGTGACCCCGTACGGGTCGCTCCGATCGAGCTCCTTGGCCTCCTTCTTCCGCCCCAGCTCCCTGTCCCTCGACCAGGGGATATAACTCTCGCCCCACGTACCCGCAAACGGCTTCCCCCAGAAATGCCAAAAGATGGGAAACCTCTCGAGCCCCTTGGCGCGTATATTCGTCCCTAGCACGATCATGATGGCCTCCACCTTCTCCCAATCCACCCTCACCCCTCCCTCCTTCCCATCCCCATCCCCATCCCCGTCCCTATCCTCATCCTCATCCCGAAAAGGCCCCCATCTCGTCCCCCTCGTATACTCCCTGATGTCATACACCTTGGAACACGCCAAAGCATATGCCCCACCGCCCTGTCTCGCAGCCCACACCGCGCGCTTCCGCGCCTCGGCGTCCGCCGTGCCGGGGTCCTTCAACCCGTCATCCAACCCCAGTCCCCACCCGTACAAACAATGCAGCTTGGCGCTCATCTGATCCTCCACCCGGACTTTCCTCGGCCGGCGCAGGCCATGCTTGTCGACGACGACGGCCTTACGCCTGCGCTGCCGACGCCGAAAGGAGGCCGTAGAACGAGGTTCCTCCTCTTCTTGTTGGGAGGAGTCGGTGTCTTTGGAGGAGGAGGAGCAGAGCTCGAGGAAAATGTCGTCGTCTAAGTCATCCGTGTCGCCGTAGTCAATCATTTTGAGATCGCGGCCGCGCTCGTAGAGCCACGACTGGGTCAGGAAGATGCTGCGGGCCGACTCCTCGGCGAAGACGGTCGTGAGGAAGGTGGCGTTGCGTGAATGGGGGAAGGTCTGTGCGCGGGAGGGGCGGGAGGTAAAAGCGTTGCTGCTTGCGGAAGGGTCTTGCTCAGAGGAGGAGGTGGTGTTGGTGGAGGTGGTGGAGGTGGTGGAGGTGGTGGAGGTGGTTGTGCCAGGTGCTGGAACAGCGATGGCGTGGTTGAGGAGGCGGGTCACGGTGCTGTAGACGAAGGGAAGGCGGGCTTGGACTTTCCGGCCTCGAGTGGAATCCTTGGGAGAGAGGAGGAATTTGAGGGCGGCAATGTCGTGAAGCTCCTGCTCAAAGTTGAGGTCTCGGACGGGCGGCTCATCCTGGGTATGCGTCAGTCTTCCGAACTTGGACGATCCAGTCAGCACGGGTCATACGAAAATGCGCAGGTACATGGCCCGGCAGAGGGCATTGTTGCCCTTGACGAAGTTGTTCAGGCATCGGCTTGTCACGGATATCCTGGCGAGATCTTCGATATCGACGTAGCTCAGAATGTTGTGGAGTAATTCAGGCGGGAGGTTTGTTAAGCCTGTCATTTTGAAAGGGAAGTAAAATTGCCCACGGAGCAGATGAGGTTGGTGATGTTGACTGATGAAAGGGCAAAATCTGAGCCGGGACGCTCGGGGTTAAAGTCTTTGTGCGTCAATCGGAGATGACGAGGTCTCCAAATGACGGACCCGTCCAAGTCCGCACTGGAGAGATATAAGCAACCTGAACAGTGGGAATGAGTGTGTCTTCTGCTCTGATGGTTCTCAAGTACAGAACTTGATCCTTTTTGCCAGGGGAAGATGTGTAGCCAAGAAGTTGAAGAGCTTCATAAACGCAACTGAGGTCCTGCAGTGAGGCATGGACAGTGGAGCCCGTGTGGGACGTCACTCACTCGCCGAGGTCCATCATTTAAAAGAGGACCCCGCAACTGCTGTTATACTTGTCACTCCAGAGTTGCAAAGGGCTATGGTCGATCTAGAGCAGTGGTCATTGCACTGAACCTGCACTATTTCTGACATTCAGGTAGTGAACAAAGCAGCATTAGAGTGCGACTAAGCTCTGAAGCGCATCTTGGGAGCATGAGAACGTTGCATCCAATCCCACATCGGGAAACCAGCAGACCTACCATACGCGGTACTTGTACATAGCAAACCTACCCGTTCCCAAATTCACTTGGAGCATGGATGCAGCATCAAAAAGGTATCATTGTGTATCTGGAGTGTAGCAAAAGGGGTATAGGTAGTAAAAGACACTAACTAAGAAAACCAGAAAACGTCTGGTCGGCCGTCGAGCCATGCCAGCTCGAAACGAAGAATGCCACCGCCGCCGCCCTCTGATATGTTTGTTGTTCCCGCTCAATCAATGACTTCCTTTCAAGTTCCCAGGTATATCTCTTTTTGGACGTCAAGATTCCCTCCCTTCCTCTTCATGTACCCGTCAAACTGGATTACAACAACCTCCAAGATCAAAGAAAAAGATCGTACAAATTGACAGCAGCCCCAATTCATGTTAGCGCCCCTCCCCATCTGTCCGCACCTAAGGCACGTTCTGCCCGGCATTGAGATGGATACAGTTCGAGAGCAGCGTGCTGCCCTCGTGGAGCAACTCCCATCTCGACTCAATAAACGCATCTTTGAGAACCATGAGCAGCGGCGTGTTGTGACTGATGCCCTTCATCGACTTGAGCTCCTCGGGCGACGAGACGTTGCCGTACTTGATGAGGTACTCGCGCATCAGCCGCACCTTGTCCTGCTGCGTCGTCGGCACCGAAACCATGCTCGAGTTGGGCCCCTCGAGCGCAAACCCGTAGCACCAGACCACCAGAGCGGCGAAATAGAGCACCCAGGGCCGGTTGAGCAGCACGTCGTCCCGCGCTGAGTACAGCTCCTCGTGCCGGTGGCCGTACCCGCCGTTCGACCCGGGTGTTCCCACCGTGTCCGGAAGCATGACCGACAGCAGGAACTTGAGAGCGTAGTAGGTGGCGTCACGAGCCTTGGCCGACGGCGCCCAGATGTCCTTCATCCGCCGCTGCGCACTGTTCAGGTCCTGCGGCCCGATGGCCCGCCCAAGCAGCCGCTTTGCCCTTGCAAAGATCTGGCAGTCCACGATGTCCACGTGCATCGCCATGTGCGCCAGGTGATGCAGCACAATCCTGCTCTCGAATACCACATTGGCCTCGTTGCGGTTCGTCGGGTCGTAGTTGTAAGGATCTGCGATGTCACCGCGCCTGAGAAGCGTCTTGTCAAAGTCGCTCTTCCACGAGTCGAATGCCCTCGTCAGTGTCCCCCGCCACTTGTCGCGCCCGCCGAGTGCCTGCGAGACCCCGCCGCCTAGCGAGTTGACCTGGAGATCCCGTTGGTTCATGTGCCAGCTCACGCTCAGGAGACCGGCCATGAGGATCGTGCGCCCAAACGAGTTCGTCTGCACCTCTTGGTTGCTCAGCGTCCTCTTGAGGCCCTCGAGGAACGAAATCGCCTTGTTGCCAATGGACAAGAGGTTGGACTCGATCCTCGCCACCTCGGGACCGCTTGTTGCCTTCCACAGCTTGTCGTCGCACGGCAGCGGCAAGCGCATCTCGTGAGCAACCATGACCGTTGAGTGACCAAACATGGTTGCGTGGATCGAGTCAATGACAAACGCCGCAAACGCCGCCCGCCGCGTCGACTCGTTGGTGATCCAGTGATTCCACCACTCCTCAGGGGTGTGGGCGACTCCGGACGTGGATGATTGTCTCGAACCGTTTGTCTTGTCGTCCCTTGCATTCGGCGGCGAGTCCATGGCCGACTTGCCAATGAGCGCCCTCCCACGGCGCATGAGCGTGATGGTGGTCGCGTGGTGAATATGGGCCCGCTCGTGCAGTTCTCTGGTGGAATACATCTTCTCGTACAGCTCGAGCAGCAGGAGGGTCTGGAACACCCAAAGTTTGGCTGGTGGCCTGCAGTTAGGGTCCTGGAACATCTCCCACCGAAGATGCCACGCCAAGAAGTTGGAGAGCTGGGCGCCCGCCTTGGTGACTTTGTGGGGATATGCCTTGTCCAAGCATGCGGCGCCAATGGTCATCATGGCAATCAGCAGCAGGTTCGGCGTTTTATCAGGTGAGAAGGTCGGCTTGTGCAAGATGGGCACCTGGTCGCTGAAGTGATGCCAGTACGAGCCAATGTAGGCCTGCATCATTTTACGGCTCAGCATATGGTTTTCGTCGTTGCGGTCGCCCTCGAGAATGCTCTCCCGCTGCCTCTCGACAGGGGTATGACCGTTCTCGTGGAATCGTTCCTTGATCAACTCGAATATCTCGGCGCTCTTTTCCTCCGAGATGACCGATTCAGGCAGATTCTGGTCGAGGAGGTTGGTGACCGACATGACCTGCTGCGGTCCGGCGGTAGCGGGGAAATAACCCAGCTGATTCGGATCGTTGTAGTAGGGCATGTTGAACTGGTTTGGAAACTCTCCGTAGCTGCGCGAACGGTCAGCAGAGCAGCAGCAAAGGGACGTGTCCATGTACACTTACTTGTATCCACCCTGCATCGGAACTCCGGTCATGGGCGAGCCTTCGCCGTGAGTGTTGAATAGATATGCCACGAAGTCTTCGGGAATCGCAACATAGGGCGACTTGTTGAGGATACTGTCATTGCCGAATACGGGCATTGTCTGCGGCATGCCCATTTGATCCAGGAGCATCATCTCTCCTGCCGCCTGAGGCTGCTGGTCCGTGAATTCGGCAGATGTCGATGGAGCATATGCTGACTGATCGTCCCGCGCTGCCGGCCCAGTTGACGTGGTCGAGAAATCAGACGGAGGAAGGCTAAAAGGAGGGAAGTTTTGGGGCGGGACATATGCCACTGCGTGTGCAGACTGGGGAGTGTTGTGTGCTTGGCTGTGGTAACCCGGTTGCGTGGAGATCGGTGATAGAACCCCATAAGGACCAACGTTGGTTTGTAAGGACGGCCGCCGCGGACCAGGAGGCGATTGATGTGGCGGTCGTTGAGACATGTGTGCATAGTTGGAATCATGATGATGCATGTAGTCGGCGCCGTTTGGCGCTCCGTTCGCGTAAGTGGTCGGCGGTGTGTTGGTGATGGGCGTAAAGGGGCTTCCCATGCTGTCCCTGGGAGAATGGTATTGAATGGACATGGACCGCCCCTTGACGTATGCTGTCCCCGGTCGGTTGACTTCGGGCGAAGCGGAGCCGGTGGGTGGGAATGGCGGCCTGTTGTCCGTTATGGGTGATGCCTGGCTCATCATGGAATCTTTGCGGTTCAAGGCCGAGCCCTTTGCCGTGTGGCGATCCTTGTGCCGGTTACACAAGTCCAGCCGAACAAAAGTCCGCTGGCAGTCGCCGATTCCACACTTGTACACCTGCTTGGGGTTGTGGTTCAGCTGATGGCGGTAGCTGGGACTCTGTTAGCAGTCTTAGCGAGCATGCCCGGGCATGTTGCAAGGACATACAGATGCTCGGCTCTGGAATAGCTCTTGCCACAGTTTTTCTCTGGGCACTCGAATTTCTTGTCTAGGCCCTTGCGGCTGCGCCTACGCTTGCGTGCAGGGCCCTCCGAGTTGGAAGATTGTGCTCCATCGTGTCCGCCCTCACCATCTTCGGCATCCTCCAAATCAAGGCCTTCCACGTCTTTGTCGTAGGACCCGCTGCGCGGGCGGCCCCGTTCCTGCTCGGCTTCTCGCTTCAGGTTGTCATTGCCTGGAGACGGAGAGTCCGTGAGCGACGGCATGGTTTGGGCTGCTCTAGAGGCAGGTTTTGAGGCTTTGGTTTCACCTAGTTGAGGAGTGAGCACCGAAGCCATGCTGCCTTTCAATATCCCATCGGCAAGCACCGGCACGGGCGTGGTTTCACAGTCGAGGTGACACCGGCCCGTGATTGAAGTCCCTTGGAAAACCGTAGACGTTACGCTGCGCCGCTGTATCCAGAAATTGCCCGATAGCAGGTGTGTTCAAATCGGCGTGGGCCGGTAGCGGGTACTTAAAGGAGACTCTGCTCCAGATTAGGAAACGGGGGATTACCGTTGGCGATGCGGGATGGCGAATGAGGCAATGTCGTAAACCGCAACCAGGATGCAAGTTGTGTCCTGCTGAGCTATGGCAAACGGCGTGGCAGACGGGGCGGGCCTCGTGCTGGACTCGTTCTCGAGTTCACCAGACCAGTGTTGGATGAGGCTTACGGTATCATGGCCGGCAAGCTCAGCAGGATTGCCGCGGTCCGGTGACGGGAACAGAAAGTTCACTCAGGCCTTTCCCAGAAATCGAAGTCGAAGCAACAGTCTCTGAATACTGGGAGTGTTTGGGTGCAACCCGGATATGTGATGCGGTCAAGTTCCTAGTCTGAGGAAGGTCAGTCAACTGAAGGGGGCGGAAGTGTGGGAGCCGATGCGAGCAAGCTCCTCCCGGGAGAAAGAACGGAAATCGGTTCGCCAATATGGGTACCTAGGCGCGCACTGGACTGGAAAAGGACTCGACAACCGAGAGCGGGGGGTTTAATGGAAGGGAACGCCGGGGTACGGAGCACGGCGTCCACCATGGCGGCGGGGAGGGGGTGTGCCAAGAAGGAGCTGCACGCAAGCTGGTGGACCAAATGCTCGGGTGGAGCCCCCTCAACTGCAACGGGGCAACCTGGAAGGAGCTGCTGCAGCAGGCAGGGGAAGGCGAGGGATAAAAAATCTCGTCCCGTTTCTTCCTCGCCCGACTTTGTCGACAAGGGCGGCGCCGCCGAGACAGTAAGGACTTCCAGCTTGATGCGGTCCGTTTATTCATTCCTTCCATCTTCTGCCCGTAGCAAGCAGCCAGCTAGCGAGCGAAGTGAGTGGCACGGCTGGGCCCGAGAGGTTGCAGTCCAGGGGCGTCCCCCCGCCATCTTTATGAGACTTTGCTGCAGGGCAGGCACTTTAAGACTGTCCTGCGCGCGGTGTGGGTGTCGAGTTGCGCTCGGCAACGCCGCGTCCAGATCCGGCTTTGTTGAAGACCTGCACGGACAACATCTGCGCAGCTGTCCAGGCGACTTCGCAACGGGCCGCTCCTCCAAGTCTTCGACCCCGGGGATTAAAGATTTCTGGGAACCACGAGTGCAGAATGGGCAGGCCGTGACAATTTTCTCGAAACGGATTGGAAGTGTGGCATGTTTGCACCGAGCATGGAGCGTCGGAGAAGTTTAACGAAGGAAATGCACGGCATACCTATTCGTGAGAGAAGCGCACTCAGGGCTCAGGTGCCTTCTTGATGCGACTGGCTTGTTCTTAATGTGTCTCCAAGGGCTTCGTGAAAGGCGCTGGGCGTACGAAATCGGATATCGTATCGCCGAGGATGGAATCACTTCACGCGACCTTGGCGATGCCTTGGTGTCGTCGACGTTGTTACTGTCCGACCTTGGCTTGCTTGTCGTGGGCCAGAAACGGTCGGTGTTCTGGGGAGAGCGGGAGGGAGAGAGTCGAGCGCCGGGAGAGTGGGGGTCTTATTCCCTGCAAGTAACTCGAACCCAGCAAAAATCGCGACGGCTCCCGCCGTGCAGCCGTTGGCCAAATCGAGCCAAGTCCACAGTAGGTTCGGCGGGTGTGCTCAGTTCTTCTCTCCCATGCCGCTTCGCTCTGGGCTGTTTTGTACACATACCTGCACCTGTCGCCTCTTGCTGCGCTCTCACTAATAATGCACCTTGTGTACTGCAGGCAAATGCGCAGGCACTTTATGAATGGATCCCGCTCAGGCCAATAGGTATCAACCTGAAGATCTCTCTGAGTTGTTGCACCTTGCAATTCGCTGCGGATGGAACCCCTCTGGAGACCACACAGCCCGGCTCCGGGGAGCGGGGTTGCAACTCGCAAGCAGGGCTCTTGCGCTGTTCAAGTCCATCTGAGAATCCCCCTGGCCTGGAGCAGCCCAACTACATGTGTAACGCATCCAATGTGATACTCTCGCATGTCAACCTTGATCATGGTGATCTGGCGCTGCTTGACACTCAGGACGCTGCATAAAGCTTGCAGTGAACGTTGGCTGCTGCTAACTCCTGCGTTCAGAATGTCTCCAATAATTCCGCATGCTGTACCGAATCCAGGATGCGACGTGGCTTGGCCTTCTGGGACGGCCATGGCTTGGCTGCGGGTTCAAGAAGCTCCAGGTTGTTGACAATATTCATCATGTACGGAGGTAGGCTAGAGATCCCCATGGCCGAGTCCCATTTTAACACAAGGCTCAAACTTTGCCGGCGCGCTATGGTGTAAACCAGCTGTCTCGGTTCCATCTCTGATAATGTTGCACGCAGTACTGTAGGGTGAGACAGCCTGCCTCTTAATCATTGCGAGTCTTCCATTGTCCACCAGATGAGGTGGACCCCGCTTCTACTCCCCCTCGTGCCCTCCTTCTCCCTCTGGCAGACTAATGCGAACGGATCAAGGGATGCGCGAGCGCACCGGAGTTCGCCGTGGTTGCTTCTCAGCTCGCTACAACAAAAGCTCGTGTCTGTGGCGTGGCCATCAAGCCTTCCATCTGACATCTGAGGTGCCCGAAAGTCCGATCGACATAAGGCAGGACTGCGGCGTGGGATGCTCCCCGGCATCCTGGCTCGCCTGGCAAGGGCTCCCTTGGTCAAATGAAAGCGGCTCCTGATGAAATTGTGGGGATGAGGGATGTCCGTCTGATTGGAAGGACCCTCAAGTGATTGAAATGCCCCACTTGCCTCGCCTACGTGAGAGCCCCATCAGAATACCAAGTAAATGCATTCCGTAAACGTGAAATTGACACAAGGTTACCGGCCTGCGTTCACTGACCGTGAGGCGGCTTGAACTGGGAATTTGAAGTTGGGGTCAACACCGCTCGGACCGCTCAATTACCATCCCATAAGACAAACCAAATTCCACGGAGTCGCAAACAACCACAACCGAAGATCCGGTATGTCGAGGGTTAGCCCAAAGCACCTAGTTAGCCAAGACATTCCGCTTGATCAAATCCAATCGATCAACAAAATGAGATTGATTGCGGTGAGGGAGAGGGTGTGCAACACGTCGTGGCTCTCACGAGCCACACGACTGTAGCGGAGTACTGTAACTATAGAAGAGTACGGGCATTGTACGAAGTACCTTACGTAGTACTCCATGAAAGTCCCCGCATGGTTCTCGAAGATGAACAGCAAACAGTCCTGTGTGAAACCCCATCTTGCACCCTAACATGAATACGGTACCTTACGGTAGTCATGAATCCAGAGCCAAGCTTGTTCATGCCTCGGGCTGATCTGAGCCCGTCGCGCTGTCAGACAGACCGGAACAACTGGCGAGCAGAGGATCTCCGGGTCTTGTCATTACAAACCAATAAGCCAGGCCAAGCAAGCGCAGGCCAAGACACTCGATCCTGCCGTCTGGACGATGTCGTCGATGTGGGGTTGACGTAGGAGATCGACGCGGAGCATTTTGCACTGCCGTTAAATAGCGTGGGGTGTACTCCATTCACCGTCGAAGAGGAGCAGCCTCTCTGGCACGGTATTTAACAGTTGGTGACACAACAAGTGGCTGCCAAAGACATCTGTACGTGACATTGCTCTACGAAGCTATGGACGCCAACCTCATTCATCAAGTTGAATCAACCCACCTGACCGGTACCAGGGTTGAGACAGCGCCACCCACAGCTTTAGTGCAATCTGCCACCTGCAGCTGGACCGAAACGGGAGCCTCACTGCGTCTTCAAATGGGAAAGCGGGTGGGTGTTGTTTGAAAAGGAAAACGCTCATTGCAGCGTCGGTCACAAGCCTCCTTCGGAAAAGTCATGCCAACAGGCACACGAACCGGCCACGGCAAGCCTGTTCATCTCGGCCCCAGACGCCATTGCCACGTCCAAGCCAAACACCGTGCAGAAGGGGAGATTTGTAAGTGTCAAATAGCGCGACCAGGCCATGAGATGCGCCAGGGCCGAACCCACGCCGAGCACGAAACCTCGCGACACCGTGCGGATGCCATTCTCCCGTCCGAGTTGCCTTCATCATCCGTGCACATCGAATACAAGAATTCAAGTCCATGCCAAAACCAGAAAGTTCAACTACACCTTGCTGGCCGCCATTTGTGATCTCTGAGCCAACAAGTCCTATTCGGAAAAGGCGGGACGAGGCCCAGATGCAAGCCCGGCAAACAACCTCAGTTCCGCGGCAGCTGCTGCCCTTCCTCGACCGTCCGATTTGTAACGGCCAAAAGTAAAAGGCCCAATCCGTTTTAGGTCTCGACTCTGCTCTCAAAATGCCCCAGCCAGCAGCGGACGAAGGACGACCAGGTTGGCTTGGTACTCAAATCCGGTGAGTGTGACCCATAGTCACGCATGGCGTGGAGGGCGTTTGGCGGAGTTGCACGGCAGGCAGTGAAAGGACAGAGAGACCCAAGAAGCTGGTTCCTGTGGCACTGACAGCCGCATCCCAGCCACACCACCCACCAACCAGAGCCGCCAAGTCCCCGATTTCGTCAGAACTCTGGGGTCCCGCGCTTCCAGGTTGCGACGGAGGACTGCAATTTCTTCGTCTGTCACAGGACCCCTCACACACCGCACCACAATGCCCACTCCTCCAACAGCAATTGACCACAGCACCTTTTCGAGTCCTGTGATATAGGATGTGACCAAACCAGTCTCCGAACAATAATCACCCCACCATCAAGTTTAAGTGTCCAGCACGAAACACCCAAGACCTTTCCAGCGCGCCTTCACATGGCCCCCTCGAAAGTCGCTCGGAGCGCTCAGGAGGATTCCAAGGCCGACACAGCAACCCCCAAAGAGAAAAATGGGGGTGGCGGGGGGTCAAAGATGCGAAGAATCGCCAGCAGCGCGGGCTCCAACCTACGCGAGGTGACAAACGCAAGTGCTGCTACGAACACGGCTGCTGTGAAGGCACCCGACTCGACAGCCAACACACAGGAGGCCAGCACTCCAGGAGTATGTAGCTGCTGAATTCATTACTTCTTTTTTATTTCTCCGTAATGTATATTTACTAATGTTTTCACAATGAATAGCTGCAATGGCCCGCCTTCGACCGAGACGTCCTCCACGCTTACCGCCGCGCTTACAAGCTCAAGACACCGACCGCCTTCATCAGCGACCACCACGAATGGGTCCTCACCCAGCCAGGAAGCATCGGGCTCTACTCGCCGACAATCGCACGACGTAAAGAGCTTCGGAGGCAGACCAAGGACCAGCTGACCAATGTGGTGCGAAAGCACTTTAACGGCTTGGGGGTCCAGGAGAACGACATCATTGTCGACTTCCTTCACAAGGTCCGGAGCCAAGGTGTTACAAAAGGAAAGCCGAAAAGGCGCGAGTACGTACATCTGGAACCCGAGCGATGACTCGAATGCACATACGTTATGAGGCAGTTTCGAGGGACACAACAATCTTTGGTCCGAAGCATCGCAACCGCGGGCGCCGGGCGAGTTTTGCAGTGAAGGGACATGGGATGAATACCCAGCACATTGCATGTACGTCATAGGGCCGCGGAAAACAGGTGCATGGAGTTGAGGGCGTTCTGTTTGGATGTTGCGTTATATTTGTTACACGTCATATATTGGAGGCCAGTTTTCCCTTCCCATCAATTGCACAATTCATTGCTACCTGTTCGTTCTCCCACCACACGTCGGTCGCGCGAACCCTGCATGCACTTGAAGAAATGAATCGCGGGTCGCGCTCTGCCAAGGCCGTGGGCCCACAGAAAGCCGTGGTCGATTCTAGCGCAACAAATAAGTGGGCCCCCTCGGAGCTTGATTGGTGCCTCAGGCTCAGCCCAGAGATCCAATTGCATCGGACAGGATTGGATCCCAAAAAAAAGTTGCCGGGACTTGAAGGCTGCAAAGGCGCATCAGGGCAAGAGGAACACCATATTTCCAGCACGAAGCTTCGCATTATCAGCCACAAAACCAAGTCATCAGCCGACGCAGCAGTTGTCGCGGGTATGCCGACCGCCAAGATCTAACACAAGTTGGACGAGATGAGCACAACTATCTTCCCCAAAGCGGCCCTCCCGATTCGGCAGCTCTCGCCCGCCCAAGTATGTCGTCGCCAGAAGATAAAGCCATGCACGCGCCAATCCGGCCCCGTGGTGACCTACTCGGTAGCTTCTAGAGTTCCGAGTCGGCCGCCACCAAAATTACGGTCTCAGGCCTGCATTTCTCGGCAAAGGGTCGGTCGCCGAGTAACACCATCCAGATACGGGGGAGCTACTCACACGGAACAGCAGGCCAACTTCCACACAACCCGCCAATTACTCGCGACGCCAAGAGACCCGTACGGGACCTTGGGGGTCAACAAGAGCGCAACGGCCGCCGAGATCAAGAAGGCCTACTACGGCCTGGCCAAGAAATATCACCCAGACACGAACAAGGACCCAACCGCCAAGGACAAGTTCGCCGAGATTCAGTCCGCCTACGAGATCCTGTCCGACCCCAAGAAGCGAGAGCAGTTTGACCAGTTCGGCGCGGCAGGGTTTGATCCGAGTGCTGGACCGGGACCCGGGCCCGGCGCTGGGTTCGGAGGCGGCCACCCCTTCAGCGGCTTCGGCGGCCAAGGCGGCTTCGGCGCCAACATCAACTTCGACGACATCTTCTCGGCCTTCACGGGCGGGGCGCATCCTTTCGGCGGGCGTGCTGGGCGAGGCACCGTGGAGATCCTGCAGGGCGATGACATCGAGGTGCAGGTAACGGTGTCGTTTATGGAGGCGGCCAAGGGAACGAGCAAGACCGTCACGACGATGCCGCTGACGACGTGCAAGACGTGCAGCGGCAGCGGTCTGAAGCAAGGCACCCAGCGGTCCAGCTGCAAGTCGTGCAACGGGACCGGCACGCGCGTGCACTTCATGTCGGGCGGCTTCCAGATGGCCAGCACCTGCTCGACTTGTGGCGGCAGCGGGTCCTCAATCCCGCGTGGCTCCGAGTGCCGCTCGTGCCAGGGCGACGGCGTCGTCCGCGAGACAAAGACCCTTACCGTAGACATACCCGGCGGTGTCGAAGACGGCATGCGGCTGCGGGTTAGCGGTGCGGGTGACGCGCCCCCAACCGGTCGGGCCGCGGGCGCGGACGTGCGCGGTGTCAACGGCGACCTATATGTCTTCGTTAAGGTTGCGCGCGATCCACAGTTCAGCCGGCAGGGGTCCGACATCCTGCACACCGCCACCATCCCGCTGACCACCGCTATCCTCGGCGGCGAGGTGGTCATCCCGACGCTCGAGGGCGATGCCAGGGTCCGCGTGGCAACCGGCACCAACACGGGGGACAAAATGACGTTAGTAGGCAAGGGCATGCCGAAGCTGGGCGGGCGTCGGGGGCGGATGGGTGATCTCAAGGTGGAGTTCCGCGTTGCGATGCCGAAGTACCTCACGTCCAACCAGCGGACGCTCGTCGAGATGCTGGCCGACGAGCTGGGCGACAAGTCGGCCAAGCGGATCATGAATCTACACAAGAGGTGAGAATCTCAACTCACCTCTTGCACCTTCTCCCGTCGTACTAGGAAATTAAAAGTACTCACACAGCGATTTAGCAAACCCGCTGACGACAATAACCTCGACTCCCATAAAAACGAGGGATTCCTCAAGTCCCTCTGGCATAACCTCACCAATCACCCGGCCCACCAACAAAAGCCCGCAGACAGCCAATCTTCCTCCGATAGCACCAAGAAGCCAGAAGACAGCGACAGCGATGCCAAGAAGCAACCCGGCTCCGGTTCAGGCTCGTCATGAGGAAAATACCCACCTACCCTAACTACCTACCCAAATGGATAGGGGAAGCAAAGCAAGGTGGAAGAAGGTAATTCCAAAGGGGAGAAGTGGTTGTTAGCCCTCCCTTGATTTATGTGTACAGTACGGAGCGAAATGTACAACAACACCCACACCACACCACCACACCACACCAAACTCCCACTCAGAACCGCACAGCCGTTCACCAAGGACGAAAAAGATATTTTGAGCTGGGCATTTCGACGGCGGAGGGGAATTGGTTAGTTACAACCATGTAATAGTGTATATGAGAGTAACTAGATGGCTGAGGGCTTAGAAAGGCAGGGGTTGGTTGGTCGATTTGGTTCAGTTTTCATCCCTCTTGCATGCGGTGGTGTTTAAACGAACGGTCCCGTTATTTTTATTCTCCCAGTATTTTTATAGCGGCGTCGTCGTCTGACGTTGGTTACTAAGGTACTGTACTATCTTCAGTGCCCGCCCCTTGGGCTGGATTGGAAGGATGGACGGGACCCGCAGCTACTGTGGCTGTAGTCTCTGTCTGTCCTGTACGGTGCTATGAAAATTCCGGTATTGTAGAACGCCCTTGGACGAGAAAATAAGACCACTCTTCACACCAATCATGGGCGCCCTTTTTACTTTCCCGTCTAGCGCAGTGTAATTCAGGAGAACGGCTCGCTTGAGTTATATGCAGGCACATCCACCGTCCTTGTTTATCATTACGACCATGACAGCGTTGACCTCACGCCGAACCGAGTTATACACTTGAAGTGCCTGCCTACCTTGCTATTTACCCGGAGAAGAAAACCAGAACAAGAAGCCAGAAGAGGTGGTATCGGTCAGAATGAAAATAGAGCAGATCGAAGAACAGCAGAGAAGCCTCAGAACACGGCGTTGGCCTTGCATACTATCCAGTCCCGTTCCCTGGGGTGGTATACGATACGCCGGGCCAAGCAGAAACGCCTCAACCCCTGACCCCCCAACTGTTGAAGGATATATCCCCCACCTCTCCGAAACTGATTCAACATACCAGACCAAACCACTAACCCGCGCCAGCCGAAACGCCGCCCGCAATATCCCAAGCAAAGTAGGTATAAGTTAGCAAGACCGATCAACCGCCCGACCATGCTTTGCATTCCTCTGTTTTCGCCTCCCTGCCTGGCTGACACCTAGTCCAACTTCCCTTCCCTTCCAATACCACCGTTCAAACTCAACAGACCCTCCCCTTGTGCGTCCCAACCCGCATCACTAAAGGAAGAATGGATCTCGCAGTAGGAGCCAGCCACAATTAGTAGTCGATCCCGGCCAATACGTCCACAAACCCCAACTCCAGCCCACGTCAACCAACAAACGAACAACTTCCCTCCTCAAGACCACAGCAGCACTGCCCACTACGCACCTGTGCCCTGCACATAATAACCCCCCACACCCAGACCAGCACCCGCGCCGGCGCCGGCACCGGCAGGGTTGAACCCGCTCAGCGAACTAAGCTGCACAAGATAATTCCAATCCATCCCACCAATCTCGGCATCCTGCATGGCCTGTGCCGTAGCCGCAGCCGCAGCCGCCGCCGCCGAGCTGCTGCTGCCATACATGTGACCCATGGGATCGTAGCCCGAGTACATCATCGAGTCGTCAATCATCATGGCGCCACCGCCGGCCGCGCCGACACCGGCCATCTGTGGCGGTGCCGTTGTTGCTGACTGAGCAGGCATCGGTTTGGCGGTGGGGTGGTACATGCCCGATAAATCTCCCATTGCGGCTGGCATACCCGCGGCGTTGCTCGGTCCGGACGGTGGTGGGACGACGGATTGGATAGGGACTTGTTGCTGTTGCTGCTGTTGCTGTTGGAGGTGGACACCAGGTGGTCCCATGGGGGCGGCCATAAAGGGCGGGCCCGGGCGCCTAGAACCGGTTTTGGCCAGGGTGTTCCTCAGCAAGACGACGATTTTGGGCGTCGGCAGTGAGCGGCCAAGTTGGAGTTCGGCGGCTTCCCGGGCGTCCCAGGCTTTGACGAAGTAGCGGCCGAAGGCGATGTGCAGAGGGTTGCGATTGTGGCGCCGCAAGAGGCCGCGCCGTTCGTGGTTCTCAATCATGACGTTCCACGCGCGCTCGCAGAGGTCGCCTGTGGTGCGGTGGCACAATTCCGAGACGAGGCAGAGATAGGCGGGTAGCGGAAAGTGGGCGTATGTGTACCAGCGGAAGCCCTGCAGCATTTCGGAGCTCTGGATCAGATTGTCGTATTCGACCATGCGCAGGGCTTCCATGAAATAGTTGTCGCGCTCGTTCTGGTCGACATTGTCCGTGTTGGCGGTCCGACACAGGAAGTCAATGATGCGCAGCTTGCAGAGGGCCTGCCGCGTCATGAGTAGCGTGAAGTAGTGCAGTGGGACCTTGGGGTCGCATTGCTTGAGGTAGACATTTTCAACGTACGAGCAGAATGCCGCGAGGTCGCTCGGCAGGCTCTGGTTAGCCACGTGTGACACGATGTCGGGGGAGGATGGCGACGGGCTGTAGTGCACCATCGGCTTGTGTAACGGCCGCCCACCGGGGGTGGTGACGGTCCTCCTGATATTGTCGGGGGACGCGGCCACGGTGAGCTCTATGCGAGTCAGGCAGAAGACCATCTCGGTGGGCCCGGCGTAGGGCCCTGGTGGGCCCTTAGCATGAACGCTCAGGTCTGAGTCGTTGACGTTGAGGGGCATTCTCGTGTCACAGGCGCACGATGACAGTGCCGTTACGGTCGACCCTGTGATCTCCGCGATGCGCTTGTCAAAGACGACGATCTGCCACCATAACCGCCTCCGTTGCTCGGCTTCAAACGACGACATGTCCGACTGCGAACCGTCCCGGTGTAGGCCTAACCGGGTGGCTATCCTAAAGGTCATACCGAGGAGGCTAAACATGGAACGCGGGTCGACATATGGTCGGGCACATAGCTGGGAGTAGGTTGTTAGCAATGAGAAGACCAGGTAAATGGCCGGGCTGGGGAATCACCAGATAGAGGAATAACGCCTGCAGCACCATCAACTCTGCAGAGCGCATGAAACCTGCGTTGGCAAGCGCCTGCTGGGTAGCGTTGTGATACTTGCCCAAGAGGATGGCTCTGTCCTCGCCAAAGGTGGTGTGGACTTCGTCCTCGGTCAACGAGGTGATGGCGGCAAAGTAAATGGCAAACATGAGGGCTTCGAGCGGCTTTGGTATTTTGGCCGGGTTGGCGCTGGCGCTGATGATCTGAGCCTGCAAGGTGGGTGTGTGGGTGATTTTGAGCAGCGGGTTGACGTTACTGATGTATATTTGCCATAACTGGAACATTTGAATGGCCGGGGGGTGGGCGTTGGCCACACTGGCTGTTGCGCCGCCAACAACGAAGGGAAACCCATCGCTGTTCTCAAACATGGTGTCGTAGGCATTGTGTATCGTCGGGCCCTCGTAGTCCTCGTCTGAGGAGTCATCGTCATCCATTCCTCCTCGGTACTGCCGACCAAGTCAGACACAACGGCCAGGGACGAGATTCACAGTGTTGACGTTTGGATGCAGTCTGGGTACGGGCAAAGGGTTCAAGCAAACCGAGTACAATATATTGTACAATGAGAGACGTCGCGGGTGAAATCGACATGGGCATAGAGCGATGTGACAGCGGGCAGCGACAGAAAAGCTGTGGAAGAAAAGCAACCGCCTGCCGTTGGAGACGGGCGACTTACATCGTGCGCGATAGAGGCCCATTTTTGCCTGGGGAGATGCGTCAGCCGTGATCGGTAGATGAAGAGAGCATGCGAGTCTCATGGGTGAATGGAACCGAAACTGACTTGTCATGACCCTGATCTGGAGAGACATGGTCGTTGGAGCTCGGAGGCGACGTCTTAAGCCCGCTAAGATCCTGCTCCAGGTCGGTGACGTCGTCTCCGTGATCCGAAGGCTTGAGTTCATGGGCGATAGGCTCGAAGTTGACGCCAGCCTGAGACAGCAGCGACTCATACTTGCGCAGGCGTTCCAGCAGGTCGCGCTCCTGCGGCTTCTTCTTCCTGCGCCGGGGCGGTTGTGGGGGCACGACGCGACACTCGACCTGGGCCTTGACACAGTTGGCACAGGGCTTTTGTTTGTCGCAGCGGACTTTTCGCTGCTGGCACAAGACGCAGGAATGGCCGCGCGTCAGTTTCATCACCGCCGGTTCGGGCACGGAGCCCCGCGGAGGCGACGGCGGCGGCGGCGGTTCAGCAAGAGGCTGCTCCGAGGCCATGGCGCAATGATAGGGGTCCGGGTATGTAGGGACCTAGTATGGCTATGCGTCGGGCTCCCGTCTGCCGGATAGGCAAGTACTCCGCTCGGGTCCGAGGGAGGCCCAACAAGCCGCTCCGGCGGATGCAAAGTAGGGGATCTGCGGATTCGCCTCCCCTTGGCTGGCCGTCCTGATGGCCGGGCCTGGTCGGCCGGAAACCTGCCTGCTACTTCACCCTGATGTTGAAGGCAGAGCAGCAAGCACAGCGTCGCTCTATCCAGTACAGGTTCGAGGATATAGCCTGTTCCGAGTCGCTGAGAAGACTGTAGCTGTGGTGATGCACCGCCAACACAAGCAACAGCCGGAGACAGGAGAGAGCCGCAGGTGCAGAGGGCGGGTGTGTGCTTGACAGCTGTCAGCGGTGCCGGGTGGCGTTTGACAGTCCAGCCCAGCCCTCTGGTATCAGGACAAAGGGAATGCGACGGATGCGGGTCTCAATGCGGCCCCCTTGCCCAAATCCTTGGGATTCACGACAGCAGTTGACGGCAGTCGCACGGAGAGCAGCGCAGCGGAGCGGACGGCAACACAAGGGGCGTCTGGCGGGGAGGCGAGGGGGAAAGACGGTCACGAGAAGCAACCAACAAAGATTCGCTGACCGTCAAGGAATTACGGTAATTGACGCACACAGTTGTTCCCAGCGTGCGCAAACAGTTTGTCGTCGACATTGGGAAGGAACCAGCAAGAGCCGGCCAGGGAGCTAGCCAGCCTTGGTCTGGTCCCCTGACTCCCCGCCTCTTTCTAGTCCCTGTCAGCCGGTACATGGAAGCACCCGACGCCTACCGAAACCCGGGGGTAAGGTACTTGGGTGGCTGGGTAGGGCTGGCAAGGCTCAGTGACGGACGGAGGGGCGGCATTGAAAAATGCCGACCGTGGGTTTTCGGGCGGGGAACCTCGACGGCTGCCCAGAGGAGATCGGCTGGCTTCCAGCTGGCAGCGGGCCATCAATACAGGGCCATGTCCCATGGAGCAGGCGGTCACTATCTCGGGACCGAGCTGTGCTGCCATGACCGGCTGACCAAGCCAGCGCTAAGCCTCAAATGGGGCTATCTGCTGGATTAGGCGGCGCAACACAAAAACGGATAGAGCTCCAACCACGTGTGCCACTTCCAATAGGGAGGGGCCCTGTTGCGACTGGTAATTTTTGTAGAATCCACTTATACGGCTGAGCGAGGGGTGCAACTTCTCCGATGGGGAAATCCATGAAAACCCCAATCCGATAATAAACATTGTGCCCTTCAAGGTTCACAATATTGAGCAGATATGCCACGGAGCTCGTAGAAGCAACAAGCAGCACAGCTGAGAGCGAGATGTCCGAGCTGCCAACTGTTGGGATGGTCCGGATAGATTACCGGCCAGGTGATGCACGAGATTGCTCGTCTGATGTGCAGTTGCTGCCCTTAATCCTGAGTTCCGTGGTTGAGTGAACAAAGCCGCAGCTTCCATATAGCACAAGCCGTCCGATGTCTCGCACAAACCGGCCCCAAGTGCTGGTCACTTCTGTGACCCAGCGACCATTCCTCTACACTCGCACAAAAAACGGCTCCGAGAACCAGGTCGAGTTTTTTATTCTCTCTATCTCCATTGCGTGGTGGACTGGTTACAACTCCCCAGCTGTTCTTGCCTTCCGAACGATATAAACAGGTCAATCTCACACAACTCCTTTCTCCGAGTTACTCTTTTCTTTCGCAGTTTCGGTTCCGCTGTCGGCCGCTGTAGAGGCACTTCCGCATCGCACCTCGCCTGACAACAACCTGCAGCGGACGGCGCTGGCCGTGCCGGATCCTGCTGCCATGCCCGCCGGGTCGCAGCAGTCCCTGAGGTCTACCGGTAGCGGCAGCGGCCAGTCGACCCAGGAAGTGCGCACTGACAGACAGCCCGACGCAGGCGATCATGGCGATGCCGAGAAGCTGTCGCCCTCTCAGCCCCCGCCGGACTCTGGTGACGGCGAGCTGTTCAAGCCGCGAAGCGTCCGCTTCTGGCTGACCCTGCTGTGTAATTTTCTGGCCCTCTTCCTTGTCGCTCTGGACCGGACAATCATCGCCACCGCAGTTCCCCGAATCTCGGACGAGTTTAACGCCCTGGGTGACATCGGCTGGTATGGTTCCTCATACATGCTCACTACGGCATGCGCCCAGCTGCTCTTCGGCCGCCTCTACAAGTTTTATGACATGAAGTGGTACGTCACAATATCACCCTTTGTGCTACGTCGACTGCTCAATGTCACTGACATAGCACCCTGCAGGACCTTTCTCACGAGCATCATCGTCTTTGAGATCGGATCTGCCATCTGCGGTGCGGCCGCGAACTCGACCACCTTCATCGTCGGCCGTGCCATTGCCGGTCTCGGCTCGGCCGGCATCTTCGCGGGCTGCCTCCTCATCATGATCCCCATGGTCCCCTTGCACCGTCGTCCGGCGTTCCAAGGCATGTTTGGCATGGTATTTGGTCTGGCTTCCGTCATGGGACCCTTGATAGGTGGAGGGTTCACTGGCGGCGTCACCTGGCGATGGTGCTTCTACATTAACCTGCCAATCGGCGCTGTGACCCTGGTTTTTATGGTTCTGTACTGGAATCCCCCAAAGAGAAAACATGAGCCGGCCAAGTTCACCACCCACGTCAAGCGGCTGGATCCTCTGGGCATGTTGTTCTTTCTGCCGGGCGTCGTCTGCCTCTTTATCGCCTTCCAATGGGGTGGCTCGACGTACGCGTGGAATGAGTGGCGCATCATCGTGCTGCTTGTCGTCTTCGCAGCCTGCATTGTAGCGTTCACTGCCGTTCAGATCTTGAAGCCCGAGACAGCCTCAGTACCCCCAAAGGTGTTCATGCAGCGAAGCGTTCTGTTCGGCAACGGATTCACCTTTTTCCTGGCAGGGTCCATGCTCATGCTGGTCTATTACATGCCAGTCTGGTGTAAGTGCTGATTGATTACAGATTGAGACCCCCCAGACATTGACTTACTGTATCCTAGTCCAAACTGTCAAACAAGTCGACCCCCTGAAGTCAGGCATCTACACGCTCCCTCTCGTGCTGAGCCTGGTTGTTTCTAGCATCTTGTCTGGCGGCATCACTCAGAGGATTGGCTACTACGTCCCTTCGATGCTGGTCTCCCCTTCGGTAATGGCCATCGGCGAGGGTCTCTTGACCCTGCTCAACCAGGACAGCCCAACATCGCATTGGGTTTGCTTCCAATTTCTCTCTGGTTTTGGGCTGGGTTTCGGCATGCAAACGTCAGGCCTTGCCGTTCAAACTGTCCTGCCGAAGGAGGATGTCCCCGCTGGTATTGCGATCAACTTCTTCGTCCAGCAGCTCGGCGGCGCCGTATTTACGTCGGTTGGGCAAGCTATTCTCACCAACACGCTGGTTTCACAACTTTCCGGTCTCCCGGGCGTCGACCCACACCTTGTTGTCAATGAAGGTGCCACCAAACTCGCACACCTGGTTCCTCCAGAAGAAGTCGGGCTGATCATCAATGCCTATAACGACGCTTGCCGCAACATCTTCTTCGCCTCCATGGGTCTGGCCTTTGCCTCACTATCCTGCGCATTCGGAATGGAGTGGAAGAGCGTCAAGAGAAACAAACTCAAAGTGGACGCGTCGTCCTCGAGCTCCAATAGCAACAACCTCGACAGCTCGACGGCCGGAGCTAAGCCGGGGATGCCCTACTTTGAGGGCATCAAGGAGAACAGAAAGCGCAAGTCATCCGGGGGCAGCCGCAAGTCAAGGGGCCCCGGGAGGAAGGGCGTCCTGACCAAAGCACCTCCTCCCGAGAGGAGCAGGAGCAGGCCCTGCTCGAGCACCATGCTGAGCCAGAGCTCGGGAGATAAGAAGGACAATGATAAGGAGAAGGACAAGAAGGAGGACAGGAAGGACGACAAGAAGGGCGATGACAAGGAGGACGTCAAGAAGGACGACAAGAGGGAAGAGAAGACGGACGGCGACGAGGAGAACCAGAAGAAAGAAGACAATAAAGACGATAAGAACGGCCAGATGAGTAATGAGTCCCTGGCGGGTGCGCTGCGCGACTGGGTTAGGTACTCAATGGCGCAAGAGGCCGAGGAAGAGGAGCCCCAGCTCGGTGGGTTTTGAATGGGCGTTAGCAGCAGCTGGATGACGGATCAATGGCATTGGTGCGGTATGAACAGCAAACGGATCTTATTAGGCACATTCGGCATGTCAAGAGGACCACCGTTACGAAACGACTGTTGCATGGCTTTATCTTGCAGAGGCTTTCGGCGTTTAAGGGTGTTGCATCTGGGTTCTCTTTTCTTGTGTCGGCAATAATAGAGGCGGAGATATCTATGAAACTAGCACCCCTTTGCGATGGGTCCAAGTTGATGACTAGTGGAGGAGCGGATAATCCTTCTGTGGTCACGTTCATACAAAAAGATTTGTTTGTTGCCAGCACACAGGAGCGCTTTTGCTTGTGCCCCTTCTCTTGTACCTATGTTTACCTTGGGTATGCAGTTTGCCAAGAAGCAATTCGTCTGGCCATGTTCACTCCGCCGACCCCGAGATAAGATATACACAACTGAGTCCATCACCATAGAGGCAGTTAACTTATTTGGTTTCGTCCCTTAGGCAATGCAGGTGCCACAGTGAGAATGCCTTTTCCTCACATACCTAACTGCCAGTCTACGATTCCGACCTACCTAGGTACCTATCCGCAACCAGGTCAGGGACATCGGGATTTGGCGTGAAATGGCTGAAGTCGGTTGTCGGACTCGGGAGTCGGAGTCGGTGATTTGCGAAATAAGACAAGACAGAACGGTACGGGCATTCATCCGCGGTTACACTACACTACTCTCCTGTCGGCAGTATGGCATTGGTAGTGCTGCTGTCGTGGCTATACACACCTTGAGTATTATGATGTACTTGTGTCACTTCTCGTGCTTTTGAATGTGATGGAACCTCCCCGGTTGGTCTGTCAGTGGTAGGAGGTCGGTGGTGTGGGATTACCCCGTCTCGCACATGCTCTCCCGCCTCCTCTTGGGAGTTGGGGAGTAGATCCTGCTCTTCCAGATTCATCTGAGCTCTGTTAAGATGTCATCTTGGGTATTGTGGTTGAATGTAAGAGATGTGCTTGTTACTGGATGGGAAGCTGTGTGTGGGTGAATTCTGGCCCAAGGAATAGAGACAAAAGGGGTGTGTGGATGTAAGACAGGTCAGGTATGCTACTTTCATTGATCCATGGATGGTATGATCAAGTGTTGCTCGTAGCCAATGCCCCCTAGGGCTCACTCAGAGGACGTAACGGCGATGGACTACTTGTGGGAACAGAATGGCCTCGGAACCACCACCCTTTTCGATGAGTCGCCGAATACCAGACGACATTGCACATCACCAAGCACAGTCGGTCCCTCTGGAGAGCAAGCCACCTTGAGCACTTTGCAAGGGTTTAAAAGCTTCTCTGTTTGGCATGTTTGCTTCACTGTATATCCCACCCAGACGGGAAGATCTCAAACTCCAAACGTGAGCGCGACCAAATCATCGCATTCTGGCCCACGCTAACGACATATTTTCACACACACGAAGTGACACATATATCATCGAAGCCGGACAAACAAAACAAGATCCTTAGCGGCCCAAAACGAGGAAAACACCGGTTGAAACCCCCCAGTCCAGCCCAATCCAGTCCGGTCCAATCCAGGCCCAGAGTAACACCCTAACCCCGTCACTCCCCCCAACCTTTGAAGAGTTCCAAGCAAGACAGAGCCAAAGCCAAACCTAAGCTAACTTGAAAACCCCTGCACCCGCCTGCCAGCCTATAGCACCATAGGAAAACGCTTTGACATCCTCTTTTCCGGACTTGCCTGGATATCCCGTCCCCCCGAAGAACACCATCAAACGCCGTGGACCGCTCCAATGAATCCCAGATTAAAAGTAAAGTATAGCCATCTAACCCATTTTCGAGCCAAAAGAAAAGATGAGAAGGGCGGAGGAAACATCCCCGTCCAGCATAGAGACCATCGCCTGCATAAAATGGTGTAGTGACCGAACCGTTGCTGAGAAGACCCCGTTGGACCTCGTTACCCAGACCACTGTCTATATATCCTTACACTAACACACTGCCGTTCTCCGCCGATGTACTTGCCGTCTATGAGCCTGGCACAACACTGGCTTGCGTGGGAGAAGCCTGGGTGGCGATGGGTTTCGTGGGGGAAGTGGCTGTCGTAGCCGTTGCGGCTAGCGCCGCCGCCGCCTCTTCAGCCGGAGTAGCGGGATCCGGAGGAGCCTTCTCCACTACTGGAGAGCTCCCAGCCGTCGTAGTCCCGCCGTCCGTGCTCGTGGCAGACTTGGGAAGGTCATCCGCACTACTTGACACGGCTTTGAGCAGGCTCGTCCCTACTGATGGAGGCCGGGCGGCGGCGGCCTTGCTCAGCCTGTTCTTATAGTCGCTCAGACTGAGCTTCTTCTTAACCGGACTTGGCGTTACCGCCGCGCCGCCGACGGACGGCGGGCCAAAGAGGCCCGGGAAGCCGGTGGCAGAGAACGGCGACTGGACGGTGACTCCGGCAGATATCGGTGTCGAGGCAGTCGAGTGGGCAAAGGTGGGGTTTTCGAACGCTGGAACGGGAGGCAGCTCTACTCGTAAATCGGGTGATTTGTGTTTGACCAAGCCATTTGTTGCGATACCCCCGCTGGCGCTCGTGATCATCGGGGACGCTGGTCGCGCATCCGACATTGGGTGATCTTTCGACTCGTCTGCTGGAGAACCAAGACTCGAATCCTTATCTGCCTCTCTGATTGAGGCTGGTGAGGAATGGAGGGCATGCCCATCGCTGCGGCTGTCCACGGCCATGGCGGCGGGCATTGTCCGGTCCACGGCCCGCCGTTTAGCACGCTCTTCCTCCTCTAGACGGATATGATGCCAAGTCTCCAGCATCCTTTTCCGAAGGCAGGATCCTACCCTCCGTTTCGGAGTCGCAGTCTCGCTTGCGTGATCAGGGAAATCTGTCTGCACCGCAGCGTCACAATAGTTGGGATGCAGCACGACCGAGGCACGACGGGAACGAGCTGGCGCAGACCCCGTTCGAGACCTAGGCTCTTTCAAGGGACTCGGATCGCTTGGCGACCTTGACTTGACTCGTGAGGCTCCAGCCCCAGCATCGACATAGCCGCTTCCAGAAATCGTTTGTGAAATATTGGGTGTCTGGGTCGCCGTGCTGGACTTGAATGCCTTTGCCTGCGAAATGCCAGTTCCATCCGAAGCGCGTTTTCTCTTGCGTTGCGGATGCTGTTGCTGCTGCTCCATGCGGCGGAACGTGTCCTCAACCATGGCGACCTTCCTCTTATCCCGATCGGTGGGTTCAGTCAATATGCCGAGCGTATCAAACGAACCCTGACGAGCTGTTGGGGTCATGTCTCGGCTCGGGGGTTTGCTCCGGGAGGAGCTGGACACGGACCTCCGGTCATGCTCGGGAATGTCCTCTAAATGGCCCTCGCTAGGGGCCCGGCTGTTGGCGGCATGCCCCGTGCTGGTTGGGGATATGGCATGTTGTGCTCTCGGCTTGCGTTTCTTGCTCTTGGGCGGATTTGAGCGTTGCTGGGTCTTGGCCAGATAGTTTCTGTGAAACCGCGCAAAGGCACACTCTGGACCAAGGTTGCATGCACAGCCTCCATGCTCAGAGAGGATGAGATGAAGCCAGTTGGCATATTTTCGATAGTCCGCTTCCGTCGCTTCGGCATGCGCGTCCATCGTGTCGTCGGCGAGACCAAGAAGTTGGAGGACGCGCGTCTTTGTCTGGGTCGGAAATCGAAAATCCCAGGGGATCGTGATTTGCTCCTTTGCCTCAATCTTCCGGTCGCTCACCAACCAAAAGTGGTATTCACTGCCGGCTGAAAGATAAGTTTCAAGGACTGCGTTTGGCTTGCAGCTCCGTCGCACGAAGCGAGCCTCTGACCCTTCCCTTCTCGTGTCGATGTAGAGTGGTAGAAGAGGATGGAAAAGGACAAACGGGAGCGGCGCAGTCAGCTCGGCCCAGCGATTGTCGGCATCGGCACAATAGTTCGCTTGAAAGCCAATTTGGCCGTTAACTTCCATGAGCGGGACGTCCTTGTCGATTGGCGAGGGCGCTTTAAGACACTGCCACTGGACGACGGTCCCCAACGAGATGATCTTGCTGTTTTGCTCAATCTCTGGCCTGACTGCGATCGACTCAATGTCGGAGGGGAGAGTCTGGAACACGTCGCTGTAGGATAAGCCTGTCTCGTTCTGCAACTTTTCTGGGTTGTGGAGCCAGGCCGTCATGGTATTGGACACCTGGAGCCCCGCGAAGCTATTCGTGTTGACGATCTGGAAGGACTGATCGTTGTACGAAGACAGGAATCCCGATGAATAATTGTGCAGTTCGAAGTCATCGGGAAGATCGGGCGGAGTTGTCGCGGGGCTCAGCGGGTGACCATGAGCGGCCTTCGCATTCCCGTGGGAAGGACTGCGCTTCGGCGCCTGTGAGCTAATGGACTGACTCGACTTGTGCGAGGTTTTCGCCTTCTTTGCGGGATGGGACAGGTCATGGGGGCCCATGTGCTTCGTGCTTTCAGACGCTCCGTGATGGATGCCATTTATTTGCAGCTCTGACGGCTTCGGCTTCTTCTTGTGACTCTTTGACGATAGACGTTTCGGCTTCTTGTCAGCTGTCGGGTCGGCGAGTAGCAGAGGCATTCTTGCTCTCTGATGTGCGATGGCCCGCTGGTGGTCCAACGGCCGAGGGTGGCACTGGACGCAGAAATGCACAAAGCTATCTGCGCAAGCCTCCTGGATATTGTCTGGGTAGTAGCACTCAATGTGCTGCCATGTGACGCAAGTATCGCAGAATATGGTGTTTCCGTCATCCTCAAAATAGTCGCATATGCATTTTATCGTGTACGGCTCCTCCTCTGGGGTATCCTGTTCTGGAGCGACATCGTGAACGGGGACCGCACTCGCAAGAGAGGCACCGGGCTGAACAGGAAGCGCGATCGATGTCGGCAGCGGCGGCGGCTTGTCTGTCATAATCTTTGACGGCAGGCGACGGCCGGATGACGGAGAAATTGTGCGGACGATTTATCTAAGCAGTCGGACGGGCATGCTTGTCGCGCGTCTCGACGCGATTGGTCTCGAGCTGTGTACGTCGCGAGGGCCGGTCGAGACGACCAGAGTATCATCCGCACGGGAGATTGGGGTGTATGCGACGCCGCACTCGGCCGCGATTCTGCTAATCGTCTCAGTTGACTCGTCGGCTCGGTCAGAAGTCGACAGGATTTGGTGGTGGATGGAATGTCGTGGTGAGATCGAGGAGCGTTGAAGGTAACAATGGATTAGCTTGGTCTGCCAACGGGTCTGGTTCGTCTCGTTGGCGTGTCTGGCGCAGGCGGAAAGATGAAGGAAGGCGGGTTCGAAGGTGGTGATCGTGACGACAGGCGCGGTGAGGACGAAACACGCAATGGATGAGATGGGGAAGGGAGGTGCGCCTCGAGGACAAAGGAACTCGAATCGACTGGGCCGAGAGCTAGAGGCAGGATTGAAACTCAAGCTTGGTACCCGAAAAGGTCGACAGCGGAAGGGAGGAATGGGCGACGCGAAAAAATGGGATGGAATAAAGAGAGGCAGAGTTTGAAGGAGAGGGTCAGAGTGGAAAGAGCCATGCTGCAAGAGGGAGGGGGCCCACAGCACGACTTCCAGGTTCGACGAGAGGAGCGCTCCTGGTCGGCGCCATCTGCCTGAGGAACGGGCTGCTGCAACTCGGGGACCAGGGTGTTGCCCAGAGAAAACGGAGGGGTGCGCCAGAACGGACCAATGAAAGGTATTGGCTCGGCTTTCGACTCTAAGCCCTAGGAATGAATTTAAAACGGAGGCGAGAAAGCTGAAGTCGACCGGTCGCCTTGCGCCGCGCTTCTTCTTTCCTTGCACCCTGCTCATCAATTCTCGCAGCGCGAGCACTCAACATCAGGTGCCTTGGCAGCAGTGGGCGTTGGCTGCTGCGCGAAAGGTCGGATGAAGTGTGAGACTTCTGTCAGAACGGAGCAGGGTCTTTTGAAGGGTGGGCAACGGAGACTCGACGCTTGATCGCGATTGGTAGACGAGAGGCGAAGGTTGTCCGGTTGTCGGTTGGCGGTGCTGCGCAAGATGACCTTCACCAATCCGGGACGGACCGTCAGAAAAGCGGAGCATTCGACAAAAGCCGGCGAGTATCCATATTCGAACGCCGAAGAAGAACAGAGAGATTCGCAGTGACCGTCAGCAGTGAGGCCTGCTCGCACCTCAGGGTTAGGAAGAGGAAGATGGGAAGAGGCCAGACGGTAAGTAAAGTGACGCCCATAGTTGTCAAAGCGGTCGTCAACCTAGGAGGGGAAAAGGGGGATGAATAACAGGTTTGTGGAAGGATAAAGAGGAAGTCAGAACAATGAAATTTACATGAAAGAAAATGTTGATGAGACTCGGGGGAAGCCAGCACGAAAGTTGGTGGAGAATGTTGTTCTGCGAGGCTGGGACTCAGCGAGGATCTTAGCGCATAACGTTACAGTTCCTATCTGTGCGTAAGGCAGTACACGTGTATGGCGGCTGTCAGCGCTGCACGGATACACCGTTCTTTCGCAGAAGGTTCTAACTTGCGACTTGAGGATCCGAGTCAAGCGCGTGTTCTGATATCGATACAAGTCAAACCTTTTTGTTTACAATGTCGGATGCACTGAAGTAAGCTTTAAGGCAACAACGTCCACATTGGATCGGATAAGGCATGAAGGGCATCTCCAGATCAGTCCAACTATGTAATCCGTACACCGTACTGGATCTCCGGTCGGCCAGAAAGATTTATTGGCTGGATTACTATCAAAGGATCCACTATCGCTCACATGATACGTCAAAGCACGCAAAGCAAAGTGTGGCCGGCACATGGCCTTGCTCCAATGACGTCCGTTTGGACACTGCAGTGTGGCGGGTCCACCCACTTAGCAGCCTCCGCCGACCGCCGTGCACTTTGATCCGCCGTTGGTATCGTTGTCATCGCCATCGCTTCTGACACCGCTATCGAACTCTCACTCGCTGGTCCTAAATCGAATCGCGTTAGGAGACAGAATTTGCGTAGAAGAGGCAGATTACTGCACCTTCTATCGTTCCTAGAAGGGACATAACGAATACCCGATTGCGGTTAGCATGAAGCTCTCCGCAATTGTCCTCGCGCTCGCGGCGAGCGTCAGCGCACGGAACGTCTTCCGCTACGAAGGACAGGCCCTCGTCAGACGCAACGACCTCGATGTGCCTGGCCAGAACCCGCTCAAGTTTTGCGAAGCCGACCGCGAGAAAGACATCATCACGATCGAGGAGGTCATCTTGACGCCGAACCCGCCTGAAGCGTAGGTTGCATTCCCAACAACAGCCAGCGGCCTAGGACCAGACCTTGATTGTCTTACTTTTCACAGAGGCACGACCCTCGTCATAGAGGCCAGCGGCACGGTAAAGGAGACGATTCTCGACGGCGCATACGTGAACCTGGAGGTCAAGTACGGCTACATCCGCCTGATCAACACGCAGGCCGACCTGTGCAAGGAGATCAAGAATGTGGATCTCGAGTGCCCCATTGAGAAGGGCAAGATCTCCATAATCAAGTCTATCGACCTGCCCAAGGAGATCCCACCGGTATGTCTACCCCTCCGGTCTTTTGACGTCAAGAGGGCAATGATGCTGACAGCAGACAAAGGGCAAGTACAACGTCCAGGCCGATGTATACAGCAAGGACAACGAGCACATCACCTGCTTGACCGCCACTGTGATCTTCGGCCGCAAGTCCTTAGGCGGCATCCTAGACCTTTAGGGCGCTGAGCGGCTACTGCGAACATGCGGGTTGGCCTGGGACTGCAGTTAGCTGGCGAATCAAGACTGTAATTGGCATGCGTACATAAGAGAGGGCTCGGATCAGAGCATAACGGCTGTTGTTGGTCTTTGTTGAGTTAGGTGTTGCGTTGGTTGATTCGTTTCTGCATCTCTCCCTCTCACAGCATATTGAAGGCACACAGAGTCCCCGAGGTTGGCGATAGCGGAGTACAGGACATTGCATTGCGTCGGTATCATCTGCTGAATAAGGCGTGACTGGCTGAACGTAGTGACTTCCAGGTTCCCTCGCTGTCTACTGCATCGAACCCGCTATTCACCAAACAGCCTCCGGACTCTCCGCAAGACGCTGTCCTTCTCCGGGTCGTAGGGATGGTCTTTGCTCGGGATCTCGAGCACGGTCGGGAATGCTTGGGTGTAGGTATCAATCCGGTGGCGTATCCTGTCGGCAATCTGCAGTAGACGATGTTTCTTAGCCAGGGTCCCAGCCCGAAAACTCTATATAGATGTAACGTGACGAACGTGCTGGTTAATCAGGACTATCCCAATGTCCTTCCTCTCCGTCGTGAACCTGTCGAATGCGGCTTCAATAGCGGATGTGTCCGTCTTGCTGTCTACCACCAAGAAGTTTTTCTGGTTGTCTGGCGGCGCTGTGACATGCTATCGGTTCCGTGTTAGGCTATCGAGGAGATCGGGAGGGAAGCAGGAAGGGGGATACGGACGCCAATGCCAGCTAGAAGCAACCCCGTAACAGAGTCCTATAACCCAGCGTAACTATGAGAAGACATCTCAACAGCCGGCGCAACAGAGGCTGCGTACCTCGTCTCCAATCACTGCCAGGAACTGCCTGTCGCGGAAGTCGGTTTGCGACGACATTTCGGCTGCCGAGAGTCGCGGAGGGAGCAATCGATGGCGGGCAGGATGATTGCCGAGCGGGCTAGCAGACTAAACGAGCACAGCCAGTTCCGAAAAATAGTTGTCCAGGGCAGTTTGCTATGACGGCCTGTCTGGTTTCCAATGTTCGGGTCTAGTCCCGTGCTGAGCCGTTGAGGTGACGCCGTTAGGAGGCTCTGACCAACAAGGCCGGCGGAGGCGGAGCCACACTGAGACCCCCACCGAGCCCGCTGCGCCCCGCCTGCCGACCCCGTTCCGTCATGGATTTCCGCTTTCAGCTCACCAAGCTCAGGCAGCGCGGTGGAGCCGTTGCTGGGTATGATTCTTCCAGGCATGCCCCGTAAACAATATCTCAAAAGATTTCGCATCATCACCAACTCGCATCTCCGCATGCACCCAGCTGCGCGTCCACAAATGACGAGCTTGCAGCAGCACCGTGGATGACTCGGTCAACAGGCAATCTGAACTGCCTGCTCATTATCATCTACTTCTCACCCCGCATCCCAAGACGAATACATCGAACAAGAAGAATTTGACTGCGTTCGGCGAAATCCAACCCTGACCAGCAACATGCCTCCACGACCACAACGGCTTGTGAGGCGCCAGCCTCTTACCGAGAGACTACGCGCTATGCTCAACCCAATGGACTTATACCTCTGGCTGTCCGAGGAAATACAAACCTTCAACTGGGACTCGAAGACATTCGGCACACGATTCGGGCTCGCGGCTAATCTCATCTTTCTTGTCGCGAGAGCGAACGCGGGCAAGACCCCCGATGCCGTCGACGATGTGTTTGGAGATGCTCCCGCTAATGACTGGTTCACCCTCATGGTGAGTGACCTGCTTGATGTGCATCTTTTTGGGGACAATGGCTGATATTTGTGATGCGGTTAGGCCAACTTCCTCCAGTGGATGCTGATCTCCATTTCCGCTCTCAACGCATTCTACACAATGACACGATCGCGCCACTACCGACTTTTCGAGATGAACGTCGAGGCAGCAGGGCCGGGCACTCCGTCGGCGCAACGAGTTCGGGTCGATTCGTCGCCTGCCGCATCGACACCCCTTCGCCTTATCCAGGACATTCTGAGCCCCGAGACGGCCGAGCAGCGAGCGCACCCCGACAAGACGCGCGACGTGTGGGAGATGAAGGTGTGGGATCCATACCCGGCGACGCTGCGCATGTTTTGCCTCTTCAGCCCCGGCCACGTCCTCATTCACATGCTATTCCTCCCCTTACAGACCTTGGATCCGCGCCCGAGCGTTAGTGTCTTCAAGTGCTTCATGTTGCAGGTGATCCTCTCTGCGCAACTGCTGCTTATGCACTCCCGCTTCTCCCAGCAGAGCAAGGACACGGCCATTATTCAGAAGGAGGTGATGCACGAATATGACGTCAAATACGTTCACCCGCGGCTCCACCCCGTGGTTCGGGAGGTGTCAATACAGGTGTCGATCAACGACGGGAAAATCGACGAGGAGGAAGTGACTCTCGGAACGCCCTCGACCCTGATTCGCCGGTCCTTCCAGACACACCCAAATCCGAACTACACAAGATATGTCAACCCCGACGCCGGACAAGTCCCGCAGGCGAGGATCATGTCTCCGCAGCCTAGGCCAATGTCACCCAGCCCGTTCACCCCCTCAGCCAAGCCTCGGGCCTCAGTCCCTCCGTCCTTCGCTGCTCAGGTACAGCAGCAACGACACTCCGCCCTCCGTCAGAGCCTCCCTCCCGCATTATCATCAGCATCCGCGGGCGGTGATTCCGTCACGACGCCCTCCGTCGTATCAAGAAGCACCTCCACCGGCCCAAACTTCAATAGCAACCTCCCCCCACCCATTGCAGGCCTTGGCGGCAGCCTCGGGGTGTACACGCACATGAACTCGCCGCTGAGAAAAGCTACCAGTCTCGGCGACATAAACGGCTCCGCGTACGCGCCGTCGCCGCGCAACGGGCGCGAGATGGCGGCGCTCGAGCAGCGCGAGCTTGCCGAGCGCATGGTCCGCGAGAGCAGCCCGTTCAAGGAGAGCCGGCGTACGCTCGACCCCAGCAGCTTTGCGCACTCGCCTGAGAAGCTGGCGAGAGCGAGGGCGAATCGGTGGACGCAGGAGAGGTTCCCTAGTCGGAGGGCTCCGTTCTAAATCAAGGGAGCAGTTAGGGAAGGAAAAGGGAGAGGAATCAGTGGGCGACGCTTCCCGTTCAAAGGTGTATCGTACATGGGCTGGATATCAGGCGTTCGGCAACGGACATTTTGGGAGTTGGCTTTTATGTTTTATACTTGGGCATGTTGGGTGTTTTGGCGTCGACTGGGAAGTACACTGCTACCTACCGGGTTTGGTCATCTTGGGTGTCATTATACGTAACATATTGCATCACGGTGTTGTGCGACAGACATATTCCCCTGGAAGGAAACCTGAGTCAGCGGTGCTGTTTTCAACATGAAGCTCGGCGGCGGCGTTGGCACAGCAACCGGTGCTAGGTAAACAGTACGTTGATCAGGGGAACGCGAGAAAGAAAAGCTCAATCCGGATAGAAGGACGGAAAACACCAAACGAATAACAACGGGGGAGACAATCGCAAACATCAGAGAATAAGATGCGTCAGCCGCGAACCGAACACAGGGCCCATCGATGGCAACGACGGATCTTACCACTAAACCACTGACGCGGTGGAGTGTCCCAACAACATCGAGCGGAGACTCGCAACGCGTAGCGAGCGTTTGCGGTGGAAGGTAGTAGGGCTTGTGTTTATTGATAGCCGAGGCTGGAGGACTCCGTCAACAGCCGGCACAACATGAAGAACTCATTGGGGAAACGTAGAAAGCGAGGAAGGGAGCGTGAGTTTGGATCAAATGAGGAACGGTGGTCAGTTTGGTGGTCTGCCCTAAATCAAGACTGTCTCAAGGAGTTGCGGCACGCGTTCTTCCCCTCATCCTTCTTACCTTCCAGGTTGGATACGAGGCGGGCGATTTCGATGCCTGAATGTGGCTGTCCATGCTTGATTTAGCAGCGTTGCTTTCCTGTGAACGGTTGATGCCCTCCGTTCCTGACTGATGAATGGGCCAACCAGGACTTGGATCGAATGTCTTCGGCTGTGGAAAGGGAGGCAGGCACGCCCTACCTGACTCCGAGGCAGTCGGTTATCTCTGCCAAAGCAACCAGGTTCAGACAACAAACATTGTTAATTCCGCACTGAAAGCAACCCGAAAAGAACATCATGGCATCTTCCCCTAGCAACAACAGGCCACCAGGCCAACCATGCTCACCGAGACGGCGAAACCACGTCATAGCATCCACCAAAGGCTCACCCACCCTTCACCTCCACAGCAGTCGCGTCTCCCCAGACACCGCAAAATGCAGGTCTCTCTCCAAGTCGGTGACAGAATTCTTTTCCAAGCTCCGACCGAGCAAGCGGCCTGAACGCGGCGGCACAGCCCGACCAGCAGCAGACAACGACGCAGAGCACGCGCCGGCGAGGCCCACACCGCCGGCGGGCTGCCGCAGGAAGAGATCAAGCTCTCTCGGCCCGCACGGCCCAGACACAATCCCGCCCGACCGCTGGAACACAGCCATCACGCCGCCTCGCAGGGCCCACAGCGTCGGCAGCAGGGCAAGGAGGAAATCGGTTGCCGCTGTGCCATCATCATCACCCAAGAGAACAACGACAACGGCAACCAACCTCCCAGCCAGAAAACCCCCTCCCATCTCCCACGAGAACCGCGGCCCTCCCAAACGCCAGAACCGTACCCACCCCAGCCTGCCTCCACCCGCCCAGCAACACTCGTTCACACACAGCCACTCACTACCCATCCCTTTCCACCTCCCCTCGGCGGCCGAAGTACCAACGAGCCACGTACCAACACCCCGATCCCGCGACCTCTACCTCGCGCACCGCGCCCACCGGCACGAGCGCCGCACGCTCCTCTCAAGCGGCGACTTCCTGGGCGTGACGGGCGCCAACCCCTACACCGGCGAGCCTGACATCATCACGCCGCCGACCTCGGCCTCCTCGGCCATCATCAGCTCGTCCTCGTCGTCTTACTGGCCGACGAGCTCCGCCCTGGCGGCGGCGCTAGCACAAGGACGTGATGGAGGAGATAGAGTAGTTTGGACGCAGGAAGGTAATGGGGCCGGAGCGGGAGGGGGAAGGGGGGAAGAAGCGCAGCGAAGGGAAAAGGAACGAGCAAGGTTGTTGGAAAAGGGGTTGAGGAGGATGGCAAAGGAAGAAGAAAGGCTGTGCCGGGCGGAACAGAGGAAGAATATGGTGCGAGAGGTGTTGATGCAGGGCGGCCGGGTGAAGTGGAGGAAAGAGGAGGGCGGGTGGTCGTCGGTTGCGGAGCCGAAATTGAGCCCGATTCTGCAGTCGCTGCAGGGCAGCGGGAAGTCGTCTGGCTCGGGGGGGCAGGAGGGGATGCGCCTCTCAAGGCAGCAGGGGGGTTCTTTTTTAGAAACAGCGGCGGCGGCGACGGGTCTGGAGAGCTGCCGCCGCCGATATGCGAACGGGGAAGGAGTGATATTGTTGGCCCATCGGCAGCAACCCCGACAAACGAAGCCCGAGATGGTGCTGGGCCAGGACGCGGTAGGTGGCTTGGCCGCTCTGAGCAAGGTGGTGGTTCGGCTCTGTCTGCCGCCGGTCGTCCCCCGCCGGAAGAGCTCTCATCAGTGGAATGCAAGCCGTCTGCAAGACCCTTATCCCGAGTGGGAGCTAGGCACACTCATAGTCATTCCCGTGGACCTACACAGGCTCTCGGAGGACTGCAGGCTTCAACAAATTTCCACCGGGAGAGTGCTAGAGCTGGACAATCTGGACCCAGCAGAGCCGTCGACAGGCAAGGCTCTCCGCAAACCCCGCCGAGCAGACATTCGGCCTGGCGGAATGCTTCAGGCGAGTTCGGCAAAGGGAGGCCGTCCCTTGAGTCAGGAGTGCCCATCTGTCTGCACACGCACCATCACCACTACTGGCTTCGAACACAGTCAGCCTCACCCCCTCGCCGTCGGCCATCTCTTCGGCGCGATGCTCGACGGGTTGAGAGAAGCTCCTCTGATGCGGCGAGCCTTGACGCCCAGAGCGCTCTCACGGCCAACATCGACCCAATTCTCGACCACAAGGTCCAACGACGCCTGTTCGAGCCAGCTGGCTTCCCCAAGCAGCATGCAACTGAACGTTTGGCCGAGTTTCAGCAACCTGGGTCAACAGACAACGAAGACAACGACTACAACGACGTCCACTTGGAAGATGCTGGGAACAAGCCCAGAGCAGGAAAGCCGTATCCCCCTTCGACCTCTCAAACCAGGACCAGACAGCGCTATTACGTCGTCGCCAACCGACCAAGAAGCAGCAGCCCACGCGCAAGAGAACGTCGCGCCAACGCCAGTCCAGCACATGGACGGAGCAGCGGACCGCCATCCGCGGGAAAAACCAGACTGGGCGATGCGCAAAACAATGCGAAACCCTCCCGACCTCCACCCGACTCACCACAACGACGAAGTACCCGACAACCCCAAATCATCGCCCACGTACACACGCAGCTCCACATCCCCCACCGCCCTGGCCGTGGCCCTGGCTCAGCCCCAGCTCCAGTCCCCAAAAGCTACGGCATCGGCACAGCAACGAGAAGCAGTGACCATTGCCCGCGCCTCAGCTCGGATAGCGTTCACGCAAAACCCCGACTCCCGCAGGGCCCTGCCGGTGCTGGTATCCGGGAGGACACCACTGAAGGCGACTCCCCGGCCGGTATCGGCGCCGGACACCAGCCGCGCCAAGCCCGCCTCGGCAGCCGGGGCGGAGCCAAGGCCGGGGACGGGCCAGCAGGGGAAGCAGAAAGGCAAGGGGAAGGGAGAGAAGAAGGAAAAGAAAACACCGGGTCACGGGGACGGGAAGGGGACTATCACTGTTCCGGGAGAGTCAAAAGGGGGCCAAAAAGAGAAGTCGAAAGCGGAGGGAGGGAAGGAGAAGGTGGAAGCGCAGAACAAAAGAAAAGGGAAGGAGTTCCTGGCTCCGGCACCGGGCAGTCCGGAGGTTGAGGAATGGATGCGGAATGCGGTGCTGATCCTGGCGCGGGTGGTGGGCGCGTACTGGCAGGTTGTGAGCCCAGTGTTTGACGGAAATTCGGAGCTCAGAAAACGGCTTGACAAAGCCCAGGCAACTCGGGGAGACCTCGTTGTGTGTGTCCTGGCTGTGGTGTTTTTGTTTCTGGTCATGGCTGTCGGGGTGTGGACTGTCAGGGGCATTGTTTGCTCTGTGAGGCTGCTGGGAGTGCTTGGGGAGGTGTTGGGGACGGTTGCTGGGCTGCGAGATTGACAGCTTTCGCACTTGATGTGACACTGGCCTGGGGTAAGTGGATACAATATTGATACATGGTGCTAGTGTAAGTGAAGAGAAACAGCCTTATTAAGTTGTTAGTGCGACAGATATCCGGTCTGCATCCTTCGGCTGAGAATGTGAATAGAAATATCATGGCAACAGAGCACACGCCTAGCCGTTTGAGCCTCATATAGAGCAGCACTGATAAGAACTGTCACAATGATAATAAACCTGAGTGAGAATTGCATGTACAATGGCCCACTCGGGCGTGGTTAATGCTAAGGGTTCTGGTTGGCCACGGTGATAATATTGCATTTCTGGCTGCCGCTTTGGGGAAGTGAAAAGCAGCAGAGAGTCGAGGTTCCATGTTCCGCTGGACCCTCGGCATTGTGTGCAAAGCAACTCCGGTCCACGGTGCCATGAGACGAGCGATGCGGGTCTGATAGGTGGACAGGGCCAGCGAACCTGGAAAGAACTGAGTGCTGGGGCGTGAAGTGATACTGGGACTTGCAATTTCACTTGAGACCCTTGAAGAGCGAGCCAGCGAGCCGGCGCTTTTTCCGCGATCCGGCGGGCCAGCCCGACTGGGGAGCTCAGGGCTGGTTGGTCTTGCAGCTTGTCGGAATCAGCTGCTCTGGTACATCTGGCCAGGTGGAGCTGCGACAGTGCTTGAAATTCTGGAAAGACCTACTGGTATCAACAGCTTCATCGGCTGACCAGGCGCAGTTCGATACGCTTGTTCCCGGATATTAAAGCTTGTTGTAACAATCTTTCTGTTGCCCGTAGTCCAACGGGATAGAAGCACACTGCTATATTTGAGGTTGATATACCCTGTATGAGTATAAAAGGCCGAGATCTATACGGGCCGGGTCTTGCCGTCTAATTGGAGCAACCATTTGCACTTACATCGGCTTATAGAGCATTGCTGAGGGAGCCTTCGACATAGTATCAGAATTATTCAATGGACTGAACAAAACAGTAAGCAGATTAGGCCTTCTGCAAGTAATCAGAGTGATCTGTCCATTGTCCCGAATTGTCTTGGCTCTCCGAATTCGAATTCTAGAACTGTGAAATGAGTGTGCAAAGTCGTTTGAACGTGCACGTGCGTTGTGGAAGTTGCTTCTTCGGGACGAGGCGGCACCGACTTTTGTCCGTCAGCCCACTGTGGGGAGCGATGCTTGGCCTCGGCCCCACATAGCCCTGCCTTACAAGCGGCATAGCCAATGGGAAGCTGTGCTTTAGCAATGGGAGTGGCCACCCCGCATTCCGTGAACCGGAGCTCTTTGCTGTGCTCCGAATATCGGCCGTCTCCAACATCACCGATTTGGAGGCAGCTGCCATTTATAAGTGAAAAGGAAGTATGATCGATCATCGGATGACGAGTGGACTCAGGCCTCATTTCCATTCAGAACCCGCAGGTGTTCTTCGCCACAGCTTCTCAAACTCGCTAGAAGAGCGAAACCGTACCACAAAATATCACACCGAACAACACCCAGTATCTTCCCCGGCTGCTTGTCGTCCTACCGCGTCCTTCCAACTACCCCGTCTTTGAGATTATTGGCCGCTCTGCAGGACTTGATTGCGTTGCACAGCCAAAATGCCGGCCGCCGAGAGGACACCGCAGACCCTCTACGATAAGGTCTTCCAGGCCCACATCGTCGACGAGAAGCTCGACGGCACCATCCTCCTCTACATCGACCGTCACCTGGTCCATGAGGTCACATCACCAGTGCGTGTCTCCCCGCCGGGATTCGCCTAACACACATGCTAACCCGCAACAGCAAGCGTTCGAAGGCCTGGAGGTCGCTGGCCGCAAGGTCAGGAGACCGGACTGCACCCTCGCCACAACCGACCATGTAAGCATCACCCGCGCCGTTCCGATTTTCAAAGACCAATTCCACTAACGGTTCGCTCTAGAATGTCCCCACAACCTCGAGGAAAGCCCTCAAGGACATCGCGAGCTTCATTCAGGAAGACGACTCGCGGACACAGTGCGTGACGCTTGAGGAGAACGTGAAGAAGTTTGGCATCACATACTTTGGCTTGAGCGACAAGAGGCAAGGCATCGTCCACGTTATCGGCCCTGAGCAGGGCTTCACTCTGCCCGGCACAACTGTGGTCTGCGGTGACAGCCACACTTCGACTCATGGCGCTTTCGGCGCCCTCGCCTTTGGCATCGGCACCAGCGAGGTTGAGCACGTCCTGGCCACGCAGTGCCTGATAACCAAGCGCAGCAAGAACATGAGGATACAGGTCGACGGCGAGCTGGCGCCGGGTGTCAGTTCCAAGGACGTGGTCCTCCACGCCATAGGCAAGATCGGCACTGCCGGCGGCACCGGCGCCGTCATCGAGTTCTGCGGCTCCGTCATCCGCTCGCTCAGCATGGAGGCCCGCATGTCCATCTGCAATATGTCCATCGAGGGTGGCGCGCGGGCCGGCATGGTCGCCCCAGACGAGGTAACGTTTGAGTACCTCAAGGGGAAGCCGCTGGCACCCAAGTACGGCACCGAAGAGTGGGACCGGGCTGTTGCCTATTGGAAGTCGCTTCGGTCCGATCCCGATGCCAAGTACGACATCGACGTCTTCATTGATGCCAAGGACATTGTCCCTACCGTGACCTGGGGTACCAGCCCCGAGGACGTCGTCCCCATCACCGGCGTTGTGCCCGACCCCGAGACCTTCCCTACCGAGGCCAAGAAGGCCGCTGGGCGGCGCATGCTCGAGTACATGGGCCTGGTCCCCGGGACCCCGATGGAGGATATTGTGGTTGACAAGGTCTTCATCGGCTCCTGCACAAACTCCAGAATCGAGGATCTCCGCGCCGCCGCTTTCGTCGTCAAGGGAAAGAAGGTTGCATCCAACATCAAGCGCGCCATGATCGTACCGGGGTCCGGTTTGGTCAAAGAACAAGCTGAGAAGGAAGGTCTCGACAAAATCTTCGTCGATGCCGGGTTTGAGTGGCGCGAGGCGGGCTGCAGTATGTGCCTGGGCATGAATCCCGATATTCTCTCGCCCAAGGAGAGGTGTGCTAGCACTAGCAACCGCAACTTTGAGGGCCGCCAGGGCGCTCAAGGCCGGACACACCTCATGTCGCCAGTTATGGCCGCCGCTGCCGCCATCGTTGGCAAGCTCGCCGACGTGCGCAAGATCTCGCAGTACAATGGCAGCCCGCACGTCGAGGCCGCCGTCGCTCCGGAGACTGCCGCTACTTTTTCCGGACCGTCCGCCGACTCAAAGGCTCACCCCGACGAACGCATTGCCACGGACGACCACGAAAAGGAGGCCCTGACGGACCAGCCCGAGGACTCGTCCCCGCAGGTCAACACCACCCTCACGCACAGCGGCGCTGGCTCGTCGGCAGGCGGCCTCCCCAAGTTTACGGTGCTCAAGGGCATCGCGGCGCCGATGGAGAAGGCCAACATCGACACAGACGCCATTATCCCGAAGCAGTTCCTCAAGACGATCAAGCGCACGGGGCTGGGCAGTGCGCTCTTTTACGAAATGCGGTACTCGGCGCCGGGCGTCGAGAACCCGGAATTTGTGCTCAACCGCGAGCCGTACCGCCAGGCAAAGATCATTGTCTGCACGGGGCCCAATTTCGGATGCGGCTCGTCGCGCGAGCACGCGCCCTGGGCGCTCAATGATTTTGGCGTCAAGAGCGTGATTGCCCCGTCGTTTGCTGATATTTTCTTCAATAACTCGTTCAAGAATGGCATGCTACCTATCGCCATTAAGAATAAGGAGGATCTCGAACGTGTGCATGCCGAGGCTGTGGCGGGGCGGGAGATTGAGATTGATCTGCCGAACCAGGTTATCAAGGACGCCGAGGGACAGCGGCTGTGCGGGTTTGAAGTGGAGGAGTTTAGGAAGCACTGTCTGGTCAATGGGCTGGACGATATCGGGCTCACGATGCAGATGGAGGACAAGATTGCGGAGTTTGAGAGGAAGATGTCGAGGGAGACGCCGTGGCTGGATGGGAGTGGCTATCTCAAGCGAAAGGGCATGGGCGGGAAGCTGGCTGTCAAGGCGGCGCCGGTGCCGAGGACGAATAGGGGGGATGTCAAGACTGAGCCGTTGGAGTGGTGAATTCTTACGTGGGGTCGTGGTCGGGGAGCCAGGGGTTGAAGGGCGGGGGCCGGACAATGTGTTTAAGATACCTGGGATGATGACTACTTGTTCGTCGTTTGATATTTGAGTTGAGGTTGTTGTTGGGTGGGGTTGTCCGTCCTCTTGCGCTGATTTTTGCACAGACAACGATGCATTGCGGAGGGCTTTCCCGCAAACGACGCTGAGTTGAGTTCGTTATGGTGCAAACTGTAACTACATCCTGTGTGATCTGTGTGGATTGTTTGCTGGGGTTGCGTTGGTGTAGACTGTATCTCTGACTCCGGTCAACGCCCTCTGCTTTCTTCTGGTGCTTTGAGCCAGGCTCTGGGATCCGGTTACCTTATTATGCCTGAACAAACTCGATGCCCTGACTTCTCTGTCTAGCTCTTACTCTCTCAGCGTCCCTGAGTCGAAGCCGTTGCACGACTGGTTGATGCCTCGCTTAAGGAAGCCCAAGTCTATCGTCTAGCGGGGCAGGTATGTATCGGCGTGATGGTGTAGCTCCTAGCTTGACTCTCAAGGTGTCTCATGCTGGCTCTTCTTGCGCGTTTCCATCTGTCCTTGATCCAGGAAACACGCTCTACCATTGCGGGCTTGATGTGTTTCCCTTCTTTGTCCCTCCCTTTTACCGTAGGTATCTGGGAGGTTAGATAGTGGTGGTTCGTGGCTTTGGTACGGAGATAGCAGACAGAACTTGCCTGGACAAACTATTTGCTCTTCACAAAACCGTGTAATATTTCTCACACCTATGGGAATACTTGATGTTGGTGGAGTTGAGCTGTTTTATTTTTGCCTGTCTCTCAAGGTAGTTAGGTATCGTAAGCAGCTTCGTAATGTGAGGTTGTGAAGGTGGTGGCGTCTGATCGCTGGGACGATGTTGCAACTTTACGAAAATGATATTCTCTCTCCCTCTAACCCCCCTCTCCTCTCTTCATTCCCAGGTTCCTTTCGTATTCGGAGTTTTACGTTGGCTGGCAGGGGGACCAGGCATCTCACCTCCCCATTCTTATTTCCCTCGCCGGATGCGGAGAGACGGCTTGGCGTGAGACCAGTGAGACGTTCTTATTGTGCTGCCTGATTTTTGATCTGATCTTATCAATCTCGATCGGAAGGAAACTGTGTAGGGGCACATCGTCTGACGTCAGGGTTGGAGAGTGGGGAGAACGTTGTGATCTCAAGGCCCTGGCAGCGACAGATGAGGGGATGTGGAGAGTTGGGATGGACGGGGACCAGGAGACTCCGTTGAGGAGGCTTGGGATGGACGGCAGGGAGGTATTTCCCGTATGTTGCAGCGAGTCCCTTTGTGGGTGTGCAGCTCATTGTTAATAGTTCGTAGCTATCGTGTTGGCTTGACGTTCATTCTTCTCCAGGCCCTTACCCAGATAACACTCATTGGTTGGCCTCGTCAGCCCGTGTAAGTCAAACATAATGATGATAAATGATGCCAAATGCCTGACCGAAGTCAACCCGCTCGTTCGGCTACGCCGTCAAAATAAACAGGCATAGATCTGGACCTGAAAAACATCTGAATCAGCAACGTGAGACCGGCCCTACCGCCGAGCACACGCTCGAGCCAAGATCTGCCTCGTCAAAAGGGAAGGTACATCTGTGTGTCGTGCATCCACGGATTAGAAGTTGGGGCCAGGCAGCGACATTTCCATGCGCTACGTAAGTGGAGTCCCTCCCCCAATTAGAAGCCCGCTTAGTCAGTGCACAGAGACGGCAAACGCACCTGAGACGGGAGCTTTAGCTGCTGATTTGTCACAAGGATCTTCAACGTCGGCCAGTTCCTTCTGTGGTCGGCCAAGTTCCGAGGGTGCAGAGCTGCAACATGCAAGAGGGCTCAACCTTTTGTGCCCTTCCTACGCGGCGGTGTCTTGCTCGCCATGTCCTGCAGGCCATGACAGCATCGTTCCCGTCAACCGACACGGGCACACCGACGTCGCCATGGCCTTGCTTGCAGGTTCCCCTTCTTTCGCCCTGTCTGGCTGTGGGTAGTTCCGAATTGGACTGAGGCTGGTGTCGTGTCTGAACGAATAGGGCGGAGTCAGGGTGATAACAAGCTGTGAGGTTCAAGCGGTTTCCGTCAGGCGGTGAACGTTCTGACTATGCAGTAATGCACAGGATGGTGGATGAAAAGAGGTGGCATCTCTGGCGTGCTTTCTATGTACCAACTATCAGCTTGGAGCTTGTGGAATCGCCCAAGGGGGTTGCCCAACATGCCCGGTTCCATGTCAAATGCAAAGTCCGGACCCATATTGCCGTTGCCCGCATCTGCAGACTCGAACATGCGCGAGAATAAGACCAGGCCAAGCTCTTCTCCCCCTCTCCAACCAGTCCCAGAGTGCGGCTATACGAGTAAATCGCCTGACACCTGGCTGTGGTTGCCCCCTGACCCGTCGACGACACCATGGCCGAGCCATCCTCCTCCAACCGTTCGAGCATCGACCCCAGCAGCAACGACAACAGCCCGTCCCCGTCGTCATCCGGTGCCCCAACAGACGCCGCAAAGAAGAGGACGAGGGCGAGCAAGCCCAAGGTCCGCACTGGTTGCATCACCTGGTATGTTGTCTCATCCCTCCTGAACCCCGATGACACGTTGCTGACAGATCGACAAAGCAAGTAAGTTTTGCCACCGAATACGGGCATGGTGGAGGTGACCAGGTCGGCTCACCAGTGCCTAGGATCCGCCGAGTGAAATGTGACGAGGGCAAGCCCGCCTGCCTTCGATGTACCTCGACCGGCCGGACTTGTGATGGCTACGACAAGGCCGCACTCGCCCGCTACCGCCCGTCAGACCCAAACCAGTCGGCCGAGCTGGCAAGGGAAGAGTTTGTCAGGGCTTGCGAGTGGAACGAAGCGCTCCGGGCCATGCGCCGTATCGAGGCCGACATCGATGAGACCGAGACTGAGAAGCGTCTGTTTGCCCGCTTCCGGGTCGCCACCACCGACGGCCTTGCCACGCACTTGTGCAACCTCACCGCCTTTTGGAGGAGGCTGAACCCGTCCACCGGCTGCCAGGACGGGCCCGTGAAGCATGCCGTGGTGGCGCTTGCAGCGGCTTATGAATTGTTCCAGCACCCAAACGAATCGGTGATCGACGGCGTCAGCAGAGGCGACCTTGAAGTCCTCACCATCCAGCAGTACAACCGATCAATCGAGCGGCTGCAGAGTCATGCAGGTTCGTCGGCCTTGGAGAGCATTCATGTAACACTCGTTTGCTGTCTCGCCTTCATCTCGCTCGAGACGCTACGAGGGAACCACGATGTGGCCGTAACCCATCTGGCAAACGGCCTTCGCATACTCCAGACGCTCCCCGAATCCGCCTTCGACTGTCTCGCCGACGGCTCCCTTTTTGTCTGCCCTTCAGATGGGGACTCGCTGAACATGCCTGACATCATCCAGCTCTTCGCCCAACTCGAGCGGTCCTCCTGTTTCTTCACGCACGGAATCCAGCCCGTCATATCCGACCACGGGTACCGCGTTCGCCGCTTCGACGACGGCTCAAGCGACAGCCTCTTCCCGAACGAGTTGCGCGCCCGCATCGCAATGTCTTGCTTCCAGCACGACGTCATGACGCGTCTGCACGAGATGGCTGTCGTCACGGCAGGCGGGACCGAAACCACGGCCGTGTTCAGGTCCGATCCCGCCCAGCAAGAACAGCAAGCCTGCCTGCTCGCTCGCAGCGTCCGCGTCGGCGCCTTGGTCGCGAACTTCTTCTCCCCGGCCCGCTTCGGCATGCCCGACCCAACCACTCCGGAGTTAGTCAACCTGTACCTCGACCTGCTGTACTTCCGCTGCGCGCAGTTCCTCGTCAGCGAGGCCTCCAGCCGTTTCGGGGACCCCTTTGCCCCGTACCACCACAAAACCACGCCGTTACCATCCACCGAGAACCCAACCCCCCCAGACCACCCGGACCATCTCCTCTCCTCCATCCTCCATCTCGCAAATTCCCTCTCAACAGCCCTCTCTCCGCTCAGCTTCCAACCCTCCGCCCGGTCTCTCTCCACGCTCCACACCCACCTCGCCGGCCCGCTGTACCTCGTCGCGATAAACACCCCAGACCCAGACACCCGCTCCGCCGCCGTGGGACTGCTGGCGGAGAGTCTTTACCAGCACCAACACCAACATCGAGACGCACCGGGTAGTAGTGCAGGGTCAACATCGAGCCAGAAGAGGGATGCTCTGTTGTCGGCATTGCGGCGCGTTATCGATGGCGCTGTTGACGGTGAGAGAGAAAAGAAGCAGGTTGGCGGCGGCGGTGGTGGTGGTGGGTTATTAGCGGCAGAACTTCCGAGGGCGCTGACGGGCGGAGCGGGGTGTTTTCCGGTGCTTTGGGATGGGTTGGTAGCGGCTGGGTTTGGGCGAGTTTGAAGTGCTTACGTATCATGGCAGAAGAGGATGAGAAACATGAAGAAGGTGATGGAGGAGTAGGAGGAAGAAGATAGAGGAGGAGGCTAGAGGAGGAAGAAGGGGAAGAGAAGAGACGAGGAAGAAAAGATGTCGAGGGGAAGGTGAAAGAGGAGAAGGACAAAGGAGGACAAGGGAGGAACGGTACGGACTGAGTTTGACGAAGGATGATGAATGTTGAGCGATGGCTGTACAATGCAGCTGTAACAAAGTTTGGACAGGCTGCGGCCAGATTACCTACGTAGCCTCTACTGCTGCCATCCAAACTTAGATGCGAAGGGGTTGATAAGGAAAGGTAACCTCTAAAACCTTGACAAGTGCTGCCTATCTTGAGACAGGCAACGACCTCACCTGTGACAGGGGTTGGTGATGATCATGGGGAAACTCGACTGCTGCCTGCCTCAAACTAGGTATTCTGTCCCGTCCTTTCCAACCTTAATGCCAACTATTCTTGTCTTTGTATTCTCGACTGCACTCCCAAGCGTTGAGTTGGGAGAGTGGGAACAACAATGACAGTATGCAGACTTTTAGAAAGGGGGGGGGGGGTCCGAGACGAGATGACGGTAAACGAACGATAACCTAGCAATGAGGAACCCAGCATCAACAATTATCGAACAAAAGAATTGTGCTCAGTCGAGAAGCCAGGCGTGGGATTCGAAGCGCAGGGGCTAACCGATTTGGTGCACACTTTATCACCATAGCACGGGGGTAGTCTGAGTAAAGGGGTAGTGGTGATGTCGGAAACAGACTTCACTCGTCTCCCTTACCTGAAGTATTCCTCCGTTTAGTGTATGCGGACGAAAATCAAGATCTTGCCCGCCAAGAAAACATGCTTTCAACGGCCTGACCACTGTAGATGAGCACCACAGATTCCAAAACCCTTTCCTTCACTGACCTCATTCATGCCGGCAGGGAGTACTTCCTGATCAAGCGGATAACACTCTCGTCCTGTCAAAATAGTACAAGCAAGCAAAACCGAATATTCTTTACAGCAGCTATGAGAAAAGGGGTATTCCACATCGTCCATCAAGAAAAGTGACCCGACGAGCAACAACAACAACAAACCGCTACGTAAGCATGGTCATTATCAGCGCTATACAAAAAGCCAACACCAAGAATAGAAAAACATATGCCGTGCCAATCCATACCCATTGCCCATGCTCATGTCCCTGACTGACCCTCATCCATTTATCAACTCCCCGGCCATCCCACCATCCTTAGTAATCCAAGTCCGCTGGAAAAATCCCATCCCTCAATTTAGCCCACTAGAGCCGCCCAGCCACAACCTCCTTCTTGAAGATCCTTACCCCCTCCACGTCCGAGAACGCAAAACCCTCCAGCACCTGAATCTTCTGCCCCAGCCCCTCCTCATCCTCCCCATCCGTTTCGTCCGCCTCGCTCGTACTGCCCTCTTCATGTTTCCCCAGCTCAGCAGCAATCAGAGCCGAGACCTCCAGCGCCACATCACCACCCTCACCCTCCAGATCCAATGCCGCCGCCGCCGCCGTCGTCTCCAGCTTCCCCTTGCCCTTCGTATCCTTCGCCTTTTTCTTTCCCTCCCCATCACTCGCCCCATTCCCGTCCTGTGCCGGCGACGGCACACGCACCAGTTTATCCACCCGGTCGTCCTCGTCAATGGCGATCCACTCAAGCTTGAGGTCCGGGTAGTGCGAGACGTTGTCGATCAAGAACTTCTTCGTCTCGCGCATAACCCACACGCAGGTGTCATCGTTGCGCAGGTGGACGACGTGCAGTGCGCGGAGCGAAGCGAGGCCGTAGATGTGCTGCATGAGGCAGTGCTTTTTTTACATACAGATGTTAGCGGGTTGGGTTATGACAAGAGAGTATGCCTGGGGGTGAGTGGGGAAGGACATACCATGGCGCGGATGCTCATACTGCAAGCCAGTTCCTCGAGCTTGCGTCCCTGTCTGCACAGCAGCAGGATAGACTTCTCATCGACGTCCCAGGCGGTACCCGAGAGGTTTTTGATCATGAGCCGGCGCAGGTGGGGGAGATGCTTTTTGAAAACGAGCTTGCGGATTTGGTCGATGGTGGTCTGCGTCTTGGGCGCGAAGCTCTCGGGCTTGGCCTTGTTTTCGCGCTCGAGCAGGAACAGCTCGTAGACCTCCTGCAGGGACGAGACAAAATTCAAGAAGACGAGCGAGACGTTGTCGGTGAAGATCTTGCGGAGCGGGAGGGGAGCCTCCTTGTTCTCCTTGTGCAGCAGTGCCCAAATAGGCGCCTGGATCCCGACGTTCAGCAACGTCAGACGGCGGAGCATGCGCAAGTCGACCGCCCTGGACAAGACGGATGCCTTGACCGGGATGAGGTAGATGCGTAGAGATTCTAGCGCGATGCCCCTGGTCTTCCGCAAGTAGTCGCGCATGCGCGCGTGCTCTTGGTCTTCTACTTCTTTGTTCGTAGCTGGCCGGCCAGGTGGGGCCGTGTGCAAGCGTTCCAACATTGTCTTCTGGCTTGCGGTGAGATCATCCTTCATGGCTTGAATATTTCGATTGGCGTTGCGTAACCACGACTCGGCATCGGCAAAGTTGCTGAAGTTGGCAGACGTCTTCAAGCCCGCCCACTGGCGCATTTCCTTGGCCAGAGCATCGGCCTGGGACTCGATCCGCTCTACCTGTTCAGTCCAAGCCTTGCGAAGTGCCTTTTGCGACTCCTGGGCAGTCGAGACATGATCAGGTTCGGCCGTGCTATTGGAATGAATCGCTGCTGTAGGCAGTGGAGCTTCCGAGTCAGTGTTGTTGGGCTCGTTGGACGCATCACTGGCCGGCGGCTCCCCTGGCTCGATAGCGAGTTGATCTTCGGGCTCTTCAATGTCAATGTCGTCTGGATTTGCGTCTCCTTGGCCGTCCCGCGCCTTTTTGGATGCTGTTGCGTTGCTGAAAAGCCCTCCTGTAGGGCTGCTTGCCTCGAGAGGTGTTCCCCCAACCTTATCATCGGAGAACTGGTTGGTATCTGAGGCAGAGGTGTCCGAGAGGGCCTGATTCTCGTTTTGCGTTTCCTTCTGCGTCTTGGCCTCCTCGAGATACTTATAAGCAGCGAGACTAATCAGATCGAAAACGTGCTGCGAGGCCTTGAAGTCGCTCGTTCCGTTCAACTCTCCCATGAACTTGGCTGCGATCTTCTTCATGATGTCGACGAGTTCCTCTTCTGTCTTGACTTTCATCTTTTTCTCCTTGTTCTCGGCAGAACCGACGGTAGGTTTCCGGGCAGGGATGGACTCAACATCGAAGATCCTGCCCAGTACCGACTCCTGGGTTTTTCTCTCTTCCTGAGCTCGGAAAGCCCTTGCCGGGCCGCTCATTTCCTCGTTGTGCACCGCGGGAAGGGGGTCGATGTCATCCTCTTGATCTGAGTCTTCTGACTCGGGGTCGGCCGAGGGCTTCCGGGCTGACGAGGCCAGTTTCTCGGAGAAGGAGAGCTTGAGCTTTGAGAGCGTCCCGGCGGAGTTCCGCACACACGCCTGGAGCTCGCTCACGATGTCCAGATCGTCTATGTCAAGGACCGCGAGACTCTTGAGCCTCCTGAAGCCGGACAGGGTCGGCGGTTCTTTGCCAAGAGACGGCTTCTTGGGCGCCTTCGCACGCGGTGGCTTAGGCAATGGTGGAAGAGGAATGGCCGATGCGGGAACATAGAAACCCTGGGGAGGCGGTGGCGGCATGAGACCGAAGGTTGGAGGGGGAGGAGGAAGGGAAGTGACATGAGCGGGCCCTGGTGAGACGGTCGAAGACGAAACAGTGTAGGGTAGAGGTGGAGGCGTCTCGTACTGCGAGGGGCCTGCATGCAGCCTGATATGGAGGTGCGAGAGGGAGGCAATTTGGTGGAGCTCCTTGTAAACCGGCCGGCTTAGCTCGACTCGGATGTTCCACCTAGGAGACGGTCAGTCTCCGGTACGGGTACGGGGGCCTGCAAGAGGCATTGGGGGTTTACTTACTTGAAGGACTCGAGCGCCCTCGCCTTGCGCAATGTCAAAAGCAGCAGCGTGTTCATGAACTTGCCGCAGCTCAGATTGGCAAGGTAGGGACGATACGAAACCTCTGCCTTATCGCCCAGGTAAAGCGTGTCGAAGCACAGCGCTTTGAGATATTGGGCGTAGTTGTAGTCGCTGGTGACGAAGGTATCGAAGCCGCCGGCGAGGGAGTCGACGGGGGTGTCGAACTGGGGATTGTCCTCGTCCGGGAAGACGATGGAGAACTCGCGGTACAGCTGGGCGGCAGCGAGATCGCGGAAGTGTTTTGACACAAGGGCGACGCAGATTAGGTCGCGTGTCGAGCAGTGCTTGATTATCTCGGTCTGCACCTCCCGCGGCAGGTTCAAGAAGCCCAGCGTATGGTTCGTGGACGGACTGGATCTTGGGGCGCCCGCGACGGCCGCGCGGGTGGCCGACGAAGCCATGGTTTCGGCAGATGTGGTAGATGGAGGTGAAGAGCGGAAACACTGGGCGACAACGACGCAAAGCAAGAAGTGAAATTGTTGGCCTCGAGAAATGGAAGCGCGACGTCGGCGCAGCAAAGTACCGAACAAGTGACGGTCCAAGATAACTGGACTCGAAGGCTCAAGGCCCGGAAGCTCCTGTGGGGCTAATAGCTTCAAGTTGTTGTTCAAGTTCTGGTTAATTTGCCGTGCACTAGATGCTGTCTTCGATTTGAATTGGGCGTCCGGTTTGAATGAAGCGCAGACGGTCCGTTTGTTAAGCTCCCGTCTTTGCGCGGCGCAGAGCAACAGACACGTGGGATGAGGCAGCAGGAAGCTGGAGTCCAACAGAAGTGTAGGCGCTAAAGCAATCAGGTCCAGGGCTCAGGGTCGTGCTTGGACGTGCTGGGCTTGAATGGCCTGCAGCGGGTCTGATGCCTGGCTGAAAGCCGGGTTTGGAGCCTAGCGCCGAGGGAAAGCGTGGGGTTGATGATCGAAAAGCTGACGACCGGAAGTCGGTGGGGTACAGACCCGCTTTCTTAGCGCAATCAAGCACTACAGTAGAGACCGAAATCAGTGTCCAAAACTTTACTGTTGAAACAATCTTAGCACGAACAATTTTGATGAGTGGCGACTCGGACAAGGTGCTTCCCCCGTTGCAATGTACCGCTCGGGACAGCCCCAAAAAAGAAGGGCTGAACCAGGCTCATAACGCTAAGCTTACAAGGTTCACCGTTTCCCGGCGCTTACCTTGTGATGCCACGATACCTCAACATTAGGTATCGTGCAGCTTCGCGGTCCGCCAAAGGAAGCTTAGAAGAAACCGTCGAGTACTATACAGTACATAGAGACCGAAAAAAATCTCTCCGTGTTGAAATATTGTTAGCACTGGCCAGCTTGAGGAAATGGCGGGTTCCCAAGCTGACCTAGGCAATGATAGAAGCGAGTCAAGGGTTGATTGATATAATGGTGCATCAATAAGGCACGAGAAACTTCCTCCTAGGCGCAGCAGCGAGTATAAATTGAACGTTTGAACGTGCCCCTAAAAGGAGCAAAGAAAATAAAAGAGAGTAAGAAATACCAACCAGTATTGTAGCAGATCAAGCAGAGCAGAGGTAAACGGTTTGAAGAGCTCAAGTTAAAGGCTGATATCACGCTATAATTAAGTTAACTAATGCGTTAGATGCTACTCCCCTATATATGCTTTAAGATGTCGCTGCCTCTTGATAAGTCCAGCTTCAGGACATGTGATGTCACGGGCGGGACAGGCTGATAGTCCAATAGCAGTTGTATTTGGGCTAAGCTACAGTCTGGGCTCTTTTCCGTCAGGTACGGGCAGGCTTGATTGTCAAGACGTAGCTCAAGGAGCTACGGCAGAACTCGCGGCAGCGAGGTGCAGGATGTTCAACCCGCAGGGGCCCCCACACGCTGGGCCCCACCCGTGGGTCCTGGCAGGCACGGCGCAATCGCCGTGACATGTGAAGCTTAGTGTCACGGCACTGGACCGCCGATCCCTAGGTCACGTGGCACATTGCACTTAGCTTCTGGTTCATCCATCCATAGCTTCCTTTCCTCTTCATAGAGCAACGCAGTTATCTTCCCAGACCTACTATGGTTCCGTGACAGTTTGCTCTATCTTAATTTGCCGCCCCGTCGTGCGCCACAGTCACT